AATAGCTTGAAAATAAAATAAAATACAGAAACGCATCGGTTCTCGATTATTTCGCAGGGGGATGAATTTTGGATATTTTGGTGTGCAACCGAGTATTTTTTCTACATTACAACGATTGTAATATTTTCTTAACAGCCGATACACAGCGATCGAGAACTAATCGTTATTAATGGAAAAATCGATGATGATCTTCGAAGCGTGTAAGCTCACATGTAGAATTGTCCGGATGATTTGCATAATGGATGAATCTCTCGGGAGTTACTTGGTAATCAGCAATACAATATAGCCTTTCTCTCCGTGTAGCACACAGTTCTTAAGACGCGTTCTTACGAGCTCGCGCTCGGATCTCAGAAATAATCCGCTCCACGGTAATTTGCTAGTTATGGCAACTAGAATCATACTAAGGATGAAATTATATCCCCGTAGCCACGTAAGCGCAAAACAAAATTACAGTTGTGGTCCTCGTATATAGTAACGGCCGATCCCCTCATTTAGCAATCTCCAACAATATAGTTTCTCCATCCTCATCCCCTATATATCTTTCCTCGTCTTCCTATTCTCTTTCTCTCCTCCTTTCTGCGATATTGCAAAACGCGGATATAATTTTGTATTATAACTGAGATTCATCGAAATCTAAACACACATGGAGAATATGTGTTTATGCGTCCCTATCTTCCATCCGCGGCCAATTGGAGAAAGTTTTAACTCAACATGACTTAAATGGCATTATAAATACATTTTTTGACTATACCTTGTTTTTTTGTACCGAACGCATGCTAGGTATCTACATATAGAAAAAGAAAGAGAGAGAGAGAGAAATGCGCGAGAAATGCACATACGTCACTTCTTATGTGCGCATTAAAGTCACCGGGGCGCCTTGTAACGTCGCGTGACTACATCTTATTTCAGGAATGCGGTTGCAATATATATTGCAACGAATTTTGTTCTGCTTGCAATTAGCATACATTTCAAAAGATTTGATTTATAGATTACACGATGTAGTATAACATAGTTGATTTAGATTTTATTTATATTCTCGAATCTCTCTGTTACATTTAAACACGAAAGTTATTTTTGTAAAAAGATCCAATTATTATTTTATTCATTTATTTTATTTATTAGCCCTCTTGCCTTTGTATTTTGTATAAATAATTTTCTACTTTCACGAGAGTAATACTCCTGAACTTTTCTTTATTCTATGCGCGGTTATAGAGGAGCCTGCGTGTCAAATTTGATTTATTATTATCACGATAATATATTCATTTTATTTCGATCATATATCATACGGAAGACAACGCGACAGCAGCTTTCCTCCGCGTCTTTGTTTTTTATTGCGTGATGTAAGAAAAATCTGGAGACATAAGAAAGAGAAATCGACGAGAAAAGAAAGCGGAAGGAAGTGTAGGGAGCGAGGGAGAAGTGAGATGAGCAAAAAGATGCGTGGTCCACGGAAGAGGAAGCCAAGCTAAAAGAGAACACAAGCGGATGTGCATCAGCTTTGCACGTGGTGGCACGTGCAGAGGCGTGGTTCGTGGGAGGTGCACGCAAGACCGCTGCAATTCACTTGGCACACGGCTGTTTGGCTAACATAAGCCCTACTCTTTTCTCTCGACCGTTCGCCACCCTACTCTGCCACTGCACATTGCACATTTACCGTGCCTATAGCGCTGCCGTTGCACCGTCCCCAGGTTCTTCCGTATTCTTCGCGCGCGCGATGCATCTCGAGTGCAGAACCTAGTCCCCCTTCTAGGCGCGATTGCATTCTCGAAAGATAAAAGTTTAGCGGATCTTTATACGGAATTTTCGAGTATTTTAGAATTTTTTATCTATTTTTTCTATGCTAAATTTTTTAAAATGAGTGTTTATATAGATACAGTTAGGTATATTTTTTAATTTCATTGAGAACTGGTAATTGTTAAAAAATTAATGTGACTGATAAGTGATTTTTTGATATTTTTTACTTTAGATATATCTTTTCATGAATATTATATATTATGATATTTTTCTAGTTTTTTAGTAATTACAATTTATTACATTACAGTTACACTCGGCGCATGTTTTACAATGCATTTGTGTGCGCTTACTTCCATCACATTTTTCACAAACGAGATTGCGCGTAATTGCATATTTTGCTCATGTAATTCTAAATTATGGATTTTATAGTATTTCCTCCAGCGGGCTATTAAGTGTCATTTTCGCACATAAAAGTAATCGCGAACGAGATTCACGATGGTATTCACTCGTAATTATAATAACTGTAACTGTAACATGCTACAAGTTGATGGTTTTCTTGATATCGACTAATTTATTGCGTGGCAATAACGACATTCTATTTATTTTATAGCAGCAAGAAAGTACAAGCATGTTGTACACTTTGATACATATTACCATCAAGAAACCGGCGAATAGTTCCGTTAATTATATCCGGGTGTTGTTTACTATTTAGTATAATTGATATAATTATAATTTATGGCAACATAATTTATACTAAACATATTTTTCTTACATGTTTATTTGTTAATTAATAGTATGCGCGTTAAATTTAAATATACGCGCATCTTTTTATATATTCTTAAATATATTTTATAAATTTCGTATTTACATTTTGTAAATGATTTTATAATTGGAAAGTTAAGGCGGAGAATTTACATTTTTTTGCATGCTTACATTTTCATAATGTCGTATGATTAAATATTTTTAAAATGAACAATTCTTCGTAAGACGCATATAATTTATATTTTCAAGTAATATATGCGTTTCTCATCTCAATCGCACATTTTCATCTCGCGGGATAATTAATAGGAATTCCTGGATCCAACTTTGATGCACTTTATTGGTTGCAGAAGACACAGTCGATTTTTCTCTTGGTCTTATGTAACATTACATAACAATAAGCGCGTTTATTTCGCCATATAACAGCCGGTCCATTGTGCCTAATCTAAAGTCACGTTTTCAACGCGTAGAAACACACCCCTTGCCCGATCGGTGTCACGGTGAAATCACTTATGACCGACGCTTCGCGATCACCACGGGTGGTCTTCGGCGCGGCGCGTGATCGTGAAATTAAATCGAATGCGACTTCGGCACCCGTGACTATCAACGAATGGCATCTCGATGGGCGATGCGCCGGGACGCTTTGCATCCGGCTCTTGTATCGCATTACTCGCGCATACTCAAACCTTTATATCAATTTCATCAATCATCGACGTCTTTACGGACATAGACACCCCTGTTTTTTTGCACAATTTTTAATTCTTTCACTATTCAATGAATTATTTTAAAAAATAAAAGAATATTGCATATTTTAACGTGTAAATAACTTTAAATATATGATATAGCTATGAATTTTCTCAGATCGAGTAGAGAAAGCGAATTAGTAATTTTTTTTACGGATATTTGTGAACTTATCTTGTTAAACTTTTGATCTTGAATTAAATTTGAGTAAAATTCTAGGAATTATATTTAATTTTGTAATTATAGAGAAATTTATTTCTTGCAATGAAATTTTGATATTTTTTCAGAAATATAAATTGAAATGTGATCGAAAAATTTTGAACGAAAACTGATAGAGAATCACTTTTCGTTTCTCTCTCTTTTTTCTCTAATTCTTTAATTAACGATTTTTTAATTACTTGAAACTATGCGGAGAAAGCTGCAGCGAGAGCCTAGTATCGATGATCGTCACAAAAACGTGATCGCTGGCATGAGAATGTCTGTCCCTCGATTGTCAGAGGATAATATCATGTAATAATAATCGAGAAAGGGGGTGAGATGCGTGGTTGTTTGTATAGAATAGGGTGGTAGTATTTTAAATGCCAATGATTTCATGTCTCCCTAGGGTGTATGCGAACACCCTATATAAGACGATCCGGCAGCGTTCAAGTGCTCAGTCGACGATGGGAATCCACCGTTTAATAAGATTTACCGTGAATTTCTGTAGTGGAAGTGATTTTGGAAATTTCTCTCATTTTTATACAATTGATCATTTTGCTCCGATTCATCATTCGATTCTAAAAAAGTTAGCGTATTCTAAGTAATAAAAATTTGTCGGCTATAATTGTATAATTTTCTCGGTCACAGAGTGATCTGCAGACATGATTGCCATGGATGACGGACATTCTCAGTATCGTAGATATTGTACGTACATTTCAAGAACATTTATTAACTTATCATTTTTTTCAAGAATTTGAAAATGTGTGCTTCGATTAATTATATATTCCATTCAAATTTTAATCTTCTCTTCAATAATATTTATCTTCTTATCGCAATTTGGACATCTAGTCATTAATGCAAATATATAAATATATGTAACATGTATGAAAATAATAGAAAACACAATCAGGGAAAGAATATTTTATGAATTATACAATGTCACAATTTTTTTTACAATGAAGAATAGAATTCAACATGGAGATTTAAAATTAGAGGATAGCCGAGTTGTACTTAATGATGCCGGAAATACAGTGTACATACAACGATAGAAAGCTAAAAATCAATATTAACCGCGTTCTTGCGATAGAGAAAGTGTCCCGCTGCAGCTTCTCAACGTATCGTTTGAAATTGATATGTCAGAAAGTTTTTTTCACCGAGAAACGAGGTTGCGATCCATTTTGCCTTCTCACACATAACGATGTTATTCAATTTGACGACAGGCAGCGCATACATTATTCAGCCAGTTTTTAAAGTCTATTGAAAGAGTATGCATATTATAATATTACGTATCTACTACGTATTCTATTTATGATTTAAGGGAGAAATTAATATATACTAATATTAGTAAGAAAAATAGCAAGAATCGAAATCGCTTTTTGCGATATATAATATATCATACATATTTCCTACTCCAACAATCATTCTTTCCTCCGATTTATTATACATATATTTGATTCTTTTATTGTATTTTTATGAAAATTCTTCTTTATCTCTAAACTCAATTAATATATTTTCTTGTATCTCATGTAACAATATAATAACCTGGAGGGATCGTCTGGGTGTTGCAGGGCAACTGCATTCGCCGAACGGCGACAGCGACAACAGCAACGGTAGCCAGCGTGCGGTGGCTGTTACTCGCAGCGAGGTAGAGCAGCAACAGCCGCATCGCCAACGGCAGCAGCAACGTCAGGCGACCGCTACCGTTCCGGTTCTCGCCTGCACTAATCAATCGTCTATTACTACGCCCACGACCGCCTTCACGGTGGCATCAAGCATGCTTCTTCTGCAAACACAGGTCAGTTCCATTTTTATAATATACAGGATGTATTTAAATTAAATTAAGGGGTTTCTTATATAAATATAGTAGGTATACTCCTATATCCCTCCCTCAGAAATTTCAGACAAATTTAAAAAAATGAAATTTGATTGATATTTTCCACTAATAAGAAGAATATTTATTAATATTAAAAAAAAATAAATAAAAATAAAAACTTAGTTTTTTTAATCTCCCTCTTTAGAAAAATGTAACTTCTCAGGGAAGGATAAGAAACTCTATCTAAATAAGTGCGAAAAAATAAGGGGAGTTTCTTATATAAATATATGCGTATATACTCTTATATCCCTCCCGAAATTTCAGACAAATTTAAAAAAATGAAACTTGATGGATGTTTTCCACTAATAAAAAAATATTTATTACAATATTTAAAAAAACTAAAAACTTAATTTTTTAATCTCCCTCTTTAGAAAAGTATAACTTCTCAGGGAGAGATGTTTATATAAGAAACCTCCCTTAATTTTCGACAAAGAATCATTTCCTAAAATTTTTCGCACTATTTTAGATTTGTTTCAAATTTGTTAAAAATTCGAAAATTGAGAAAAATGAAGATGGAGCAATTGAAAAATGATTGATAGAAAAGTTAAGCGATATTCTGAATTATCGTCCGTATCATGAGTCTTGCAGTAATTGTGCCGACTTAACAGATTGGTTAAGCCTTCGTGTTTGCATGTCGACGTGACGCAATATAAGTTGTAATTTTACGTAATAATATTCATCCGTGTAAACGCTCATATCTCTCATCTCATCTCATTTCACATAAATAATACCGAGAAGAAGGTTTTACGAGGAATATGGATATGTAATATTTCAAACTCCAAGTAAATTTCACGTGCGTGCAAATAACGTATCGCATGTTAAGTAATTTACAGTTGATTAGAGAACGTACTTTTATGATTGACTTATCGTTTTTCCATTTAATCTAACATAATTATATATTTTTGACGTTCAATAATTTCAAAGTTATTTAAAATTTAATATTTTACTCATTAAGATCGATTTTTATTTGTGGAAATAATTCTAGAAATTGCTTTAAAAATTATATTAAGCTGTAAGATTTATCAGTCTTCTTTTCTCATTTCTTCATATTTTCCATTCTCTCTTCGGTCGTTTATTATCGTACGATTCTCTCTTATCGCAGCAATGCGCAAAGAAGCCGGTGCTGCACATCAAACGACAATCGCACATATCAGTATTATTCCGAGATGTTATCATCCATTGTCTTTTTCATGATGAAGTCGTCTTTGCCCAGCTTGAAGCTATCGCGTCACAATCCGGTGGTTAATCGAATTTTTATCGATTCTCGTATTCTCGGGATTCCACGATGATCCCGTTTGACATCTGTATAACAAGATATGTCATCTGCGCTGATCACCATCTGCATTTCACATATCTGGATGCTGTTCTATTTGTCTCTCATTTCATCTCTCTTTTTCCGTTTCGATCTCTGCCTTCTTCTTCGTGCTGGATAAAGTCGCGGCCAATTAATCATTAAAACCGGGAATATGCCGCGGAATTAACGGGCCAGCACCGAAGACATTGTCTCGATGATTTAACGAAGAAATAGCGAGGATGGAGGAAGAGGGAGGGACGTTTTTAGGACGTCGTTTAGTCGGGACATTTATTCACGGTCTGAGACGAGGCTTCGATCGCCGGTTCTCGGGGAGCGATGAGCGAAATGTCAGCCCGAAGCGGAACCGGCACTTGCAAATTGAATATCCACCCTCCTCGACCATCCCCGTTCTTCTCCTCGTGATGTTATCCTTCGGTCTACTCCTTGCTACCGTGATATTTTCGTTTTTCATCCTCGGATTTTAATGCGCAGATATTTCTTCAGCGCTCAAATTTATTAATGATGATTTCTTCGAAGAAAAGACTCTTATTAGGTATTTCATCAAATTTAATATTTATACGAAAATTATTATTTATGAAAATGTGTACATGCCATAATGATAGTCTTCTCTTTTTTTCCCTGGAATTAACTTGCAATGTTTTTAAACAGATATCTTTACATTAAATATTCTGGTTGCGTTTACATTTTTGTCACAACTGATCGAAGATCACAAAATTTAGTGAACTTGTTTCACAAGCGAAAAAGAAAGTGTTCTTGCGCGATCGCTCCAAGCGGATCAGGGGATAATAAATCTTTATTTTAATTTTGAAAGTTGAGTGAGCAGTTTGGATATTTTACGATTGAGTAATTCTCTTATTACGATATCTTGTAACACTGTCGAATTTCGATTTACAAATTGCATTAACGTCTCGTTTATTATCGTGTCATTGCCGCGAGAATATTTAAACGGACTCCTATAGTATTTTATCGTGTATCGACTATCGACTATCAATGATTGAATCGGGAGGCAAAGAAAGAGAGGGAAAGAAAGAGAGAGATAAAGAAAGAAAGAGGCTCTAAGCCTCTATCGAACGCTTAGCTTATAGACAACACGCGATACGAGCTCGGCTTGTCCAATCCTCTCTCGAACATCCTCACTGCGCACCTCGATTGTACATCGATGTCTCGCCACCGTGGCTCGCAATTGTGCCCGAGCAATGTTTCTACCTTGCAGTTGGGTGCTTCGATTTTGTCGTTCGCACGGCTTTCCAGAGACCGTGATAACTCCGTCGAAGGAAAAAAATCACCGACTTTTAAATTTAATAGTCGATTCTCGTTGATTCGGTATGTAATTAGAAAAGCACAAGATTCGCAAAACTCATATCGGTATGGTGTTCAAATTGGCTCACGTCATTTGTACGACGCAGGTATTCTTTATTTATATTCTTTCGTTTCTTTCTTTCATTATTCATTTTTGCGATTTTCTATTAAATTTATAATATTTTGTAATTGGTATAGCGTTCTTTGTCAAATTTTTGTGTAACATACATTTTTATTTAAAAACTGTTAGGTAATGATATTTTATTATTGTACGATTATTATACGAATAAATTTTTGTTTTTTTTATTTTTCTAATATGTATAAAATTATTTTAGTCTCATTTATATATATTTTACATAATATTTCTCAAATTAATCACTATAATATTTATAAAAGTATCATGTATATCTTGTCTCATGGAATCAGGATTTTTATTACAGAGCTCCTTCGGATGTAGCAGTTTCGTGGAATTGCTAAGTGGTCCTTACACAGACCCTGCGGATGCCGGAAGCTTGCCCGAGGAGCTCGATCCCTTTCCAGAGTTGCAGCTCGGGAATCCGCAAGGCGTATCTTCGGTCGATGAATCTGCTCAGTCTCACCAAAGTGTACACCATCAGCAGCCATCGCAACCACCACCACCACCGCCGCCTCTCCCTGAGGACATCCAAGCAGATTCTCTTAGGTATGTGCAAATTTATATTTTCCAATTTTTAGCATAGATCATTTGTACAAGAATTTCTTTTTTAAAATAACGTGGCAAGAAAATTATTTTGTATAATTAATATTATAGAATATTTTTTTGCAATATTAAAATTTGTATAAAATGCGATGTATATTTGTGTTTGCAGTCCTACACCCTTGCCGAGCTTTCAAGAGACCTACACAGTGCAGCGATATACCAGACAGGAACTTCAGGGCCTCGGCATCAAGATGGACGATGAATGTTACGATACCCCCGTATATCCTTGCACCGCCACTCACTATCCAACCGACTTTCCGGTGTCCTATCACGAGCATCAACAGCAACAACCGCAGCAGCAGCATTCTCACCATCATCCGCCACATCATCAACAACAGGCCCCGCATCATCATCAAAGTTACTTTCCCGCGGAATCGGCGCCCACTCCGGCAACAGCGGTCGTTCCGCCCTCGAATCATCGACAGGATCCATCCTATGGTGTGGCTGTCACTGTACCTATGGTTTATGGGGCACCATCAGCCATCGCCAACGTCGCCACTCCTGTAGCTCCTAATGATCTCTGTCCGAATGTCGACACTAGCGTTGTAATTGGCACTTCCAGGTCGCGAAGGGCGTCGCTGCCTACTCAGAGGTCAGAGTCGGCAAGGTAAGATATTTCACGAAATAATTATGATAAATAACTTTACGTCTCATTGCTCCTCATTTAAACTTACGATACTTTAATGAAAGAAACGAGAAACTTTTATACATTATGTTGTTTAAATTTATTATTAATTACACACAATTGTCGAACCAAGTTTATTTCAAAAAACATACAAAGGCGTAAAATTCAATGTACTTAAATTTTAAAATTAAAAAAAAATCTAATTTTTATATATGTATATACATATATTTTCCATTTTCTAAATATTCGAAAATATTGTGTGAATACTTTCTGTATCGCCGCGTACATATGTGACCTGTATCACACGTTTCACGAGGACACGAGACGCGACAGTTTTTTTAAGAGAATCTCTGTTCTGACTAGTGACGGGTTATAGATCAATGCACGTCCTGTGTCGTGTTAACAGTAGTGGGAGCACAGAGTCCCCGAAGCCGCGCGGTAGCGGCACCGCGAGCTCCACCGTCAGTTCGCCGTCGCCCGGAAGCGGTACCAGTGGTGAACGCGCGCCCCCGAGCCCGAGTCAGCTCTGCGCCGTGTGCGGCGATACCGCGGCCTGCCAACACTATGGCGTGCGTACTTGTGAGGGCTGCAAGGGCTTTTTCAAAAGGACCGTGCAGAAAGGCTCCAAGTACGTGTGTTTGGCCGAGAAGGCTTGCCCGGTGGACAAGCGCCGGCGAAATCGCTGCCAGTTCTGCCGGTTCCAGAAGTGCCTGATGGTCGGCATGGTCAAGGAGGTAAGTAACGATTGCACAAAATAATTGTAAAATGTCTGAGATTTAAAACCTGCTTTAAAAAAAAATAGCAAGAATAATTACATTATTTAATTGCTGCGCAGGTTGTTAGAACAGATTCTCTGAAAGGTCGGCGAGGCAGATTGCCTTCAAAGCCCAAGTCACCGCAGGAATCTCCGCCGAGTCCGCCGGTTTCCTTGATCACAGCTCTGGTTCGTGCCCATTTGGATACAACGCCGGACAAGGCGAGTCTCGATTATTCGCAATATCGACAACCGAGACCGGGCGATCCCCCGATGACCGAGGCGGAGAAGATTCAACAATTCTACAATCTGTTGACGACCTCGATCGACGTCATCCGAAATTTTGCCGATAAAATCCCCGGATTCACGGATCTAGTGCGGGAAGATCAGGTAAGCGATCATTTATAACGATAAATTAAATAAATAAATATAGTAAAATATAAAATCAAAGGCGCATAAAAATTTTAGAGAATTAAAAGAATTAATTAAAAAATTTTTTCCAATTATAGAATTTTTACATATAAAATCCTGAAAGTTTAATTGCCGATTCTTCATAATCTCTTTTATCGAGATATATGTCGTTCTTGTAATACCTATATATTGAACTAGTCAGATATTGACTTTCGGGCGATATTCATTGGGAACTAGCGAACTAGAGATCGATAGCTCATACATTTTCTAAAAGGTCAGTCTTGACGAGCTTTTGACGAGCAGGTGGCTAGTAAACTGCTCACGAAAAGACGATAGATGTTAATTTGTTAATACATTCTTAAAATTAGCGAGAAGATTTTGCTGCTTAAATTATGTCTAAATAAAAATATAATTATTATTCTTTTATAAATGCAATTTGATAACGTAAATGATCAAAAATCTGTCTTTTGATCACTTAATAATTTGCATTTTACCGACATATTAATAATTCCACGATTAATCTGATTTCAGGAACTGCTCTTCCAATCAGCCAGCTTGGAACTGTTCGTGCTCAGGTTGGCGTACCGCACGAATCCGGACGACACGAAGCTGGTGTTCTGCAACGGCGTCGTCCTGGCGTTGGAGCAGTGTCAGCGCAGTTTCGGCGATTGGCTGCATAGTATTCTCGAGTTCTGCAAAGCCCTTCACTTCTTGGAGGTCGACATCAGCGCCTTCGCCTGCCTGTGCGCTCTTACCCTCGTCACCGGTTAGTACTCATATATAATTTGTCTGATGCTCTCACTCTTCATTATATTATTAATTGAACAATCAAGTGTAGATTGTCACGCGTTTGTATAATGAGTTTGTACATATAATATAATCACTGCTACTATAAATATTAATTGCGCAGTGATTGTTATGATTTTCAGTTTGCAATTTTAATGATAGTCGCTTTAACGGTACTTTCAATCTCCCTTCACTCTGCTCACCCTACCTGCATTCTATACCGGCCTGTCTGCAGGATAAATAATTAATCCGTCGAATCAATTAACTATTGATATTCCGACGAAAGGAACAACGATGCTCCGCGTTTTGCACGCGATCTGTTGGCAACCGGACATGCAGGTGTGCGGTTTACAGGCGCGATCAGTCGCAGTTTCCATTTTGGCATAGTTACGTATCGAAAATTGCGTGATTAATATTATTATGCGTTAATTGTTCAATATTTCTTAATCTCGTGAATATTAATGATATGTCATAATTCAATCTCAAGTTATAAGATATTTGCCGATATTATAGTCAATATCGGCAAATTTCTTGTAAAATTTTGTTTTATTATTCAGAACTTTTCATGATTTAATTTTCAACATAGTTCAATTTTTAATCAACGATGATACTAATCAAATTTGTTTCTAAAATTTCAGAGAGATATGGATTAAAGGAGCCACAGCGTATGGAACAGTTGCAGATGAAGATCGTCTCTTCTTTGCGCGACCACGTGACTTATAACGCCGAGGCGCAGAGAAAGTCGCAGTACCTGTCTTATTTACTAAGCAAGATACCAGAGCTGAGGAGTCTCTCGGTCCAGGGTCTCCAGCGAATCTTCTACCTGAAGCTGGAGGACCTGGTGCCGGCGCCGCCTTTGATCGAGACGATGTTTGTCGGTAGTCTGCCCTTTTAAACCGAGCCGAGCACAGTCTAGGACTCGTCAGCACATAGAACAATTACTTTCTCAGATCCGTGCGGTTGCGTTATCTTCGTTCTAATTGCATCCTTCTTAGTTCGCATTACTACACGTAGCTTTATTCTCTTCTTGCGTACAACTTCTCGCGCTATCTAGCGGGTACATTGCGGTCCTCGACGAAGCCTTACTTGACATCTTCTTATACTTGACGAAGAGTATTCATGAAGGGTTTGTCGAGCAGGAAGAGCAAAGAGAACCATTACTGATCGTGTACGAGTGAGCGCGAAAATTGTCCGCGCGGTTTCAATGCGAACGGTAATCTTATGTTAAGGGAAAGTTTTACGCGTGCATGTGCGAGTGAATGTGCAAATGTGTGTGTCGCGTGTGAATGCAAATGTACAGAATGCATGGACGCAGGTCTCTGCATGCGCGACGGATGGCGGAACGTCGAAGACGTCGCCGTTTACTATTAATAGTAAGCTACTATTGCTATTACCGACGAGCGAGTCGGCGGGAGCGGAAAGCGGGCGTGAGGCGAATTTGCGAGGCGGTTTCACTGTTCTCCCTCTTCTAGCTGTAGCAGATTTCGCGCGGACTTGAATGCGGACCGAAGGAGGAATTCCTCTATGAGACGGGAAGATTTTCCGCGCGAAGGACGCGACGTTTTTCTCACTTTTCTATCTAGTTTATACGAGACTCTCCTTGCCTCGCCTCGCCTCGCCTCGTCCTTCCCGCGGCTAGCATACGCGCGACTCGAGAACATCTCGGTAATATCTTCGGCAGTACCTTGCCCGTCGCTGGAAAACGCATCGGCGATTTGCAACATATCAGAGCAATGGCGAGGAGAGCAGCGCATGAACGCTCTCTCGTCTTGACAGTAGACGTAGGATGTGACTGTCGGTAGGACGTTCTCGACGGCCGGACGATGCCGAGTGCAGATGCCGATGCATCGATTGATTCAAATGCGTGTAAAAAATTGATGCAATTCTATTCGTCGCATAATATGTATTTTTTATTATTTTTTTTTGTTTTATATCATGTAGTCATATCTGTCCTAATGTGCGCTTTGGATTCTCGAGTCAAATTGACAGACCGAGCGTAAGAATATATAAAGAATGATAGAAATTGATGTGTAAGAGTAAACTATGAGGTTCATGTGCATTTAACAAATTGCAATACGTGTCTCTTGAATGTCTATGATAATGGAAAATGTGAGTTTAGGAACGTTATTATTTTATGAGTTTAAGGAGAATCATAGAGAAGTTGTATACTTCTCTATTAAAGATTAGATTTCAATCATAGTATTTTTATACTTTTTACACATTTTATATATATATCAATCTTTAAGGAGATTATCAAGAATTTAACAAATATCTCAGATTATTAATTAATCTTAAATCGTAAAATATTTATTAACTAGATATTTTTACAAGCATTTTACACAACTAGGTCCATCCTAGTAATTGAAAATTGCATAGTCTCACTATATAAATGATCAATTAATAGAAGAAAAAAACTTAATGCATCTTTTAATTAAACCTCATATTTTTATATAAGATCAGAATCAGAATAGCATCTACAAATAGATTTTACAATTATAGTTTTAATTCACAGACTTGATTTAAATATTTTCGTCTTTGACATAAACTTCAGATTTCTTGGTTCGTGGAGCTTTTTTTCACAATGCACTTACAACCAAACTCGGCATCGTCAGTGCTAATGGGACGTCGTCTAAAGTGCGTGATCGATATCGATCGGTTCTTTACCACTACTCTTGCGTTTATGTGATTTTAGAGAGCTAAGGCGAACAACCACGGGTCCACCTCGTTTGAGAAAAAAAAAGAGAAACAGACAGAAGGAGAGAGTAAGAGTGAGAAAAAATTAATTCAGCACGATGGCGAGGCGGGCCCGGCTTAAAGTTACCTATTACGTTATGACATTTACTTTTAATCAAACTAACGTAGAGTGTCCTATTTATATACGTATAACGCGCCGCTACTACTACTTAACTACTACACAACTACTATACTTTACTATACCGTTATACTTATTACTACTCATTAATAGCGTTATTACTCTATGACGTTACTACCACTACTACCACTGTTACCAGCGTTACCTTTTACTACCACTTTGTGTTACCATTGTCTCGCTACAGTAAGCTTCACCATCGTCGTCGTCGTCGTCGTCGTTTTAAAACGTCCTTCATCGCACCAGTGCCCTTCGATTGACACGACAGACGAGAGAGAATGCTAAGCAGGCATTCTCGCCTCCAGAATTACCGCAGTCGGCACGCATCTCTCTTTTTGATGTATCTTGGTATTTTATTCACGTTCGCAAGTAAACCGTAAGATAAAGTAAGATTACAGATCGGGAATAACTTTGCATTACAGCGAAAAAAAGATTTTATTATTTTTACTGTTGAGATAAATATGAAAATTTGAATGCAAAAATATAGATAGAAAGAGAAATACGTAAAAGAATTCTCACTCTTTCTGAAAATATTATTTTATTTTAAAAAATATATTAAAAATTAGTAACTCTCTGCACTCTTTTTTTCTCCTCTTTTTCTCCTCTCTTTTGTTTTCTTGTTTTTTTTTTCGATGTTTTTAATATTTATTTATAATTCTAATTTTATTTTATTTTAAACAGATATACTGAATTTTTTCTTTTTTAGTTTCCGGGATAATATTCACGAAAATAATAAGCTTCAAATTAAATTTTTTATATTGCAGTTTATTATTTTTTTAGACTTTATTAAATGAAATCTTTGTTTTTCTTCAGGCGCAGTTATTCCTACCAATGTAATCTTACGATACCACCCCATCGCGTCGCTATCATAAAGCGATTCGAGCTTCGTAAACACAACAAATCAGGCATTGTCTTCACACCGTGATCCATACAAACACACAAGCAAACATAAACACATACATAACAGACACATTTACACAGAAACTGCATTAATTACCTGTACGTGCACAATAGATATGATAATTACGTGTGTATATGTTATGTTAATCTAAAGTCGTGTGTATCCGCAAATGCTCGACGCTTCGCGGATTGGACAGAATTGATAGCTACAAACATATCGATTTCACTTTTTTATTAATTCTCTATGATTGTAAATATTTGAATTGATGTCTGCTATATTTTATTTAACAATTAATCGTGTGTTGCAGTTGATGTAGTGTGCACAGAGCAAAGTACACAAAATAAGTCAAATATTTCTGTCGCTAGAAACGGAAATCAGCTCCAATTTATCGTAAATCTTTGTGATATTTTGAAAATTTTTTCTCAATTACTGATTAAAAACCTCTTGCGCGCGCGGACAGAGTTTTGATATCATTTTGTATCAAAATGTAAATTTATCAGACAGTTAATTTGGAAAAAAATAATTTTTTAAATAAATAGAACATATTGTACATATTTTAGAGATCGTGATCAATAATAGATAATTACTGAATGCAAATCTATAAAATATTTTATATGAAGGATTAATTGTTAATTTGTGATATATTGCTATTTATTAATAATTATTACAAAGGAATTATTTTAACACAAGGGAAACTTACGTATTTGATTGTCAGAAAATTTTTATATAACTATTTATATCAATATATTCATCCTTAAAAATACAGTGAGAAAAAAAAAATATTCAAAATATTTTGCATAAAAATTGCACATGCTCTAATATACTTATTACATTTTACAAGCGTGCAATCACTGTTATTATTAGCCGATATAGTGTGATATGATATGCGTAATATCATATGTGCATTAAACATTAGCGATAACAGCAATGAGTGATTAGTCTACTCAATTAACTCTAATTATTTTTTCTATAAGAAAAATGTATCAATTCCGTTTCTAGCGCGCAAAATTTGGTTTTATTAAAAAAAAATACAAAGTCCAATGGACAAACACACCGATTTCTAAAAAATTGTCATAGAGAACATGTCTCTGTATACGATTGATTTGTTAATAGTACGTCTAGGTTTGCGGATAAATACGCGTGCAAGTGTTCAAAAGACAAAATGCCCGGTAAGAATGCAAGGTAAACAGGATCCGAGGGTGCAAAGGCTCGAGCAACCCTTGCGATTGAAATTAGGATAACACGAGCCAGAGCGATATCGTTTCCTTATTCGAGGATTCACACGAAGGGCACAAAATTTCGAAAGCGTTTGTTTGAAAGAAACTAATTCGCCTCGCGAAATTGATAGCGATAAAATAGAAAAATTCTTGTTCAAAATACGCCAAATATCATTGATGCCAACGTCCTGTCGGAATATTTTGTAACAAGAGAAATAATAAGATTGTTATGATTCCATCGTCGTGATTGAAGAATTTTAGGAATATAAAATCTTGCCTTAGAATTTTTAAAAATAAATTTTTTGAGAAAAAGCCTTTTAACATAGCTATGGGAAATTATAACAAAATATTTGTAGACATATATAGAAACACTATTACTAGTCGTTGAGCTCGAAATATTTACAAACTAATGTCTTTTCGGTAAATATAATAAATATTTTCGTCCGTCCAAATTGCGAAAATATAAGTATTTAATAATGGACTAGATGTGTGTAGACAAAAAAAATTCCGGGAGATAAAAATGACTAAAATAAATAATTTGGTATTAATGTTGAAAAAATGAAATAGTACATTGGCATCAACATACGCGGCTATATAATAAAAAAAAAATCGAAAATTATTTTTCATATTTGTAAGAAACGCTTCGGCGCAATTGGAATCCTCGAGGACGAACGCTTTGCCTGAGATTTGCCTTACTTTCTCCTCATATCAGTCCTCATGTTTTGACGGGATCCTCGGATATAGGGATCGACTTTCTTGTCCGCGTGAATAAAGTGTCAAGTCCAGAGAAGGTTTCAGGAGAGGAGTTGCGGGAAAATCGAGATCGTGATTTCGGAGAAGGCTCGACTAGAATGAGAAAACCGCAAAGAGTTCCGGTCTCAAACAAGCAGGAAATAGAGATTCGGAATATATTTATATATTAGATACAATATATAAATATATTATATTTTTTTGTTCCTATATGTATGTTTTCTTAATAAGAGTCTACATGAAAGATGAAAGCGCAAGATTGATGTCTTCCGCTCCTGATCGAAAAATCATCCCTGGACTTAGCACTGCGGTGAATTATTTTTTAAGAGACAAATTGTCATAAGAACACAGGCGAGAGAGAAGAAAATGCGAAAAAAAAGAGAGGAGGAGGAGGACAAGATCGAGTCGTTTGGGCGTGAACAATAAAGTCGTTCTCACGACAAAACGAACGAGATCGTCTCGACGTTTGTTGTTTAAAACCGATTATCTGTCATTACTGTAACGAAATAACAGTCAATTCCGTTAGGTGTAAATCTATTCCCTTCTCCCCGTTTCATCGATGTATACAATAAATGTTCGATCAACAGATTATTTTCGAATTCTCTTCGAAATTTTGTTAATAAAATATTTCGATCGACGTCGCAACACTGAGTTTATCTATATATCTATATCGTTGATATTCGTAAAACGGCGGACATTCATGTACATGGGTGTTTCATCGTGGAAACAATACGGAACTTGTCGCACAGTTCTTCATCAAAATGATGGAAAGGTAATTAGAAAAAAAAAAAAACACGCCACACACAATGCACTATATATATAAATTTTTAAAATTAAATTTTCTGAATAGATTCCAGATTAGAAAAAAATTCTCATAGAACTCTTTCTTCATGTGCACAAGTTATTAAATTTTCTCTATCATTTTGAAGAAGAACTAATTATTTTAAGATGTAATATCTGAATTTCTTTCTCGAATTTATACACAACAATTTTTTAATCTGTGCATTGTAGAAACTCGTCTCACTTTCATTAATCACACTATTAAGAGAAACATATATCTTCTTAAAATAAAACTTAAAAAGATTAAAGTTATAAATAAAAAAAAGTATATCTCTAAACTGGTTGAAACATGAATATAATTCATTTTTTTATAAACATTAGCTCGCAAATGCAACTTTCTTGCTACACATTTTACAATATTTGTGAATTTGATATCGTAAAAATTTTCAACATAGCGATCTAATAAATGTTATATAGTCTTCGTATAAATAGTATATTGTTTCGATAACAAAAAGACAAATTTAGAGTAAAATATTCCTCTTAAAATTACTTATTTTTTTGCTGTTTCACTCTATTGTACGAATGTCCGCACACATATATACATATACACATGCACATATCACAAACACAGATATATGCTCGGCCAAAAAAAATCGCGTTTACAAATGTATTCTTACACGCGCTTAATCTATATACATATATGCACTTTGTCTATACAATATATATATAAAAAGAATGAACGTTGTTACTGAAAATAAATTTTACTAAATTAATACACACATAGACAAAGAGACAATGTGAATAGCAGCCAACAAACGTCCACATAAGTGTTGTAAGACGATTCAGACTAAAAAAGCATTATAGATCTTTTGATAGATCGTCGATCTTTCTTCCCCCTCTCCCTTTTTATATGCTACATGTTATGCAAATGATTGAACACATTAATCGTAAATTAAATAAAGAAGAAACAAAAGGAAAGCCGATGAAATGTCGATGTATCGACGGTCGTACGAATTGAAAAGTGATAATTAATTCCATCGCACGATTATGCAATCTCACTGATTACGCGATCGATCGCATGAGAGATAAAGAAAAAAAGAAAGAGAAGGTGAGAAAGTACGCAGATGTAATTTTAGTGATTAAAAATATGAAAAATTGCGAGAGGAGAAATACTTGGCGCCAATCTTTTCATTCATACGACCGTCGATTATTCTCGAAACGATGAATATGTCACTGTGTAATACTGTACTCGAATATTAATTAGCATATACATACACACATACACATACATGTGCGCGCACATTCATAATACCTTCTTTCCGGCCTGATTCGTTTTTAATTCTGTGCCGAGCCGCAACACAGTTTCCTCTCGCTTGGAATAATATATACATATATATATATATAAATAAAAATAATATATATATAAATATACACAGAGATATACAAATAAATGAATATATTATATATATAAATAAAAAATATATATATACATACATATAAATATATATATACACTTTCGATATAAATGACGAAGGGAGGCAGTTCAAAGGCAAGATATGTGAGAACAAAAAATTATAACGATTATATTTTATAAATAAAAAATTGACATGTGATATAGATGGTAAGGCACGCGAGAATGCGTTGCGATGCATTACGAAAGCAAATGTATTCTGTATATCGTTTCATTAAATCTACTAAAATGTAATCGATCGATTCTAGTTTTTCGCGCCCATCTAAATCCTCTCACTGCAATGGCTCCTCGTTTGTATTTTGTCTCCTGATTTTTTATATAACAATTCGCAATGCATCCGACATTTTTTTAGTTCAAGGGCAGCCTTTTATATCAACCCATCTTTTATAAGTATGAAAGATAATTATGCGCACCTGGCTATCGACTCTAAAACATATCATACCGGTTCTAGAATTTACATACGCAAACCAGATTTTACGGTCTAGCTTTGATGCTGTTTTAATAAAAATTGTCTTTATATAAGTGCTCATATCGGCAATAAATTAATAAAATATATAGATATTTATAAATTATCTTTAAATTAATATCGATAATTGTAAAAGATATTACTGATTATTGACAGATTTATTTGATGGATAAAGTACGTTAAATTATCATTAATATACAATTCTAAAATTCTAAATATGTGCAATGTAAATCTGCAATGTTTTTGTAAATATTCTGTATTATATTGATTAATTTAAGTTATATGCGTATTATTGATTAAAAATATAATTTTTTTAAGATTTATTTTTTATAAATATGTAAAGAATTTTCAAATAAGCGATTAAAAAGCTATGCGCTTATTCTCATTGTTATATAGAGATAAATTTGATTATATTTTTAAAATTATATATATATATATAATTTTTTAAATATATATATATATATATCTTAGAAGATATATCAAATGTTTTTTTTTTGCATAATCTATAATCTATGCAAGAGAATATAGCTCAATAATGGATTAATCTATATGGCAGATAAGAAAAGATAATAAAAGTGACATTTTAATTTTTGATGTATTTATAATTATATTTTCGATAATGTTATATATGTTTACGCATTTCTAATAAGTATCTAAAATTTCTTAATTATTTTTAGATAATGATTCATAAAGTATATGCTATATACCATATATGTATATGTATATATATATATATATATATATATATATATATATATATATATATATATATATATATATGTCATCCGTACACGCGGCAAATATTTACGGCAAACAATGATATCGAGCGTTCGTAAATTGAGCAACAGTCTGTATTCGCGGAAACAATGCTTGCGCGAAAGATGATATTCGAAAGATGATGCAGCAACTTACTTGAAAAACACGCATCTCAAATCGAAAGACCCACCAACGTCAACGGTCCGAACTTGCGCACAGACGCGTAGCCAATGAGGCCGCTGGCGAGCGTTGCCAGGTGACGCGCGCATCGACTGACGCATGCGCGTTGCCTGGCAACGAGCACGCTCCGAGAAAGTAGTCCGCGCTCGTGGAAACACAACACGACCGCGAACGGAGAAACACGAGGTTAATTTCGCGTCCGGAACTGTCATCGCGTAAATCACGTATCGTTTTTCGCGCGGAATCGTTTTTTCAGCCCGCGTAATCGCGACTCCGAAATAAATTCGGGCACGTGAATATCGAAGGGTGCGGATATCCCTACGCGCACGTCGCGTGCGAAGGAAGCGACGAGGCGAAAGAGAGTAAGAGAGAGAGGAGACGATTAATCGCGCCGGTGCGAGGAAGAGGAAGCGAACGGGCCGCCAGGCACAGGAAGTGGCTGCGCAGGGTAGGGGGAAAGTCGAAGGCAGTTGAGTCGGTGGTGGCTACATGTGGATATCCGCCGGTCGCGCCGAGAACTTTCGTATCAGGGAACAGGCGTGAACTTTCTTATACCCTCCCGTCGACGATCGCGGGACTCGTGACGAATCGCCCCGTAAATCGAGAATCGATTTGCTATTAACCATGCAGATGGATCCAACGACGTTGCAGCTGATCCAATTCCTCGAGAGGACCGTCTCGTCGGGTGAGTACTGATACTCCGTATCGGATCCGAGCATCGTGGCACCGTGCCATCGATGTCACCGGATACCGGCGATTCTTCCTCGTGAGGGAGACGAGAGTCCTCCGCGAGAGATCTCGTCCCCTGGACGAGGGAAAACGCCGAGACGACTCCGAGACCCGAGAGTAAACGTCTCGTGACGAAACGACGTTTCGCGTGCGCGTCGCAATTTTCTCTTTCGGGAGGAGAAACATTCATTCGCAACGTGCTCCGTTGTCCGCGGATTTCAGACTCGTCTCCTCGACGTCTCGTCTCTTCGTCTCGTCCTCCTCGATTTTCGCGGACGAGCTCGAGGGCCATTTTCGCACGCGTTTCTTGCGCGCGATATCGCGCTGTTGCTAGGCGCTTTGTTCGTCGCCGGAAAAGTATTGTCCTCGAGCACGACGGTTGCTTCTCGTATCTACACGATACAGCGCTCCTTCGCTAGTCTAACCTATACGATTTACCGATCCGCTGCGGGATTAATAATACGCTTCTTTCTCTCGTTTTCAGATAAGAATGAGCTCGTGGCAGCGCAGACTTATCTGCAGCATGCGGCCGACTCCAATCTTGTGAGTAATCGAAGGGATCGATCGAGAAAAATTTAGAAAAAAAATGGAAAAAAAATGATTCTCATTTTTGCCTGTTCTTTTTTCAGCATGAATTCGTGCAACGACTCAGCGCCGTGCTGGTCACAGTCGGCGCGAGCCCCGTCGCCCGCATGGCAGCGGGTCTACAGCTCAAAAACCAACTTACCTCCAAGGATCCCGAAATGAAGTTCCAGTACCAGCAACGCTGGCTTACCATCCCCGCTGAAACGAGGGATTATATCAAGAAAAATGTAAGATACGTTGCAGCCTACGGCTTGCACACCCTGTCTTATCAACAGCTCTTAATCTTCTGCCATGATTTTATCGTTGTTTTGTCCGAAATTTAAAAATAATATTTATATCTGTCTACTGAAACGAGGGATTCAATATTAAGAAAAATGTAAGATACGTTGCGCATCCTACATCTTGCGTACGCTGTCTTATCAACAGTTTTGATCTATTATCTTGATTTTATCAAGCAGAAATGTTTCATTCTTTTGTCCAAAATTGATAAAATAATATTTATATCTGTCTCTGATATCGAAAATCTACGTAAGAGAGTGAGATGTATTATTTTTTTTTTTTATCTTTGTTATTTTTTTTTTATATATACATATGCTTATGTCGCTGCTTAAGATAATTTAGAATTGCAGAATAGGAATTCTGTGTGCGTGCAAATACGTGGAATATTTGTGAGAAAGGTTTATTACTGTGTCTGTTAAGAAATAAAATTTTATAGCGTAGAATATTGACTGTTGCAGATTTTAGGAGCATTAGGAACAGAAAACAATAGGCCAAGTTCTGCGGCGCAATGCGTTGCTTATGTTGCTGTTGCCGAATTGCCTGTGGGACAGTGGAGCGAATTAATTCCATTGTTGGTTAATAATGTTGTCAACCCGTCCAGTACCGAGATGATGAAAGAGGCCACTCTAGAGACTATTGGATATATCTGCCAAGAGATTGAGAGCGAAGTGCTGGTATCGCAATCAAATGAGATTCTCACTGCTATTATTCATGGTATGAAGGGTTCCAGTACGTCAAATCATGTTCGACTAGCAGCGACAAGCGCCTTATACAATTCCCTGGAGTTTACTAAAGGAAATTTTGAGAAAGAGGTTAGTGTTGGACATATAATTCTTGTACAATATGTGATAAACAGTTAACATTTTAATTATACTTACAGACAGAACGGAACTTCATAATGGAAGTTGTGTGCGAGGCCACTCAATCAGCCAATACTCAAATCAGAGTGGCTGCGTTACAGTGTCTTGTGAAAATTATGTCACTGTATTATCAATACATGGAACCTTATATGGCTCCAGCATTGTTTCCTGTAAGTTTTTATCTCATAATTATATATTTATTTGAATTAGTATATAAAAACAATTATACAATGTCAAATAATATTGAAAAAAGGAAAGAATGTACATTTAATAAAGCCTTATGTCTTATTTTTCTTTTTCCAAATTGAGAAATGACACTTGATTTTCTAAATTATTAATTATCTTACTGTAAATTTCTATTGAAATTAATTGATAAATTTTTTGCAGATTACTTTAGAAGCTATGAAGTCCGATATCGATGAAGTGGCACTTCAGGAATAGAATTCTGGTCGAATGTGTCTGACGAGGAAGTTGATTTATCGATGGAAGAAGGAGAGGCATCGGAAGGAGGCCGCCCACCGCTAAAAGTCTCACGACATTACGCTAAAGGAGCTTTGCAATATCTTGTACCGGTATTGATGAAAAAATTAACCAAGCAAGAGGAATTTGATGATGAAGATGATTGGAATCCCTCAAAGGCCGCTGGAGTATGCTTGATGCTACTTTCCAGTTGCTGTGAAGAATCCATCGTTCCATTCGTTCTTCCATTTGTCAAGGATAATATTAAGAGCCCCGACTGGAGGTATAGAGATGCAGCTCTTATGGCGTTTGGTTCGATTCTTGGTGGTTTAGAACCGGCCACGTTGAAACCGCTGGTAGAACAGGCTATGCCCACTCTCATCGAGCTGATGTATGACAGCAGTGTGGTCGTTCGGGATACAGCAGCATGGACATTTGGTCGTATATGTGAGATGATTCCAGATGCCGCAATCAATGAGACGTATCTGAAACCATTGTTGGAATCCTTGGTTAACGGATTGAAAGCCGAACCTCGTGTTGCCGCCAATGTATGCTGGGCATTTACTGGTTTAGCGGAGGCAAGCTACGAAGCTGCCGAAGTGAGCGAAGATGCCACTCAGCCAGAAACATATTGCATGTCGCAGTACTTTGATTTTATCATTCAACGACTCTTGGAGACAACGGATCGACCGGACGGAGCTCAAGCAAATCTGAGATCTGCCGCTTATGAGGCTCTGATGGAGATGGTCAAGAATTCACCACGCGACTGTTACGTGACTGTGCAGAAGACTACAATGGTGATACTCGAGCGATTGCAGCAGGTATTACAGATGGAGTCGCATATACAAAGCCACTCTGATCGTGCTCAATACAATGATCTGCAGTCGCTGCTTTGTGCAACTTTGCAGTCTGTTCTGCGTAAGGTCACTCCAGAGGACGCGCCGCAAATATCCGACGTGATAATGACCGCTTTATTATCCATGTTCAACTCGAATTCGTGTAAATCAGGCGGTGTGCAGGAAGATGCGCTCATGGCCGTCTCGACTCTGGTCGAAGTATTGGGTGAAGGTTTTCTAAAATACATGGAAGCGTTCAAACCTTACCTTTGTCTTGGTCTGAAGAATTACGCCGAGTACCAGGTGTGCTGTGCTGCTGTTGGTCTCACTGGTGACATTTGTCGCGCACTCAAGAACAAAATGATACCATATTGCGACGAAATCATGACGCTGTTGCTCGAAAATCTCAGCAATAACGCCGTCCATCGATCAGTTAAACCACAAATCTTCTCGGCTTTCGGTGACATCGCCATGAGTATTGGGCCAGAGTTTAAGAAGTATCTCGACGTTGTACTGCAGACGCTAGTGCAGGCATCACAGGCTAACGTAGATAGGAGCGACTACGATATGATCGATTATTTGAATGAGCTGCGCGAGGGCGTACTCGAAGCTTACACTGGCATTGTCCAAGGTCTTCGCGGTGATGCCAACAATTGTCCAGACGTTGCCATCTCTCTCATCGAGCCGCACGTGCCGTTTATTATACAATTCATCACTTCGATAGCACAGGACCGCGAGCATTCTGACGGCAATGTGTCCGCTGCGGTCGGTCTACTGGGCGATCTCGTAATGGTATTCGGAGCCAAACTATTGCCAATGGTGGAGACCGAGCCACTTAACGAGCTATTGTCTAAGGGTAGGAAGTCGCGAACTCACAAAACTAAACAGCTGGCGACTTGGGCTGCAAAGGAGATTCGGAAGCTCAAGAGTCTCGCCAACGCTACGTCCAGTTGGTAAGTACTATGTCTTCTATTTACATTCTTTCAAAATTTCTTTCAAAACGCCGTGCTTTCATTATTCGTCGGAATGATGTCGATGCAATTTGATGAAAAAAAAAAACCCGAAATGCACTAACACCGCATATTTTTTATTTCGAGTTTCTTCTCCAACTCGTATTTCAGTATTTTATTATTCCATTTAGAGCGATGAGGTTCATCTTTGTTACTTTTGCTGCTCCTCTTCTCGCGCTTTTCCGCGCTCCGTCTTTATCATGCACATTTTATTATCGTATATGCTTGTGAAGTTTTGACGGGCGAGCTTTTCGCTAGCGGGAATAGGACAGAATTAGGATAGGATTGTTAGAGGAAAATGAGAAGGGGGAGAGATATAGGGAAAAACAGAGAGAAAGAGAGAAAGGGAGAGAGAGAGAAAGAAAGAGAGAGAAAATGCGCGCATGTGAGCACATGAAGGCATTGAAGAGTTGTTTCACTTATCGACAGGAATGTGCTACTTTCCGTTGTAGCGTTATTTTCTGTTCCTCGGACATTCTGCGTACGCGATTTGAAATGCCCGTCTGAAAATGTTGCCCCTCTTCCCGAAAGAAAGGGCACCGATGAGCGACGGTGACTGATATTTGGCTCGCTTTTGTTGTTTACAGATCGCCCCACGGTTGTACTGTCGTGCAATTTGATTTGACTAGAAAGCTATCAAACACAATACAAAGACAACAAGATTGGATGGTGCGGATGCGAGTTGATGGATGTGCGTGAGTCCAAAGCGATGATGACGAAATGGAGTGATGAGTCTGCACTTGTCCCTATCTGGCGACGGTATTTTATCGATATAATATCGGTGTTGAGCGCAGCCCATATAATATGAAAGAAAGGGATTTTAGTGAGAAAGCGAGAGTGAGAATGAGAGAGAGAGAGAGAGGGGAGAGAGAGAGAGAGAGAGAAAGAGAGCATGCGAGACAAAGAGAGAATAAAAAAAAAATAAGTACCTGTCTGCCGGATGTCGACAATGGATGATGAAGAATGCAAGTAAATGTTGCTGATGAATGAATCAAGGCCAAACGAGAAGTCCGCGAAGATGATTCTAATTGCAAGTATGTCTGGTACAAACAAGCTTGCGGCTTCTATTTGCGTGATTGGGAGATCAAAACTTGAGAAAAGAGAGAAAGAGGATGACTTCGATGGACGATTACATGAAAGACATGAGAGCAGAAGAAGATACGAGAGAATGAGATGCCAAAAGCGCGACAGGAACACCAAGAGAGGACGGAGAGTATATATATATATGTATATGAATGACGGAGAGAGAAAATGAGAGAATGAGAGACTCAGGGAGAATTTCTGAAATAAAGTGATAGCGTGATAAATACGAGAAAATGTGTATGAAAAATGTATTAAAATGTATGTGCGTATGCATGTGATGTATGAGAGTGAGAGAAAGAAAGAACAAAAGTCTTTTACTTACGGTGATTTTCACCGTTGACTCATTGTAAAGCTCTCGCCGAGCTTCTCAATGACGTGCATCAAATTTTGAATCACAGTTTATAGCTATAAGGTTTAGAATTTACGTACGTATGGAAGAGTATCACTTTCCTAATGCAGCGGGATGGATGGGCAGCAAGGAAGGAAGCGAAAAGAGAAAGAGAGACTGAAAGTGCGAAAGGTCGGGAAGATTGTAAAACTCATTAAGAAAAAAAAAGAAAAAAAATACTAGGTGACCCCTGGTCCGATCGTGCTACGCGAGAATCCGCACGTGATCTGTTGTGTAACAGTATGATACGATGATGTGTATGTTACTTTTTCCCCGTACGTGAATGTCTGTTCCTGTTGGTTGGATCATTAAAGTTAATATTTTGCCTGGCACAAGTGATTTAAGTTGTACCGAAGTCCTCGTCCGGCCTGAACGTTTAAGAGCGAGTGATGATTTTTGAGCGCTCAAACAATCCTCAAGTCTCATCCCGTTCGCTTTTCCTTTCCCCATTAGCCTTTGTAACCGGTCGATACAAACGTGTACATCATTTTTTGTCTAATTCGATTAAGTACGCGATCACGGTATTCAGAAGTGACGTCGCAGACGAGGAGCTTTGCACTGCCAGTTGGAACAACCGCTGCACGGCTTGTCCACACTTTTTAAACACTCGTTCCTTCCTTCCCTGTTCGCGAGACGTCTGGGTCACTCTCGAGGTCTGGGTGAGATCGTCTTCCTGGTTCACGCGTTGCCATACAGGAGCGTCCTTTATCCCTTTTTTCCCCATACGATGAGAGAGAGAGAGAGAGTCTCGCGGATCACCGGGATTTTGAGAAGATACCGTGGTCGTGTTTAAACGGGTAATTCGCATATAATAGTTTTAGCGTCGTAGCCTGGAGATGAAGGGTAGTTTTAGAATAGATCTCTTTCTCCGAACAAAGTGTGTGCTTCGCGTGTTTGTTGATGAAATTTAACCGCGTGTTTCGATTTCAAATCGCAATATACCTTTCCACGTTCGACCGGGATATCTCAAGTACCACGTGGTGTATCTCTACCTCCGCTTATATATCCACGTATCTTTGATGACGATGTCGCCAAGTAATTACGTGGATCTTTTCCAAGATGCGCAGTTCGCGATTTTTTTCTTTTTTTTTTTTTATTGCGACACGGAATTACGTCACGTCGTCGTCGAGAAACGTGTTTGTGGTAGTGCCATGCATTCCAAATACTTTTGCCAGCGAACATGCCGGACTTTCTTTTCGTAATTTGACTATTTTTTAGCGCGATTTCGTTCCAACATATACATTACTTGTCGCAAATTTTTGAGATGCGGAAGAACGAGATAGCGATGTAGCGTAATTTATGGGAGTTTTAAGCTTCTTGAATTTAATTAAACGCGAGCGTGTATGTATTTTGACAAATGCCAATGGGAAAAACAATTTTGCTGGCACTTTCCGATATCAGAGCAATTAAAAATATAGAATGATCATGTCGATTGATCTATATCTCTGTCTCTGAAAACCAGAATTCGTGCATCAACGACGCACGTTGATTTATAAACACGTGCGTGCTTAAACAATTTTTTTTTACATCGATCGAATATTTTCCGTAACATAATATACCATGACGTTTATTATTACAGTATCCCCGCATAAGTATTGCCACGATATTTCATATAATCCGGGTTTTTACGAGAAATAAATATATATTTTAGATACTCCTCTCCCTCAACATACTCGTAAATCGTAGAAAAAGAAAATGCTTTTTTTTCTTGTTCTTATTATTCGTTTAAGAAATGTGTACACACACATAATTCGATATTTTGTTTACGCATCTGCTGGATTCAGTAACAGTGATAATAATAATAATAATAATAATAGTGATAATAATGTATTATCTTCGACAGATTGTGACATACGAGTATCGCCAAATTGTAAATAAGCAAGTAACAAGCTTTTAATCATCGATTTGAAATCTATCGAGATAATGTCAAAGTTTAATAACGTACGGAAGATATATAAATATATATGTATACATATATTAAAATCACTTTTCTCTAAGAGAAGGATAAACTATTTTTCTAAGACGAGATTTTCATATAAATTGCAAGTGAAACTTCTTGCGAAAACATAGGAAAACATTTCGAACTTGTGGCAATATTTATTCGAGCAATTTTATATTTATTTTAAGGCGATTGTCAAATAACCAATGATTTTCAAAAATATGTTGAACATTTATCTGTAACATTTTTTTATGAATTAATAAATTACGCCAAATTATATCAAATTTTACATTAAAAATCCATTAAACGACACACTTTCGTACATAAATTTAATCGTCAAAAATATTTCGTACATAGTTAATTATTCTGTAAATTTTTAAATATTTATCAAGGAAGTTGATTATCCTCCGTAGTGTCAAAATGCGATGCTCTTAACGCCGAATCGTTTAAGCATGGTTATCACCGATTACGCAATTATCCATTCGCAATCAATAGCGAATTTTTCGATTACGATGGATTCGATAGGAGCGCGAGTATATATATCCTTTTATTTATACATTCCACTTTTAGAAAAGATTAGGTGAAGAGAAAGAGAGAATGAAAGTGAGAGAGTATCACGACGGAGAGGACAGCGGTGCGCGTTTTTCCGCATCTTTTGCAAAGAACTCGATCGCTCACCTTTTTCTGATACGCAATCGAGGGTTTGCGAAATTTCTGTGTGATTGTCGCCGGAATTCGCAGCGCGTCCCAAATTTGCTGAGATTATTTTTTTAATCAAACTCTTGTGCTAAACTCATAAATTTGCAACGATCCAAGAATCACAGTTGTAATTTTAATATTGAATCGATTATATATATTTATCTAGAGTTTTTATTATCATTAACAAAGAAATCAAGTTTGAGCAAAAGTTGCATTGTTTCAGAAAATTTAAATAATTTAATTTCTATTCAAATATCGCTATTTTTTATGTCTTTTTTTGTTAGTATTGACTTATCTACATATCTAATAATAGAAAAATTATATAGCCTTGAATTCTAAAAATTTTTGAAGAGGTGAAATTATATGCGATTTGATTTGTCAAATAATAAGAAAAAATTTTATAAAATAAAAATATTCTATTCTTTACTAAATTACCTTTAGATATTTGACAATCAAAGATCGTTGAACATTTTTTCTCTCTTCGAGATTAATCGAATGCTAAAGATATCACTATATTTATGGTTCTAATTGTTATTTCTAAACGTATTAAATATTGTATTTATATCTAAAACGGATAATCGGAATCGTTTCAAAAAGATTGTCCGAGTCTGACGCGAAATTGCCGCGAATTGCGTCGTCGAATTTATCGAAAAAAAAATAGAAATAGGGGGAAAAAGGCAGAAAAGAGAGAGAGAGAGAGAGAGAGAGAGAGAGAGAGAGAGAAAGTTAAATGCGAGAGAGTGGGGTGTAAAATTGTGGGTGAATGAATGAACTGAAAATTTGTGATGCCAGAGAAAAGAGAGAACGAGAGGGAGATCGTATAGAAGACTAAGCGACGAGATACAAAAGAGTGACAAAAGTTACGAAAATACAAAAATGAAAAAATAATAGATGTATATGCGACTGTGATTTTTTGAAAGAGAGACTCTCGTGTGCGGGGGATCGACGTTCTACCCTGAAGAGAGCACGGTCTTCGCGATCTTTCGCGATCCTTTTGTCGATCGCACGGGACAAGATTCTGACGGACGATCCTGATTTAGCATATCCTACGATCCTTCTCTTTTCTCTCCCTCTATCTCGATAATCCTGATCGAGCCTGAAACGCACACGTCGGGATCGTCGGCGAAGAAAAACCCGCTCGCGAATACCGTGTTCTACATCAGGCTGGCTTTGTAATGCGTATACGAAAGTCTTGATCGGACAGAAAATTGTTTTCGTCGTCTTGTATAGATTAAATATTTCGATAATATTTTTTAACGATCGATATAAAATCGAAGGGTTTGAGAAACTCTTTTTTTAACAGAGCTTCGGGAGATCCGCGATAAAAGAGATAATAAGTCTATTCTATATATTCCAAACAATCGCATGCCAAAGATTTTTTTCAAAGATAGAAGAGTAACACGTGGAGAGGAGTATTAATTAATTGTAAAATAAAAAGAAGAAGAAAATTATCAGGCTCCGACGCTCTGTGTAGATGATCGCTGGAAGTTATCGGGAAATTTTCCTCGCGCAAAAAAATCCGTACACAATGTTCTTTGCAATATCATTTCTCGCCGTAAGAATATCCTCGTGATTATGTCGAGGAAACGACGTGAAACGTCCTTGCGGCGGAGAAGATCCTCGATGCGTGACGACGTGGACTTTTTCGCCAGCATTGCGAAGCCAGCCTGAGGAAAACCCATAATAGCACGACAAAGCGACTTATTGACTCTTGTCGACTAATTAGTTGTTTAGCCTTTTCATCGTCGAGACTCCTAGAGTGCGTGCGATGCTTACTAGAGCGAACGTACGTGATGAGCGTATTTTAGTATATTTAAAAAAAGTCGTGTGCATTACGCTGTATCAGTGATGATGTGCGCTGTGAAGTAAATGAGGAGCGAAATTTATCAAGGATGCATCGATGATTGAAGGAGCGGATCGGGGAGAGAGAAGATGTTAGTGATGTTGATGTTGCTGTTGAGGATGATGGTATAATGATGAGAATGTTGATGATGATGATGATGATGATGATGATGATGATGATGATGATGATGATGATGATGATGATGATGATGATGATGATGATGATGTGGTTGGCTCGTGATTCGTCGTGAATCGCGGCGTCACGTTCGAGAAAGGAGAACGGATCGTCGATGTTGGAGAAACGGAAGCGAGAAGCAAACGTGTAAAAGTAAAATATAAATTTTATATCGCGGGGCGGGCCGGATCGCGCCGCTTGTCGGCCTGCGGGATCAATGGAACATTTTTTCAACCTATAAGTTTTATATTATTCAAACTAATCCGCATAAAACACTTCCCGTTATTCATGTATATTTAAATCTACAAGTGATGCAATCAAAATAATTGTTTGCTTTTTTCGGGACTACCTTCTCGTAATTATCAATGCGATTATACAGATGTATATCACTTTTTCTGAAATTTGTAGATACTAGATTGTAATTTAACATCCGCACCAATGACCGCAAACAAGTAATATAGTTGCAACATTGCTGTCCTTCAAATTTTCCACGTGATCCTGCGGGCTCGCGGGCGTCCTCGCGACTTGCCGCTCGCCTGCGGTGTCCTTGTATGTACGAGACAATATTTTCGATAATATTTTTTAACGATCGAGTCGCGAAACACGAGCCCAACGTATAGATCTGTTGTTCGATGCGCTTGATATCGCGCGGCGGTGGCGACGAAGCGATGTATCGCAGGAACATACACGAGCGCAAAATTATTCCTTTTCTCTTTTTTTTGTCCCCTTTGTTCCACGATGTTATACCGAAAGAGAGAATTCTACCTCGAATAAGTCGCAGAAATTGCGATCGAAGCGACAGGTCTTTTCCTCGCGTCACACGCTTTCTGCAGAGAATTATCGATATTGGGATATCCGTCAATTAAAACTCGCGTGTTCCATAGTAATTAATTGTTACATATTGTACCGAACGAAAATTCCAATAACACGATAGCTCCAAAGGAAAACATCTGTTCCGTGTGTGTAGGTGAAATTCGGTGTAGATTTCTCTCTCGTTTTCGTGAAAAAAAAAAAAAAAAAAATAGTCGCGATACAGAAGTCCTTGCGTTAAAATGTGTCACGTCGAGATTCCTTGCGATCTACGATATTTTTCTGAAGCGAGATACCGAAAGAGGGAGCGACGCCACCGTCGTGACGAAGTGGGCGAAATAATTAAAATAAAAAAAAAAATAAATAAAAAAAGCACAAAAAAAAACAGCTGCGTGCGTGGATGACGTCTGGTGCGCTGCGCATGTGATGAGTGCCGAGTGCTGCTGCCGATCGGGAGGCGATCGGACCAAGATGATTATAATTGACGCATGGTGAGAAGAAAAAATGTGTCTCTAGGCGACCTATATATGCGTGGGTGAAGCGAAAAAAGAGAGAGAAATAAAAAGGGCGATGCTGAATGTGGACGTCCGCCTGTCGTCGTAGCTCCACCCTCTCCTACGAGCAATTTCCTGGCACTCGATCCGCCGATCTCTGTAGGATAAGGCCCTTTCGCGACGTGATAAGAACGTTGATTAATCTTTATTGGTGCTTCGCGACGAGCAGAAATTCACGGCCTACTCTCGCGACACGCGAGAGACAATCGAATCGCCGATTTTCGATGTAACCCTCGCAGATCGGATATGTAATCGTTAATACTTGCTCAACTCGATGTTCTTTTGCGCCTACGATCGGTGTCGAGCTAAGGGAAAAGCACTAAATTTCGCTATTTCAAGAAATGTGATGTGACAAAAGGGATTTTATTTTTTTTTATATTTAAGAAAAAATTTACAAGGATGGAAAAGTTTACAAAATTTAATGTAATATGCATTTTTTACAACGCAGAGATAAAGAAATCGGCTACTATATGTGAGATAAAATGTTGAAGAATATCACCGGAAAATATTATTTGCGATAGCAATCAGGATGGCAATCAATATGTAAAATATTTTAATCTAATTAGATATTTTTAGATATCGCGATTCGGATTTAGATGAAATGGATATGAAGTTAAAATTTTATCGAAGATCAAGAATCTCACTGTATGAAACATTTATTAATTCCATTTAATGTCGTTATTCCGGAATTCTAAAGAGCCAAGTGAATGAAGACACTATATAAAATTTATAGGGTCTTTCAAGTTTTGGGTTTTGAAACTAAATATATATTTGAGAATTGATGTATGATCTATAATTTCAAAATTGACGATGTATCAGAATTATTTCGCCGCTTTATCTAATGTTTGACTTTGTACAAATAATTGTTTTTATTGATTTAAAAAATCAATTTTTTTGTCTGAAAAAATATCAAACTCAATTATATCTTAGGTGATTATCGTCTTTTCACTTGTTTCTTGAATTAATGAGTTTCGAGACGGTTGCAAGGAATTAATGAGATTATGACAGGAGAGGGTGCGGCACATTCGCGCGATGTGTGTATATCGCATTGCGTTATCATTTTATTCCTATTCGGTTTGAATCAGTCATGTGGTGCTTGCGGAGACTGTGTTTCCTGTGAAGATTTATAATTGACAACGATAATGTGACTTCGGCTACATCGCTTACGTGAATGCTAGAGCGATCGTGGAATGACTGGAGGACGAGTCTTCGGGAAATGTGTCTAGGCGTATAATCGGTCACATTAATGATCGCTCGATAGACTTCCTCATCGAGGCCTTCCTGTCAAGGCCCCTACAAAATAAGCGGCGAAAGTTTTTTCGCATAATCTCGATGCGCGATTGGTGCATCGTTACATTGCATACAGGATCAATTCGATTGCATATCACTTAAGACATTAATGTGGCTGACTGTACCGACTGAATGCGAGAGACAGAAGAATTATACGAATCGCCAAGCGACAGTGCCATATAATATTCAGAGTCATTTCGACTGTTATTTCTTCGTCGTTTGATTTGTTTTTCTTCAGAGACGCGAGTTTCGGAAATGCGACAAAAAGCGCTCACGATCTCGTATATACAGGAATGCGTGTGAAAGGTAAAACGAGATCGATGGAAATTGCGAAAATTGCTTCCTGTTTTTATTTTCATGATTTCCTTCTTTTTTCTCACAGAACACGAAAATAAAAATTTCATTTGAAATCTGTATACACGCAGTGATGCCATTATTACCAGTCGCCGCTCAAATACTTATATCAAACATATAGCCATTCTTTTTCGACGACATCTGTTTTATATTTATCGCATTTTGTTTAAAAAACATTTTTGGAGCAGAAATTTGGAGTTCGAAGCATTAAAAGTTTATTTTTTAATTTTATTTTTTAAAGAAACGTATTTCTGCATAAATTATTACTTACATCAATTGTTATGCTTGCGTGATATATAATTCGATATTATTGTGATTAGCGTATATAACTAAGCATTCTTTATTTTCTTGAATTAAAAATTCGCATTGTGATGAAACGAAAATCGCATCTATCCGGAGGGAATGGGAACAAAGAGGGTCCGTAACACGGCATGTGCCAGTATTATTCTTAATCTCTTCTAAGCACCTTTAACCCAATTGAATTAGAAGGACACACCCCGCGACACACAGACTAACTATCCGTCGATCGCATTAAATACGTTCTTTCATCCAGTGCAAGAGTGCGTGTGCAGTTGATTGTAATTTCGAGTCATTCAAAAGTGTCATTATTTACAATTATAAATATTTCTTTGCATTTTTTTTTAATGAAAGAGATGTACGTGACTTAATTTAATTATATATTATACAAGGATTGAGAGACATTTGCAATTTGTGTTTGTTGATTTTTGTAAATCTTTTGTCTTTTTTATATATTTTTTTCTCATTATAAATTCTGAAAGAAAATTGAATTTACGTTGTGTATGATTTCCGTATTTTTTGGAATAATAAGTTAGACGAATATATTACAAATCTATATTCTCGATATCATTAAAATAATCCCAATACTGCAAAAATACTCAAACATCAAAGTCGGCAATTGGAAGAATAGCATTAACGTATTTTGGACACGTGTCCTGTTAATAGAAGACGAATCGCGGCGAATCGCCGTCAACGCCGAAATCGTTGAGGGTGCATGGTGCATTTTTTACAAATCTACGAGAGAGACATCACTCTCTCGCACTTTTATTACGGAGGAAGACGGACAAGATGCAACGCACGTCACATCAGTCGTATTCATCCACGGATGGAGGCTAATGCACGTCACGTGACGCCTTTATAAGGTATCATCGAAGCTTTTTCGATAACGTGGGACAAAGTCGAAGTTCACCGAAATGGAGGGAAAGAATAATAACAGCTCCACACAAGCCGATAATACCAGAGTTACGGAGGATAACGTAAGTATTCATTTTTATCGGTTATTTTTACGAAAGTTATCTTCTCTTGTCTTTATTTTTATTTTCGATTATTTATTTTTTCTATTTTTAAGTGTGCACATTACTCTGCATCGACTTCATGGAAGCGAAATTCTATGTTTGAGATGACATTAATTTTTCGTATATACTCGTTTAATCTCTCTTGGTTGAATAATATCAAAATCATTTTTAATATTAAAATTATTTATATTGTTATTATCATTTAATATTATTAAAAATTATTTATATTAAAATTATTTTGCTTAAATGGTCCATGAAAATTTTACACTTTCTAAGTTGATTCTACAATAGATAAAAAAAAGGTTTTCAATAGCAGCCAGAGAGAAAACAGCTCTGTTAGCAGCTCTGTTTTTTTACCACTTTAATTTTTTGAACGATTTGATTGAAAAAAGAAATCAGAGTTGATTGTTCTTTAATTAAATTAGAAAATAATTTTTATAGCGATTAAAAGTAAAAGATTTTTCGAAAGTTAAATTTTATATAATTAAAAAATATAAATATTTTTCTCCTAATTAATTAATTTTGCTAACTTCAATTTTGATCTAAATTTTAATAATTTTTACTACATATAATGCTTCAAAATTAATGTTGAAAATTAAAAAGTGTCCAATTACTCGAAATTGGTCGAAGAAAATTCATGACTCATTCGCATACAAAGTCTAGAGCAATAGGATACTCTCTCTAGCCATTTAATCGCGAATCATAGGATAGCTTCGATCTCGATGATCTTCTGCCGATCGTCGGCGAGTTCGGTCGTTATCAAAAGCAGTTGCTGTGGCTGGTCTGTCTACCTGCATGTTTGCCTTGTGGTTTCTGCGCTTTTAATCAATTATTCATGGCGGATACACCGCCACATTGGTGCAAGATACCAGATCTGGAGCATATGGATGCTGCACGCAGAAGGCGTCTCGCCATTCCTGTGAGTCAGGTGCAATCGATTGTGCAAGAGAACTCGTTTTTGCGATGCTTTATTAATTACGCGTTCCAAATCATGATATGTAGAAATTCATGATTTATATCGATCGATGTATCGCATCTACTTTTTCAGCTGACCGATCAGAGAACTGTATCTTCTGCGTATATTTAATATTATGTGTGGTATAGTTGTGGGTTTTGTCGACGTAGCTTCCTTCTTTTTAATTTTTATTTATTGCATTTCCTTAGCAATTTGTTTCCTTTGCTATACGAGTCCAATCGATTTAATGAATCGCACCGTAGCCTATATCGTTATTTAATTGCAATTCGAGTTGTGCCTAGTTAGCTCGAACTCATGCTAAAGAACGCAAGTTATTCTGAATTTCTTTTGTAGTTTGTCATTTTTTCAACAAAGCTAGAAGGTTGAAGAGCCTATAAGTGCAACGTTGTACATGTATGCAATTTCCTCTAGCAGTCTAATAGGATTTAACGTTAAGTGGGAATAAGTAAAACCTTCCATTTGTATCACGCGCAATCGACCCCATCGATAGGATCGATTCTGCCTTATGGCTCAAGCACAGTGAATGTATTATTCATACGATGTCGCGCGACGTGACGCTAAAAGATGTAATATGAATGCAGGACGACAACGGGACCTATAGCCAGTGCACACGATATGACGTCGATTGGACGACGATGGAGAACAATTCCGTCGTGGAGATGTCAAATACGTCGTGGTCCATCGTGCCTTGCGACCACGGCTGGGAGTATGAGACCTCTGAGGTGACATCGTCCATTGTCGTTGACGTATGTCATGCGTCCAGTCACACAATTAAATTCTTTTCTTTTCTAGACTTTGTATAAATTGCATTTTTTCGCGATTAACATATTTTTATTCAATTTTAAAATTTTCTCACTTTTTTATATTATTTATTATATAATATTTTATATATTTATTTTATTTTATAATATTTATTTATATAATAAAATTTTATAGTCTCGCTTATTTTTAAGGCAAGATATACAAGTAATATACAGTTTTTTATGGAACTAGGTAATTCGAATCTCATTTGGAAAAATTCTAAAATATAAAGAATTTTATACACAAGGAGAGAAAAAGATTTGACCCAATAATTGCACGATTATGTTAAAAATTCGATTGTGTTACAGTTCGATCTCGTTTGCGATCACGCAATCTATCCAACGATTGGTTTGGTGGCTCTTAATATGGGGGGTCCTATAGGAGTATATCTGTTCGGTACATTAAATGACAGGTAAATTAGAGCTTAATTGTTTTTTTATTTAGTTTCTTTTTAATTGAAATTTTATTTTATTTTTCTTAATTAGAATATGATTGCCTATTTCAAAGATTTAATAATAGATAAATAGATAGTAGATAAATAGAACCGTCTAGAAAAAAATATTCTATATTTATGTTTTAATTATATTTATTTTTACTATAGATTATTTTTATCTTATTAAATTTTAGTGCCGTCTTTAAGTGTCATTGTTTTATATATTTGTTAGAATCGGTCGAAGACTGTCTTTCTTCACGTGTCTGGCAACGTTAATAACTGGCGGTTTTCTAACGGCGATAACAAATAATTTTTGGACTTGGGCTTCTACGCGCTTCGTCGTCGGTTTGACGATACCAGCAATTTATCAAATACCTTTCATTATCTGTAAGCAGTTAACTTTTGCCGTAAATAAACATTTTCCTGATAAATATTGATAATAACATAATAAAAATATTTGATAGGATCGAACATAAGCTTTATCGATACTCGTAATAGAACTTGGTAATTATATTTTTTTAGATAATGATTAATTAATATTTATTAATAACTTTATTTCCGTAGCCTTAGAACTCGTCGGCCCAAATTACCGTTCATTCGTGACTGTTATGACTTGTACTTTTTATACGATCGGTCTCTGTATGCTAGCAGGTGTCACTTATTTAATACGCGGTTGGCGAATGCTTGCCATAACCACAAGTGCACCATTCTTGATCTATTTCTTTTACTGGTGGTGAGTGAATAGCACAAATAGTTAATATTCTCATTAAAATTTCTCTCCGCAGATTACATATTATTTATTAGATTACAGAAATAACATAAATATAATATAATGGCAATTGTCATAGATATGCAATATTTGCGATCCATAAGAATTATTTTTACTGAGATATATCTTTTTTGAATATTATCAAATTAATATGCAATTAAAAACTTAAAAAAATGTTTTTTAGCATTTGCTTACTTAGACAACAGTTTAACATTTACGATTATCATGTATTCAAATGGTTGTCGAAATGCAAATTAATTATTCTGAAATAATTCTAAGTAGTATAACTCAATAGTTTTTATATTCATTTATTCTTCCCGCACACATATAAGATTAGAGATTGTTATAGGTTTTTACCGGAATCACCGAGGTGGCTATTAGCAAAAGGTCGTCTAAGCGAAGCTAATGATATTCTCGAAACTCTGGCTCGGGTAAATGGCAAAGAGCTCCCGGCATCGTTTACGCAAAAGCTTCGTCAACGCATGACAATGTCGAGATCGAAGAGCGAAGAGGAAAGATTGAGAACCGGACCCGGTGTCCTCTCGCTTTTCAAAACACCGAATATGCGTCTCAAGACATGCCTTATAACTTTAAACTGGTAATTGGCACATAAAAGTGCTTATCAATTTTAGAACCAGCAATGCGCAATATATTCAATTTTTATTCTTTTCTCTTCCTATTTTTATTTACCATTTCGAGCTTATTTAGCAATCTGTTTATTAAAGAAAAGTCAAGCTTTGCATAATTATTTTTTAACGTGTTGTTTTTCACATAGATTCATGTTGTGTAAATTTTGATTAATTTTTTTTAATTAATCATAATAAATTTAAAAATCATGAATTTTTTTTAATTAATCATAATAAATTTAAAAATCATGAATTTTTTTTAATTAATCATAATAAATTTAAAAATCATGAATTTTTTATCTATAATATGACCATCTATTTTTTATTAGATTGATTGATTTCTTGGATTTTATTGACGTCGGCATAGAGATAATATAACGTGATAATTTATAACAGAACGTTATTTCCTGACAATCACATTTGACGTGAGAATAAATGGATCTTCATCTTATTATGATCAGGTTTGCTAACAATATGGTGTACGTCGGTCTTTCTTATTACGGGCCGGCATTAGGAAATGAGGAACACCTGAGTTTTCTCTTTTCTTCCCTCGCCGAGATTCCCAGTTACATCGCTTGTTGGGTTGTAATGGATCGATGGGGTCGCCGATGGCCTCTTTGTCTTTGCATGGTCGTGGCTGGAGTGTCGTGTATCGCCACGGTGCTGTTGTCACCCGGTACGCACCGCTGCCCAATCAGCCGATGACTTGATTAATTATCAAGAATAGCAATTTAATTAGTTGGTTGGTGCTACGTAGCAATATTGCTGAAAGCACCAAGTTATAACAGTTGATTAATATTGTAAAGTGTTATGTTGGAGGAGACAACTTTGATAGAGATCTGTTTTAATTATATACTATTATTATTTCTAATGAATGCCTTTCATTCAAGATGCTGTCATGGAGACCTTGGTGTTGTTTCTCGTATCGAAGTCTGCGATATCGGCGTCTTTTCTAATTATTTATCCCTTCGCCGGAGAACTCTATCCCACACAATTGCGCGGAGTTGCTATTGGTTTCTCCGCATACATCAGCGGCCTCGGACTCATCATTATACCCTTCGTAACATATCTCGTGAGTCTGCATTCCTATTTTAATTCTATTTTACTAGTAATTATAAAAAGTATCCCTTTACGAAATTTATTAAATTATTAAGTAATTAATTTATTCGCTCACTTATTATTGTAATTTATTATCCTGATATTATCGATTTTATTATAGAAGCGGATATTTATTTACTCCTATTATTGCGAGTTATATTTTGGTAATGAATAGAAAAGCGAATATGATTTTTTTTTCAGGGAAAAGAGAATCTTGTCCTGCCTTTAGTCATCTTAGGTGTCGTCTCAGTTATTGGTGGTGTGTCTGGTTTGCGGTTACCAGAAACATTACATTATCGTCTGCCGCAAACTATTGAGGAAGGAGAATTATTTGGGAAGGATTGGACGTGCGCGGATTGCATTCGGTGTGTCCCGACAAAGTACGTGTTAATAATTAATTATTAATTATCCAATTTTTAGTTTGGTAGAACACTAGATTTTGGATTTATTTTTTTTCAATAAATCTCTGATTTATTAAGGATATTAATAAAGTCAAATTTAAATATTATTTTGTATATGAAAAACTAATATTATATCTTAATAATGTGCAATTAATTTTTCTTATGATATGCTACAATGATTTTGCTTTTTTTTTTAATTTTTATTTGATTATACTTAAATTTTATTAAAATGTTCTCCAGACCATCGTCAGTTGCAACTTCTTACGAAGATTTGTCGACGCGAGAAACAGTAGAGATGCGCGAAGTGCCTAAAGTGCCATTTTCTTCGTCTATTTTGGAAGAACAACAATGGTCGAGCACTACGAGTGTTCGCCGTTTGGTTCGCCAATCTAGCGTGATGGATACTCAACGCAATTCCGATGGGACCATGAAGATGACCTATTGGTTTTAACTTTGAATATTTTGAATCTCTAGTCGAGAGAAAAAACTGAAACAATCTTTTTATCTTCCTTTATCACATTTATGGATGAAATATTTTTTAATATTGATTAAAAAATTATTCCATTTTCTCTTATATATTATTAATTTATAAAATCATGGAATTATACAAAGAAATAATTCTATCAAATAAATGTTATTTTAGTAAAACTCGTGCCCTGGACAAAAAAAATGATATCGCTACTCGTGCTGCCCTAATCAATATATTTTTTTAAATATTGTGAATATTATGAAATCTAAATAACGCAAAAAATATAAATGTAATATAAATTCACACAACAGCATATATAGTATTTTGAAGTGTCAAAAATTATCATGGAGAAAAGTGTAAGAAGAAACTACATACATCCTTCCTTGCAAATTGTACATAAACTACAAGTAGCATATAAAATCTTAAAGAAATAAATAATAAATATAAATGAAAGAAAATGAAATAAGGGCAAGAGAGTGCCACGATCGATGTGTCGTGTCCACGATGCAGTTTATTCACATTCGGTATACAAAACACGAAGATAACGAGAAAGATGAGAATGAGAAGAATTGAATCTCGAATGCCTTTATCTTTTTTTGGGGGCAGAAATCGGGATAAGATCTTGCCGGCGCGTTTTTCAGGTATGTCCCTCCCACCCACCAAGTCGCTTTACAGACGAGTGGTCCTGTTGTAGCAGCTGTAAGCAGGAGAATCACTGTATGCGAATGCAACGTGAATTGTTCGCGGGTACACTTTCGTGCGAGAGTCGATTTACCTCTCCAGTAGTCGCCGCTTTAGCTCGGGCGGATAAGAGACATAGATATAATGATCGGGCATGTCCTCACTCGACAGGGGTAAATTCTCGTCCCCGTGATCGCCCTTCCGTCTTTCCAATCTGCCCTCGCCGTGAATATTCGGATCGTGCAACGGAGAGGTATTCGAGCGATCCGTGCTTCCGTTGTAATCCATGCTTCCGGTACCGTCCAGCCTGTCTTCGTCCGCGGTGCTACAATGAGAAAGTAGAAAAGAATCAGTTTTTTTTAGATTATAATAAGAAAATAAATGAACGTGAAATATACATGGAGTGTTCTAATGATAAGACTATAGTTAACATGATTATTTTTATTCCAAATTATTTAGAAGTTTCCACAGGAAAAAAAGAGTGAATTCTTTTCCATGTTTGAGAATTATTGTACATACTTAAAAATATTTTTAACATAGCTTTTTTTAATCGCTTATTTACTATTTATTGTACAACAATAATGTGCATGAGGTGTATTATATATAAAATGATTATAATACTGTATACAGAGAATTACTTTAAAAAAATTTGCGCGTTCAATATGCTATATACGTTTTATTAAGTACGATATCAGCTATTTATAGTCGAATTTTTTATTCGATATAAACAAGGTACTCCTTATTTTTATAGGTTTATACTAACTAAAAACTTGTATCAATTTCTTTTAACGATATAAGATCATTTTAGCGATCTATCCGGAGTTTCTCGTGAAAGGAATAACGAGGAATTTTATTTTCGGCACGACGTACTTGAAGCAGACCCAAATGACGTAGTAACACGCGTAGATGGACGAGAACAAGACCAACATGAAAATGGTCAGCAGGTACCAGGGTGTGTGACGTTGCGGTCTCTTCGTGTCCTCCCAGTATCTGTCACAACTGAGATACCAGCAGATCGCGCGATTTAGCTCCCCTATATCAACACAAATTGTGACCGATAAGAAAATATCAACAGCCGTGGAAATATCAGTCGTGGATTTTCGTATGTATAACATTATTCAATAAAAAAAGCATCTCGTCATTTCTTATAATTCTTTTTGGACACTGAACACAGCATAAATTTTATTTGATTGCAAAGCTTTCTCAACACGTCACATATTTTATTATAGCTATAATATATGAAAGAATTTTAATTGGTTTCTCAAAATTATAATGTGATGTGGCAATTTTTGGAAACCGGTTTCAGCGTTGAAAAAACTATAAGAAATGACTTGTAATTAATTTAAACGTACCTTCGATCTCTTGGAAATCCCGCACAGAAAGATTGGTGAGCAATCCGGCGATGCAATCGCGCACGAGTATCTGTTGAAAATCATGCGATAAATAAATGCATTAATACATGTATTTTTATTTATAGATAAACTCGTCTACAGATATATATATATATATATGAACTTTGCGTATCTGTTTTATAATATTATATATTAATCAAGGATTGCATATATTATCACTAAATCATAGTTTCAGTGTCGATTTTTTGATTGTGCAACAAAATTATTTAATTTTCAATATTATTGACAGACGTCAACAGTCAAAGATTCTTATATTTTCTGATAAAATAATGCTCACTTCGCACTGGGTCTTCAGCTTTTGTAGCTCCTCCGGCTTGCAATGGGTCTTGATCTTTCTCAGATGCAATCCTTTGCGTTTTTGCTTCTTGTCCACAGCAGGTAGTGCCGCTTCCACCAGATCCTCCTCATCCTCGGCGTCTTCTTCATCATCCTCCTCCTCGTCCTCCTCGCCGTCACAACCGTTGCTCTTGTTATCCGAGCCGGCGATCTCGTTGTGATAGGACGATCTCGCGACTCGGTGATTGTGCATGTCGCCACCGTCATCGCGATGACAGTAACGTTGCAGATTCGTCACCGCGCCACCGCCAGCGATGGTGCAGGATTTGCCCGCGGGATACATTCTGGCGAGGCCACGCGATTCGCATGGCACGACGGAAACGCCACGCTGCTGTTGCTGTTGCTGCTGCTGCTGCTGCTGTTGTTGCTGTTCGGTATTTTCGCGCCACACTTGGATATCCGTATTCAGGTGGCTGCCGTCGTCGTCCACCAGATTCTCGAAGTCACGGTTGCCCAGCACATCGCAGCGCATGATGTCGCAATAATCCGCCAGGCATACCGCATCTTCAGCCTGAAAGATGTACACGTCCGCTTTGAATTTCGACTTCTTTCTGATCGAGTCTTTTGGCTTGTTAATCATGGGAAATTTAGTCCGCCAAGATAAAAAGTTATTTTTTATTTCAAAGAAGAGCTAACCCAGGCAGCACCAAAATTGGTGCATAAGATATCTTTAAGATGTCTTTGGGAGATATCATATCATAAGAGCTCTTAATGATGTCTTATGCACCAGTTTTGGACATGATGCTGTCTTGAAAAACCCTACGAAGAAATTATGTAATTATGTACTGTTTTATTTTTTTTTTTTTACGCTCACCGTATTAACATTGCTTTTGTGTCTGTTATCGAAATGGACGTCCAAGTGTTTTTCGGCATAGAAGGACTTGCCGCAGAGGCCGCAGGTCCATTGCGAGGGTCTGTGTTGATGCTTTGCCTTTTGTTGCGGTCGAAAGATATCTCGACTTTCGTGAAACGGACATTCCAATGGCAATTCTACCTGATACTTCTTCAATATTGGCATCCATCTCTGAAATTTTTTTTAGCTCAGATCGTTTTGCTTCATTATCTTAATCATTATCATTAACAAATTATTACTGAAATCATTGTTTTCAAATTTCAGAAAATATATGGATATCGATATATATAATATTTTCAAAGTAAAGTATTTTCCATAATTTTTGCATCAAATTGTTTAAAAGATATTAGAAATTGATGAATTGATTAATTAGATAATTTCAATCGATAGATCCATTCTTACCTTGTGAACTATCCTTCTCACTACGGACGCTCGATCGCGGGGGCATGATATTTTAAAGACGCTGGGACCGGGCCATGGAATAACAGATAGAAGCAGCACTGCCAGAACCTAATGCAACAGTATGTATATTTAGTATCATAAATATATTTTTTTGATTTTATATAAAAGATTATCAGCTTCCGCCAAAGGTTACAAAAAATTTGCAAATCATCGATTATTTGTATGGCGATACACTGTTGGTTCTAAGAGCAAGTTCCTCGTGATTTCTATTTACATATATACATATTCTTAAATGACATATATACATATTCTTCATAATAATGCGTTAGTTAACGTGTTTCTTTTTTAACATTGCATAAAAAGTCGTTTACATTGTATAAAAAGTCGTTCAATACACATGCATGATATTTTAATTAGAGTCGTATTATACGATCGATTATAAATGCTAAACGTCAAAGTATATACGCACCACGAAATGTAATCTACCTTACATACTGCTTAACAATATAGAACAATATAGGAGAGTATTCTCTTTCGAGCACACATGCATAAATAATGCAATCGATAAATACGTCATCGCTCGCTCATATACATTAACATTTATTCAACTATGTTTAATCACGAGACATGGGAAACGTGTATTATACTTTGTTATATACGAAAACTGTGACCTTCATTCTTTTGTGAAATGATTTTTCGAATTTTTAATGTATCTCGAGCGTATTAAATGGACACGAAGCAATGCTAGAATGTGTAAGAAAATGTTATTTACCTCGAGGTGAAAGGGTTGGGTCTTCATTCATATCCCAAATGCTGCGTGCAAGAGTGATCCGGTGCGACGATTACTGCTTCGAGATTGTCCAGTTTCTTGACAGGGATCGTTTCTTCGTGCGAATAGTCGCCAGCCGAGGGTGTACGTTGAAGGTTGAAACGGGGGAGAACTGCAGGGTACACGTCGACATGGCGGTCACCCTTGGGCGCAGGTTTCAAGCGTATGCAGGGCTGTCGCAATGCCGGTTGTTGCCTAAGGGAAATAGATAGATAAGTGTAATGGTTAATGCAGCGCATGCTGCATATCAGCAAAGTATTAACATGTTATGAACATGTCATATTTTTATATTGCATATTTATGGATTGTATATTAATGATTTATTATTCAAAGCATATTTTAAAATTTCACGCAAAACATATCTATTTAAATTTCTGTCTTTATTTTTTTCATTTTTTAAATGTATGTTTTCATATTTTATGATTTCCGTATTAATGATTTTTTTGTGCAACTTTGTGATTACTACTTTTTTCTTTATTTTTTATAATACTACTTAAAATGCAAAAATAGTGCATCGTAATCGTTAGTAAAGTATAATATATAATTTTTTGAAATTTCTAATATTTGTTATTACTATATGTTTGCATATTTTTATAATATCTTAGTATAGTATAGTATAAAATTAATATAACAATTAAAATATACTATTAATCTCTCTCTCTCTCTCTCTCTCTCTCTCTCTCTCTCTTTCTGTAGAAATAAAGTTCATATTATGTTTTAATTTTTCGATACCGAATGACATTTTTCGTGAGACGATCCTGCTTTGGCAAGCGTCATCGGCGTCGGCGTCGGCATCGATGAAGATGCGTCGGCGCATTAACGTTTCCGCAAGCTCAAATTGACTATCGTGTAGGAATCATAAAATTAGTGATTTTTATGAAGAAATATAAAGAACTACATTATTCTATGCAGTAAAATCCGCAGTAATTATTTCAGATAACGATGCACTTTATTGCAAATTAAATTTTATTTAAGCGAGCTAATACGAGGTGTAATAAAAAAATATCTAAAAGGATTTTATTATTAACAAACTTTATTATTAGTTCAATATAAACATCTAATTTTCAAAGTACTCTTCTTTCGTATCTATACATTTATGCCAGTGATTCTGTCACTGTTAGAAACATTTTTTGTATGATAATTTTTCGGAATGTTCTTCAAATGCTCCGTCATATACGCTTGAATCGTCTAGATGTCAAAATTTTCTGGTTAACTAATTAACTAATTAGTTTTAACTAATGAATTAACGATTTCAGATTTTTGTGTTAGAGAAAAAATATTAGATAACATTTTAACAAAAAGCCGATCTTATTACATATATTACACAACCAATCCAGATACTTTTTTATAATATCTTGTAAAAAATTAATAACAAGTTGTCTTAATAACGAGTAGTCTTATATAAGTAGTCTTATATTATAAGTAGTCTTATAAGTCTTATAAGTTGTAAGATACTGTTATAAGATACATATATTACAGAACCAGTCCGAATACTTTTTTATAATATCTTGTAAAAAATTAATAACAAGATTATTATAAGATACTTCAGAAAAAATGTGCAAATATTTTTATTTTGTCTTTAATGATGAAAGAAAATAAAATATTTAGTGGTTACGAAATTATGATAATTAATTATAACATTATAATAAAATTTGAATAGTTAACAAAAAAGAAATATATATGTATATATAGTGAATATAAAAAAAAAAGAACACAATTTAAAGTAAAAATTGGGAAAATATTATTTGAAAAGAAAAGAAACACAATCTTTTCGCGAGTTAAATTCCTCTAAGGTTTTGTCAGGTAAGAGGATGAGTTATTTCAGAATTATCCTCTCACCAACAGTTTTTCATTCTAACAGTAGCAAACCAGTATAGGAAACAGGTAGAAAAAGGTACCAACCGGTGCCTTTGAAAGCGAGCAATCTAGCTCGTAGAAAAACTAGTCACAAAATAAGTTAAATCAGGTAACAAACCAAAGCCGCATATTATATAGAGGCTTAGACAGAAATTTGGCGAAACTGAAACAGTCAAAGAAAAATGCAATATTGGATATATATATTTAGGCTCGTATAAATTCAAAATTAATATAAGAATAGGCCAATTAAAGGAGCTAGATTATTTTGGGTGTTAAATAGTTTTTATTATTTCAAATATCACACACACACACACAATATTAATATATAATATATTAATATTAATAATATTAATATTATTATATTTTATTCGTAAATTTTATTGAATTAAAAAAGGCTGTTGTACGTACTTACAGTCGAAACGTTTACTCATCTAGTATTATGTAATGTGCTTCTAAAATTATTTGAAATAATAAAAACCGTTTAACAACCAGAATAATCTAGCTCGTTTAGTTTGCCTATTCTTATATTAATTAAGCATAATATATTTTCTGTTCCGAGTGTAACGCTAGATGGCAAGAGGATGCAATATCTTGCATCTTCGAAAACATGCAGTTACTTTATGTCTGCGTTCGCTTTGACGCTTACAGCGCTATAAGCATCTTCTGTCTTCGTTGCACATCGAATATTAAACGAAGATAAAAGATGCTTATAGCGCTGAAAGCGTCCAAAACAAACGCCCTATATGAAATAAGGTCATACACGTACATTTTTTCAGTCTAATATTAAGCAGTAGAAAAATTGAATAATAAAATGTCATTTACTCATTATTACTACCATAAGATATACAGGTCTAATTTTATATTTTGTTATATGTATATAAATATGTCTACATTAATTAATATAATTATTATTAATAATATAATTATCACATAATTGATATATAATTTTTTATATTAAAATAATTATAGAATTAATATAATTATATAATTATTACGTAGCATGAAATATACTAATCCAGAATATATTGTAAATGCAGTAATTAGAAAAAGTGGAATATCATAAGTGATATCTTATCTTTTATTTTTAATAAAGCAAACAACAGTAGATTACTGTCAACTGATATACATACTGATATATAATGATGACAATTGAATCACAGTAATCGTAAAGAACGAATAATAAAATTTTGTCTTATATCCTGCACGAAAAAATTACAAGAATACAAAAATTACTATAATAATAGTTCTTCAATAATATATATTATTGATATACTAATAATTTTTCGTATTTTTGTAGTTCTTGTTCGTAAGGAATTATATTATCATCAAGTATAAATTCTTATATGCAGATAAGAACATTTCCTTATTGTTATATAATGTTTATAAATAGATATGACACGAAGATATGTAAGTATACAAATGCATATATGTATATTTTATGTGTTGATCGAACAACATCTAATAAAATCCTATGTAGTTCTCTTATTGTTTGTTATTATATATTTATTTAGATATTTATATATTTTTTTCTTCTCTATCTCAATTCCTATTAAATTAATTATATCTCAGATGGAAAGAAGAATGGAAAATTAATTTCGAAAACAAAATATATGTAAATATATGTAATATTTCCTTTATCATATACCATATTTCTCTTTTGAAATGGCATTATTTTTCTTATTTTTGCTGTCTTGTGGAATTTTTAATGTGCACAAGAACTGCAATAATTTAAAAATCATTTTTATATATTTATATAAAGTTTTATATTTATTCCAGGATTGTTATTTTATGTCTATTTGTTGCATAATAATATACTTTTTTATGAACATTTTTTCAAAGGATTTTTTAAAACATTTTTTAATTTTTTATTTTTCTAGCTGTTCCACAAAATATTTGTCCTATTATTTTAAAATTTTTTCGTTATATTAATTTAAAACTAATTAATATAATTCTGCTTGATATCAATAAAGCCATTAAAAGATGTCACTCGAAATCAAATATATTAGAAGAGAAAATAAGAGCAAATAAGAATTGCGTAATATATTATTGAAAATATATTCTTAACTTTAATTTAATATTAATATTAATTATGTTAAATTCATAATAAGACGTAATAACTGCTGTTAACCGATGATGATTTCTCTAGTTTCTTTTTTACTGCTTCACATTCTTCCTTCCCAACGCAGGAAGACGATAGTGGGGAGTCAAGCGATATCTCGTCGCTTGAAGTTAAATGGTTTGCTGAAGAACGCAGCAGTTAGCTAGTGAAAACGGCCACGCACAGTCATCAGTGCCACATCGGTCGCAACCGTACCGAATCGAGTTCGAAAGCGAGTTTTCTCGCATCGGAGAATTCGCGAGTTGTCTTTTTGCGTCGCATCGGAATCTTATAGGATATAGATAGTGCATGCATCTCGCGTTGTAACACACCGATATATCCTACGGCATTATATTTCTGTTGATTATTAGTGTACTAACGTGTCGTTGAAATAGTGTTCTGACATCACTGACATCACTAAAAATAAATCGTATATCTGTGCATCCTACAACGCACGCAAAGAGAGAGAGAGAAAGGGACGGAAAATAATGTAAGAATAATTTAAATAAAAAAAGTAAATTTTTGAAAATGTATAATTTGAATGTATAATTTATTTTGATATTTTTTATGTGCACGTATTGTGTAATAAGACATATTAGGATTTATCTTCCAAATTTTTCTAGAGAAAGAGAAAGAGAGAGAGAGAGAGAGATTATATTATTGGTTTACAATCACAAGAACATTATTTGCAACAAAAAATAATTCTTTTTAAACGTTATTTGTTATTGTAACAGTTTTGACATTGAAAATATTAAGGCCTATTATTGGTTTACAATCACAAGAACATTATTTGCAACAAAAAATAATTCTTTTTTAAACGTTATTTGTTATTGTAACAATTTTGACATTGAAAATATTAAGGCCTAATATTTTTGAAAATTATTATCCATATTGTTTCGATATTAAGTAATTTTGCGTTACTATATGTATTTTTTAAATCCAATAAACTTGTCACTAACATTTAAATATTATTTTAGTATTGTATCATTACTAATGATAATTCACTCAAAGGATTATGCCCAGTTTATTGGGTGAACAGTCATGAATCATAATTTAAATAATAATATGTTAAATAATAATTTAAATAATAATAAATAAGTATAATTACAAATATATTTTTCTTTAGATAATGTGTAAATGCCTCATTCTATATACATATATTTAAATAATATATTTAACTATTAAATAATATATTTAAATAATACATTTAATAATAACAAAATAATCGTACATACATATATACACTAAAGAAATACAAATAATTTTTCTTCTCATGTACATCAATTTTATTCTCTTTGATATTGTCATCACTTAAATTGTTAAAAAGATTTGACTTTCTGCAATGATAAAGATTTATGTCAGTAGCTTAGAATAGAACAATAATAAAGTAATAAACAACAGCGTTCTTTGAACTTTGGATGCCTTTTATATTCAGCATTTAAAGCATTTTTTTCTGATTATATGGTATACGCGCTTTTTGCGCTTTAATTACTTGTTATGAGAGTTAACACTTTTCTTAATTTGAAATCAGTATACTTGCAATCATAATTACTTTACTCGTGATAATTTATTTAACAATGGCAGACATGATCTAGACATTGATACTTATATCGCCTAATATAAATAATAATTGATTTTAAAACAGCCACGACAAAATCTATCATATTTTGTAAATCATGCTTGTTTCCCTTACGAAAAAAACTACAAGAATACGAAAAAAATTACTGCTATAACAATAATATATTATTGAAGAACTATTATTATATCAGTAATTTTTCGCATTTTTGTAATTTTTTCATAAGGGTTTGTTGTAGATAATATAATAATTGTACAATAACACAATTTAAACTACGTTTGTCAATGTTATTTATTTTATGGATTTCAAAAACTTATTTGTATTATATAGTAGTAATTGCTCATCATGCTTATTTGCAGATTACGTGCTGTTCATTATCTATTGATACAATAAATCAGTAGTGTCATTATCTAAATATGGCGACTCATGCATTCCGCGGTATCCAGAAGTTGAACCGAGTATTAGATGCTAGCATAAAAGTGCTGAATTCCTCATTAAGGTGTGCATCGACATCATTACAAACTAGACTTGTAACAGGCTCAAATGGCGAGAAGACGTTTATAGCTTCTAATGATCTCTCTTATCCGGAAACCATAATCCACGAATTTATTTGGAACAACATTGAAAATTATCCTGATCATATCGCTTTGGTAATTTTGATAATATAGTAGATTATATATATTATTTCGTATATGATAAATAATCTATTTGTTACTACTACGTGGAGCGATTCTAATTAATCGCGTCATCTCTTTCAAGCGAATTATATTATTCAATGAATTATTCAACGAAATGAATTAAGGAAAATTTTTAAAAAAGTAAAAAAAAATGTTTAAAATCGAAAAATATAATCAAATGTAAGCGCATGTTAAAATTATTAAGTAACAGAGTGCATAGAAAATTAATACGATACCGATACCGATTTTATAATATATTTTGTGTAGGAATGTGGTATTAGTGGCAAGAAATACACGTACGCACAAGCCAAAGATGCGACATATTATATTGGCAGAAGTTTGCGGCACATAGGTCTCAAAGAAGGCGATGTGATAGCATTGGTGGCGCCTAATTTACCGGACGCAATTTTAGCTTTCCTCGGGAGTTCGTCAAGTGGACTCATTATCACTACAATGAATCCGTTTTGTACTGCTAGTAAGTTGCTTTATTTATTATTTTAGATGTTACAATTCGAGATTGATAGGATTCGATACATGCGCGCATAATATCTAAAACGGAACATAAAGAAGAGGACAAAATAAGTTATTGTTACACTATAGGTAGACGTGATAAAAATTTTCAGACGAAATGTCCAATCAGCTGACAAAAGCCAATGCAAAAGCAGTTATCACGTCAGCTTCAATTGCATCAACAGTGTTGGCTGCAACAAGAGCTTCTCTTCCACCTGGAACACCTTTTATTGTGATTGATGATAAAGCTGGTTCTATACCAGATGGTTCGATACCTTTTGATGTCAGTATTAATATACATATATATACATTTATGAATATATATATATATATATATATATATATTTAGTAATATTTAAATATCATAAACAAAGACGCTAACATTAAATAAGAATAAGGAAAACAATTTTCAGGATCTCATAACACGAGGTAAATCATTACCACCTGTAAGTACGAAGGCAACTTGCGACGATGTAGCAATTCTACCATTCTCAAGTGGCACAACTGGATTACCAAAGGGTGTTATGTTAACACATCGTAATCTGGTTTCTAATATCGAAATGACTCAAGCCTCTTTTGGCGATTCATACCGTCCTACTACAAGTATCTATGATGTTATTTAATAAGTAATCGTTAAATCGATTAATTAATCATTAATTATAATTACGGCTTATTTACTGTTACCAAATTATGCGAGTTGCGAGTTAAAATTGTATATTATATAGTTACTTGTAAAATGTATATTTTGTTTAAAAATGGTTTCTCTGCCCTGCTAATGATTAATTGATTGATTGGCATCATTCTTTATTACGTTTTAATTTTGTATCTTTTATTTGTTGTCATAGGTACTTATCAAGAAAGCTATCCTTTAATATTACCTTTTTTCCATATTTACGGACTGAACGGTGTGGCACTTTCACGTCTTGCTTACGGTGCGAAAATAGTCTGTGTTCCAAAATTTATACCGGAAACATTCCTCGATGTGATGCACAAAAGCAAGGTGAATTCACTTGCGAATATAAATTAGAATACATTTTTGATAAATTAAGAATTTCGGTTAACAGAATACTAGACTAAATATTAGAATATATAAGTCCAAAATAAAAATTAATTTTTTAAATCTTATTATTTCAAACTATTTGTCTTAAAAATAATCATAATTTCTTAAATTATTTTTATATAAAAAAATTCATGAAAGAATGAACGTTCCAAGTTTACGATAATACAGTTAACGCTTTCTTTAGGCAACCGGACTGTTTTGCGTGCCACCAATTATATTATTTCTGTCAGCTTCTCCTCTTGTTAAAATGCATCATCTCGAGCATCTTCACTCAATAATAAGTGGGGCCGCGCCGCTCGCGAAAACGGACGTCGATAAATTATTTAACAAATTCAACATTGATTCCACTAACATTAGGTTTCGTCAAGGTGAGTATTCGCCGTTGAAAGAAATTGAATAATTAACGAGAAATTCTCGATCCGTGAACAAACAAAAGAAAAGAAAAGGAGCAAGTTTTTAATTGTTTTCAGAACAAACATTTTATAACAAACAAGAGTTATAAACGATATAGGTTTAATTCTTAATGAAATTTAATGCTATGCTTATAATGCAACTATTGTTTATATCAGTCAGGATCGTAATACTGATTCATTTAAAAAAGTTGCTTTAATTTTTCAAGGTTACGGATTGACAGAAACTTCATCAGTGGCATTCGTTGAAAATGGAGAGAAATTTTCTAGCATTGGAAAAACCGTAGACGGTACCCAAGCACGCTTAGTAAATATAGAGACTCAGCAGGATATCGCCACTCCTGGCGAAACAGGCGAATTATGGATTAAGGGACCTCATGTTATGAAAGGATATCTAAATAATGAAGCTGCAACGAAAGCAACATTAACCGAGGATAAATGGTTGAAAACAGGCGACATCGCTTACTATGACGAAGATTATGATTTTTTTATTACGGATAGATTGAAAGAACTTATTAAAGTCAAAGGATTCCAGGTAAACACTCGGTTCCGCGATAAAAAGAATCTTTCTTGAAATAGATATAGATAAATAGATAGAGATAAATACAGATAAATAGATAGAGATATAGATATAGATATACAGAGAGAGAGATAAACACTTTGAACGCTGAGAAATAAGATATCAATGACATAGAACTTTGGACTAATTACGAAAGTTCAAAGTTATATGTATACACACAGACATCGAATTTATCTAATAAGTCCGAAGTTCTATAGTCGGATGATATTTTATTTCTCGGCGTTTAAATTGCCTCTTTTATTCAATTTAAAACGTTATTTTCTTTTGGCTGAAGGTACCTCCAGCGGAATTGGAAGCTTTATTGCGATCACATCCGGATGTAGATGAAGCAGCAGTGATCGGAATTCCGCATCCGAGGTGTGGCGAGGTACCAAAAGCGTTCATAGTGGCGAGTAAGGGTAAAACACCTACGGAAGACGATATTAAGAACTTTGTGAAAGGAAAAGTCTCCGACTACAAGGAACTCGAAGGTATAATTCAATTTCCAATAAGTTAGTATCGTGTAATTTGTAACTACCTTGTAACGCTTAAAATTAATTATTAAATTGATGAGATATTATGCTTTGTAGAACAATTATTATGTGGATGTTCAAAAAGTTAAGCAAATATCAGGACAAAAATCCTTAATTGATACATAATATAATTAAAGATGTAATAATAAAAATTTATATAAATATGGAGAAAGACAAAACAGTTAAAAACTTTAATAAATATAGACTTATTATTAGAGATTGCATATACATTTTTCTTTTTCAGGCGGGGTTACATTCATTAATGAGATTCCGAAGAATCCTTCTGGAAAAATTCTAAGATCGAAATTGAAGAGCACGTATCATTCTTAAACAGAATTTTTAATAAAAATTTGTGTAGAATTAAATCAATAATATAAAAAATTTTGTATAAAATAAGTATAAATGAGGACTAATTTTACGGATATATATTATTTTATATGAAATTTACAGTTTTTTCTCAATGAAAATATGCAATTTTAATATGTAAACATAAATGCACTCATATATATATATATATATATATATGTATCTGCTTAAGAAGAGTGTAAAAACATGTTAATATTCCTATAGAATCTATAGAATCTATAGAAAAAGCAGAAATCAAACATAACATATATAAATCTATGAAAAAAAAATAGAATGCTTATAATTAATAAGTCTGTTTGTGCTGACTGTACTTTTGTACTAGTTCAAAGATTGTTTTTTTTACTCGACATTGGAAGAAAAAGACAACCTCTGAACAAATGCAAGAATGCAGTCAACACAAACAGACCTTATTTTATAAAGATTGTACAAATATTTAGTAAAATTTTAACACTTGTATTATATTAATATGTTTAAATCTAGAAAGATTGTTTTGAATTGTTTTCCATTATTATTCTGTACATAAAAATATATAAAATATATATATTTTTATAAAATAATATAGAACAAATATTGTATTTTTATCAAAAAATAATATATTTTTGAATATGTCGAGTTTTGATTTAGCTATTATTGTTATTACTTTGATAAAATATACATGTAGGAAGAGGGATAAAAAGAACGAGTTTTATAAAAATTATTGAATCTATCGCATATGCGTGTATATATGCCAGATTAGGCTTTCGGAAATTATAGTATCTTAATTTTATCTTTGTAATTCATATATTGTGTTATTTTTTAAAAATAAAATGGCATTTTTATAAATCCACATGTATTTCTTTTCCTCAACTATAGTAATAATATTTTGATATGATTTAAGAACATCACATAGCAGCGAACATAATAATACAAATTATTAATGCAAAAAATTGGTGTTTTGTAAAATTAGAATATAACTATATCTTGTGATATGCAATTTTTGTCAACTTTATCTATACATCTCTATATCTAGTTTTTTTAATAAGATGATTTAACCGTATAGAATATTTTGTTTCAATAATAATATCACTCGCAAACTTTCAATTTTATGAATTTTTATTTTACAGCTTTATTTTTATGATAACTTGAAGTTTTTTTTATATATTTATAAGATATTAGAGGAAAGAATCTTTTAAATAAGACAACTTATTATATTGAAGACTTGCATGACATATTGCTAGTAGATTATTATATCTTGCCCTTAGAATGTTATCTCTCTAACGAAAATATAAAATCGAATATATAAAAATGCGAACAGAGCAATATGAGAAAAGCGCGGATGTTTCTAAATGAACGACATTAAAAGATAATGCACCCTAACATAATACTAGCTATACATCGTCGTTATTAATGCAAGAACATTGTAGTCAGAGACTTAGAATTCTGAACTGATGCCACACTACATTTTGTTATTGTCAAGGGAAGATTTGCTGTTAGATGCGACTATAAAAATATGGACTTATTGCCAGTGAACTTCTTTATTTTTCGTTTTTGCGGTATGTGGAAAGAACATAAGAGTAGCAACTTGATAACATGTTTTGCCAATTTCTGCTACAGGTAATATTGTAACATATATATCAAGCAAAAATAGAGAAAATTTAGTTATTATTTTATTGAAAACATTTTATTGATATATTAAAATCAAAATTTTCTTTAACGGAATTTATTAATTAAGTGATATAAGAAATAATATATTATGTATATATAGTATTATTTAATATTATGTGTTCACGTGTGCAATACACATGCATACATATTTCTCTTTCTTTTCACGTACTTATATACCATGATAGGTATATTATTGCTATTTTAATATATTACTGCACAATATTCGAAATAATCGAGCTCATATATAAGAAAAACGATATAGAAGTTTTAATAGAAGGTCTATTTCTTGTTTTTACTTACGTGATATTGTGCCTAAAATATCAAAATTTTTTGGTGCAACAGTATGAATTGAATGCTTTATTAGATTGTTTTCGCACTAAAATCTGTCAGCCGAAAGATTCGATCGAGAAATCGATACTGAAGCAATACGATCGCAAAGGTATTTCTATTATATTGTAATTATCTAGAGTAAAAAATTAAATGTATATTTTCGAATTAAGTAACTTTTTAGAAAGAAGTAATAATAATTTTTCTAAAATTAACAAAATCTTAGTATATACAATAATATATACTTAGTATATACAATAGTATATACAATAATTATTAAAAGTTTTCTTAATGAAAAATAATATATAAATGTACATGATATATGTATAAACATAAATATATATGCTTAGCTAAATAAAGCTTTTTCTGTAATTAGTCATTAAATATAGAGGAAAATTGTCTAAATCATATCACTTAAGATATTTTATTATATTTTTATTTTAATAATTTCTCTAAATTACAATATATTCTGTTTGAAACTGATTTGTATTTAATATTGGATATTAATATCGAAAATTATAGTTTCATCTTTACAATATCTATTATTACATATTTAACTTTTTGTTAAGCACAAATTAATTAATTATTATTGAATAAGATATTTATTCCTTTCTAAAAAAGACATGCAAAGTCGATTATCACAAATTTTGTTGCTGCTTTTCCGCGATGCTGTTTGGTTGTTTCGATTAACATTGTGTGTTATATTAATAGCATTAAACAACTAATAGTTCGACAGTTGTAAAATAAAAAATAAAGATAATATCAATAACGCGCGCGAAGCACGCGCTTGTGTGTTGTCTTAGTACATAACAAAAATTCAAAAATTAAAATTATATACATAACAAAAATTCAAAAATTAAAATTATATACATAATTAAAATTCGGCAAATTAAAATTATGTACGTAATAGACATTCGAGAATTAAAATATAAAATTAAAATATAAAATACATAATAAAATATAAAATTAAAATATAAAATATGTAATAAAATATAAAATTAAAATATAAAATACATAATAAAATATAAAATTAAAATATAACTGTTTAATATAACATACTGCAGCATCATTTATACCTGCATTATTTTTAATGAAAATTATTGAATTGTATTTCTCAAATTTGTATTGCCCCCGAAGTCTCATTTCGGCCATTTTAGTTGGTCGTTGGACCCTTACGCCCGCCTTTCCTCTCAGGGCTTCCCTCATTTCGAGGGCAAACATGTCAGCTTTTTTGTTGCTGTTTGCCCCCGATATCTCAAAGATATACGCTCCTGTGGCTCCTCGTCTGACCTTTGCACCTTCCATGTTGAGGCCTTTCGCCTGCATCTTCTGTCGTGCCTCCCGGAGATTTTTCTCATATGATCCGGGAGGGCATGTCAGCGTTATCGCTGCCGTCTTTGGCTCCCTATCAGTTTACTATACTAACAATAATTTGCTATCATAATTAAACTTGATAACAAAGCTGAGATGATTTATGCATCGACACAATTACTTTTACTTTAACTTCCTATTATTGTATTAACAAATATGCTTATAAATATTAAATTTATGTAGCATATATATATATATATATATATCATTTTGTTTAATCTAACCGAATATAATTATATGCACGCAAAGCAAAGTTATATTATTCTTTGATAATAAAATTTTAAAATTGCGACGCATGCCTGCAAAAATTATTATTGCAATCAATACATAAAAAATATATATCAATTAATTATGCAAATAAAAATTCAATAAGTACTTAAAACTTTTACGGAAAATACAAATAAAGAAATAAAATTTTTTACAAGAATCTTTTATGATTAAATATCTATATTTTCATTAGAGATTCGCGCGAAACTCCATACCCCCTATATTTGTCACGCTGCGCGGTTCGCGCGAGACTGATTCTCATGCGGGGTATCGCGAGCGCGGGCCCGATGGTCACATGACCACTGGTCACATGACCGGTCATGTGACCAGTGGTCATGTGACCATCGGGCCCGCGCTCGCGATACCCCGCATGAGAATCAGTCTCGCGCGAACCGCGCAGCCTGACAGATGTGTGGAATGTATTAATCTAATGCAAAGAATAAAAAAAAATAGTTACTTTCGTCGCGGGCCCGATTTATTATTGACTGTGAAGTTGGATGTCGCTGTCTTGATCGAAAGATTTTTATGGAAAATTATATTTTTTATTTTCTGTTAAAAATGTATATATTGAATTTTATTAATCACGTAATTAATAAATATATTTCTATGCATGCATTGCAATAATAATTTTATCCATTCGTTGCAATTTGTAAGGTTTAATTATCAAAGAATAATATAACTTCGCTTCGCGCACGTAATTATATTTGATTAAACTAAATAAAATGAGAACAATATATAAAGAGATACATTTATACAAAATACTTATGAAATAATATAATAGAAATTCGGCAAATTAAAATTATGTATTATACATAATAGAAATTTAATAAATTAAAATTATATACACAACGGAAATTCGGGAATTAAAATTATACATAATAGAAGTTCAGCGAATTAAATAAAATTATGTATATAATAGAAATTCAGTGAATTAAAATTATGTGCATAATAGAAATTCGGCGAATTAAAATTATGGTCATAACATCAAGCAACTGTCATTGCAAAGATTAACAATTTGACAGTTGTAAAATAAATATAATAGAAATAGTATCGAAGGCGCGAGCAAAACGCGCGCGCTTGTGTAATAACTTAAAATTGAGATAAAAATAATTTTTTTGTTTTGGTATGATTGTAAAAAAATGATAAAATTTAAAAAACATGACCAATTTATTTACAAATATTAATTTAAGTTTTATAATAAATATAATATGCACTTGAAATATAAATGTGAAAAATTGTATGATAAACTTTTTTAAAAAAATGTAAAATAAAATACTATATTGTTAGATTTATTAGCTAAAATAAATTAATCAAAGTAACATTCATCCTATCAGTTTTTTTAACATGTGGAACGCACAAAATAAGATATATTCTGAAAATCTTTTGTTTGTATTTCTTATATTAATTCTTATATATTAATCTTACATTACTCATTTTTTAAATATTTGTACTGTTAAATGTTGTTTATAATTAATAATAATAAAGAAATTAACGAAAGAAATACGATTTAAGTAATCGGTACGTAGGCAATTTTCCTCTAATTATAGATAGTAGTAAATATGTATATTTATAAAATCTATACACCTTTTGTACATATATGTATAATAATTAATTATTTTACAAATTCCATTTCGCTATACATGATATATTACGCACGAAGCTAAGAGAACTGCCTGTTTCTATATGTCCTTGTGTCTATCAACGGGTTTAATGATGATCGTGGAACCTTTATTGACTCAGGACGAAAGATCTTTACCGATTCAGATGTACATACCGTACTCTATCACACCATTACTTTCTTACGTGTTGACTTATCTTCAGCAAGCCGCAGTTTTAATTTATGGAATATTGTTGAACACTTCTTTAGACTCCATGGTGTATGGTTTCATTATTCATACCTGCGGACAAACTGAACTGCTGTGCTATCGATTGACTGAAATATTTCAATCTCTCCAAGAAAATAACGACAAAAATGCAAAACACACAATTGAAAATTTCGCTATCACAGAATGCGTGAAACATCATATTTTAGTTTATAACATCATACACAAGATACAATCGTTATTTGTATGGACTGTTGCTGCATTATTCTTCTTCAGTCTCATCACTCTTTGTACTAGCATCTATCAAATGTCAAAAGTAAAAAATTTTTGCCTTTCATATATATTTGTTTATAAATATAAAGATCAAAATAAAACATAATATTCTAAATATTAATGTTTTTAAATTTCATTAATGATATTTATGTAATATAAATAATGTCGCAATTGATGTTTCTTATTACAGACAAAGTTACTCAGTCCAGAATTCTTTACTTTTATCTTGTACTTAGGATCAATAATGTTCCAAATATTCTTATATTGCTGGTATGGCAATGAACTTGATTTAAAGGTGTTGCTAATAATTTCTTCCTTTTTAATTTCTTCTTGATATTTTACATTTTATATTTTATACAATATATATACATATATATATTTTAAATAAATATGTATATATATATATATATATTGTATATATATATAGTATATATATACATATATAATACATATTTAATTTAGAATAAAAATATCGCGTACGCTATTTATGCAAGTAACTGGACGATAATATCAACAGAGCAACGTAAAAAGTTGTTACTGGTAATGATGAAGAGCCAGAAAGGAATGATACTATCTTTTCATGGAATTTGCACACTAAACCTTAACACTTTCACATGGGTAAGTATATCTAATATATACAACAAATAAAATTCAAAAAAATATAAGACGCAATGCAAATTCTATTCAATATATATTCTGCAATTACATATTTATTCTTCATATCTGCACAGATTATGAAAACGTCCTACTCTGCTTTCAACTTGTTGCAACAAGCTTCGAATTAGTAGCCTCTATCTAGTCTTTTTATCTAGTAAATATAATATTACTGCTTTAATTTAACTAATATTGAATTGCATTTTCATAATATATTTATTAGTAGAAACATTGATTTTTAGATATTTTTATATTAGAAACTTATTTTCTGTAGATTATCTTTTAAAATAAGCACGTTGTATCTGTCTGTTTGTAACAAATAAAATAAAATTTCATGCGCTGAATGTTTTTCCAAATAATTAAAAACAATACAAATTTAAAGGAATTAAATATCTGCAATTTATTTTATACAATTTTATTATAAATATCCTATTATTTTCGAGACATAACGATAGGCACGTCATCTCTTTCAAGCGAATTATTAATAAATGAGTTATTTAACAAAACTAATTTTAAACAAGTAAAAAATCTTAAAAAAAGTTTAAAAACGTAAAGTATGATCAAAGGTAAGCATAATTAACTGTTGAAATTATTAAGTAGCAAATATAATGTATAAAGAATTAATAATACATTCCTGCACAAAAATTATAAAATCGAAAATTATTAATATCAATTTTATAACATTTTGTGCAGGAATGTGGTATTATTGGCAAGAAATGCATGTACGCACAAGCCAAAGATGCGACATATTATATTGGCAGAAGTTTGCAGCACATAAGTCTTAAAGAAGACGATGTGATAGTATTGGTAGTACCTAATTTTCCGAACATATACTGTTAGGTTTCTTCGAAAGTTTTTATGTAAAATTATTTTATATTGAACTATGTTATTGTCTATGAACTATTTGATCTGATTGCAACAAGTTATTTCTATAAATATATTTTATCAATTTTAACAATTTTATAAATTTTTATATCTATTTTCTTAATAAGATGATTTGGTTGTATAAAATATTTTGTTTCCACAAAAAGATATTTTTCGCAATAAACTTTCAATTTTATAAATTTTTATTTATAATTTTATTTTATATTTATGATTTGACTTTTTCATATTTATAAGATATCAGAGGAAAGAATCTTTTAAATAAGACAGCTTACCATATTGAAGGCTTGCATGACATATGAGCTATTAGATTGTTATATCTTGCCATTAGAATGTTTCTCTAACGAAAATATAAAATCGAATACATATAAATATGCGAAGAGAGCAATATGGGAAAAAGCGCGGATGTTTCATTTAAATATGGACGACATTAGTTAAAATAATGCACCCTATATATACCCCATAATACTATAGCTATACATCGTCGTTATTAATGCAAGAACATTGTAGTCAAAGACTCAGAATTCTGAACTGATGACACGCTATATTTTGTCATTGTCGGGGGAAGATTTGCTGTTATGTTAGATGAGACGATAAAAATATGGATTTATTTCCAGTGAATTTCTTTGTTTTTCGTTTCTGCGGTATATGGAAAGAATATAAGGATAACAACTTGATAATATGTTTTACCAACTTCTGCTACAGGTAATATTATAATATATATGTCAAGCAAAAATAGAGAAAATTTAATCATTTTATTGAAAACATTTTATTGATGCGTTAAAATCGAAATATTCTTTAAAGGAAAAATATTCATTAATTCAGTTAAAAAGAGAATTTTGAATATTAATGTATAATATTATTTGATATAACGTGTTCACATGTGCAATACACATGCATACATATTTCTCTTTTTTTTCACATACTTATATATTATGATAGGTATATCATGGCTATTTTACTATATCACTTCACGATATTCGAGGTAATCGAGCTCGTACGTATGAAAAACAATATAGAAGCTTTAACGGAGGGTCTATTTCTTGTTTTAACTTACGTGACATTGTGTCTAAAATATCTAAATTTTTTGGTGCGAGAGTATGAATTGCGTGCCTTGTTAGATTGTTTTCGCAATAAAATTTGTCAGCCGAGAGATTCTATCGAGAAATCGATACTGAAGCAATACGATTCTAAAGGTATTTCTATTATATAGTAATTCTAGAGTAGTAATTTTTTTAAATGTATATTTTCGAATTAAGTTTTTTACTAAAAAGTAATAATAACTTTTTCTAAACTTTACAAAATCTTATTATTAAATGTTTTGTTAACAAGAAATAATATATAAATATAAAAATGTATAAATATAAATATATGCTTAGCTAATCAAATAAAGTTTTTTCTCAGAAATGTGTAATTAATAAATACATAGAGGAGAGAGTTGCCTAAATCATATTACTTATTTTAAGTTATATTTTATATTTTAATAATTTATAAATTATACATCTTGTTAAAAATTTAATTGTGTTTAATATTGGAAATTAATATTGCAAATTATAGCTTTATCGTGTTACGATATCTATTATTACACATTTAACTTTCTGTCAAGAACAAATTAATGTGTTATAAACTTTCTCATGATGATAATGTGAAGTGTAAAAAAAGATATAATTTAAGCAACCGGTTTCCTAAATTGTATCTTCTTTAAAAATAATTTTTCTAATAGAAATAATAGAAAACTTGCTTAAGAAAAATATAATTGATTTACTAATACATAGTAAGAACATTTGTTATAAAGAAATATTTAGAATATAATAATTAAGAAATAACATATCTATATTAATGCTTAATTCATATGTTTAATTCATATCTCATATTAAATATCTCATTTTTTACCAACAACAAATAAATAATATTCAGCATATAATTATTATTAAATAAGATATTTATAACTTACAATTGAGACAGTAATACTTTTTTGTTATGGAAGGAATTGTTTGTGATGATAAGATTTAGGAAACATGATCAATTTATTTAAAAATATTGATTTAAGTTTTATAGTAAATATAATATGTACTTGAAATAAATATAAAATATTCCATGATTAACTTATTTAAAAAAAATACAAAAATGTAAAATAAAACTATATCGTCATTTATCAGCTAAAATAAATTAATCAAAAGTTACATCAATTGTACCTGTTTTTTTTTAATGTAGTATTTTAATGTAGTTTTTTAATGTAGTACAAAATAACATATATTTTGATAATCTTTTATTTATATTTCTTGTATTACGCTTATATTACACATTTATTTCATATATTTACTGTTAAATGTGATTCGTATTTAATAATAATAAAGAAATTAATGAAAGAAAAAAAATACGATTTAGGTAACCGGTATGTATTAGGCAATTTTCCTCTAATTACAGATAGTAGTAAATATGTATAATTATAAAATCTTTACATTTCCTTTGTACATATATAATAATTAATTATTTTACAAATTCCATATTTTGCTATATATGATATATTACGCACGAAGCTAAGAGAACTGCCTGTTTCTATATGACCTTGTGTCTATCGACGGGTGCAATGTTTGTCGTGGGACCTTTATTGACTCAGGACGAAAGATCTTTACCGGTTCAGATACAATACATACCGTACTCCATCACACCATTACTTCCTTACGTGTTGACTTATATTCAGCAAAGTGTAGCTTTAATTTATGGAGTATTGCTGAATGTCTCTTTCGACTCCCTCGTGTATGGTTTCATTATTCATACCTGCGGACAAATTGAACTGCTGTGCCATCGACTGACTGAAATATTTCGATCTCTTCAAGAAAATAATGAAAAGAATCCAAATAAGGCAATTGAAAATTTCGCTATCACAGAATGCGTGAAACATCATATTTTAGTTTATGATATCATACACAAGATACAATCGTTATTTGTGTGGACTGTTGCTGCATTATTCTTCGTCAGTCTCATTACTCTTTGTACCAGCATCTATCAAATGTCAAGAGTAAAAAAATTTTGCCTTTCTTACATATATATTTGTTTGTATATAAATATATATGTATATAAAGATCGAAATAAAACATAATTAAAAAATATTAATTATTTTAAAAATTAATTATTAATATTTATGTAACATATAAAGAAAGTTGCAATTCATGTTTCTTATTACAGACAGAGTTACTCAGTCCGGAGTTCTTTATTTTTAGCATGTATTTAGGATCAATGATGTTTCAAGTATTCTCATATTGCTGGTATGGCAATGAACTTGATTTGAAGGTGTTGCTAATAATAATTTCTTTTTTTTTAATTTCTTCTTGATATTTTACATTTTATACAATATATACAGGGTGTTCCATAATTCGCGAATCACCTTTCATGGGCAGATAGAGCGTGTTAAACTGAATAGAAAAGTCCTGTATCATTTTGCGATATTCGCAATAATTATTGAGTTATTAACTAAAATATCTAAACGAATGAGCGGGTAGAAAGCGGTAGGCCGGATTCGATGTGCATGTCGGATGACTTATTTGTTATATACCGCTTAATATCAAAAGTATCATCTTACTTTTCGGCACCACTACATTGGTCGCCGCTCGCTGCATGACGCCACCTCTCGATCAAATAATGCTTTCTACCTGCTTATTCGTTTAGATATTTTAATAAATAACTCAATAATTATTGCGAATATCGCAAAATGATACATGAATTTTCTATTCAGTTTAACACGCCTATCTGCCCATGAAGGGTGATTCGCGAATTATGGGACACCCTGTATATACATATACATATATATATATTTCTTTTTTTTTAATAAATCGTATATGTATATATACATATGTAATATTTATTTTATTTAGAATAAAAATATCGCATACGCTCTTTATGCAAGCAACTGGACGACAATATCAATAGAGCAACGTAAAAAGTTGTTGTTCGTAATGATGAAGAGTCAGAAAGGAATGATACTATCTTTTCATGGAATTTGCACATTAAACCTTAATACTTTTACATGGGTAAGTATATCTAATATATACAACAAATAAAATTCAAAAAAATATAAATCGTAATGCAAATTTAATTTGATATATATATTCTGTAATTACATATTTATTCTTCATATCTACGCAGATTATGAAAACGTCCTATTCTGCTTTCAACTTGTTGCAGCAAGCTTCGAATTAGTACTCTCTATATCTAGTCTTTCTATCTAGCATATGTAATATTACTGCATCAAATGTATTTTCATATTATATTTATTAGTAGAAATATTGATTTTTAGATATTTTTATATTAGAAACTTATTTTTTGTAGATTATCTCCTAAAGTAAGCACGTTGTATTTCTGTCTGTTTGTATAAAATAAAATTTCATACACTGAATATTTTTCCAAATAATTTAAAAAAAATACAAGTTTAAAAGAATTAAATACCTGCAATTTATTTTATGCGAATTTGTAGACTTATAATCTTTCGTCATTTGCCTCACTTTCCATCTAATTACAATATATCAGTTCTTCTGACAAGTTTGTAGATAAATGTTTCACAATCAAAAGCAGTATGTGTAATAATATGCTTTTTACTTTCAATGTTCCTTGCTCTACTATAATGTATGATGAATAATACAAGTTCATTATTTATAAAAATAATACGCGTACCATCGCTAATGTCTAATAAACGTATTGAAAATAAATGCAGAGACGAGGAAGAAAATATAGTAAAAGAAATCAGCGAAAAAGGCTACCATTATTCGACGACATTAAATGTTAAGAAACGCATATAAAGAACGTTCTAGCGACTTCGTTATTAATTCACGAGGAAGAATGTTCACAATGTAAGATGTTTTATTATATTTTTCTTATAAGTTTCGTATTTTCGAGACATAGCGAGGCACGTTAAGAGGGTGACTCTGCCCAAGTGAAGTAATACAGAAACGATCATCTCGTGATAATGGATGTATTGCCGTTAAATTTCCGAGTTTTATGGTTTTGCGGTGCTTGGAGTGAAAAAACCAATAATAGTCTTTTCATTCGTTTTATAAGTTTCTGCTATAGGTATGATAGTGAAAAAATGTGATATTTATTTAATTATATTATATATGTCTCTGATATATAATATATTACAGATTCAAATATGTAACTAAAATGCACACAAAATATTATATATTAATTTGGTAACAAGTCTGCACTGTCTATAGATAATTTTTTATTATTGTATTTTTTGTTCCTCTTATAAAAAAAAAATTTTTTAATTTATTTATCGAATATTATTTTTATTACTGCAGAAACACATCATTCAGTATTTATACAAATCGATGATTTATTAAGAAAAGTTTGTGCCAGATTATGTTGCAGATAGAATTTATTTTTACATTTCGTTTCTAATTCTAGTAAATTCAAATAGCTCATTAAAAATTACATATTAAAATTTATAAGAAATTACATAAAATTTTTTAGTAGAGAATGATATGTGATAAGATGATGATCAGACATGTATAATTAAAGATTTCTATTTATTAAGATATAATTAATTTTTAGATACGCCATAGTAATTTTAATATACGAATTTACGATATCTGAAGTAATTGAACTTGTAAGAACGCACGATCATATCGAGGATCTAACAGAAGGACTCTTCCTAGCGTTAACTTATGTAGCTTTATGCTTTAAGTATGGAAATTTTTTGGCGCGACAAGATGAAGTGTCCATGTTGCTAGACTGTTTTCGTGGCGATACGTGTCAACCAAAAAATTCCAAAGAAGAGATGATTCTGCTTAAGTACGATCGCAAAGGTATTCAGCTAATAATTGTATGTTATTTTGGTGTAATTATTTCAAAAATACACATATGTAGAATGAATCTTAATATTTTTAAAACAAAATTTATTTAATAATTATAATTATTATTATGTATTGTATCATAATAATATATTATAATAATTTTATATATACAATAATTTTATGTATACAATAATAAGAAAAATATATAGTGGAAAATTACATATTACAATTTTTATAGAAGATAACAGAGCATCAATTCCACTTTTTGAAAAATATATTGACATTAATTTTAAATCCGAAATTAATATTTTTTAATGTTTTAAAATAATATATATTATAATACATTTAAGAAAGTATAAAAATATACACGAAATATATATATGTCTATCGCAGTTAAGTGGTGCGTCCGAGCTTTTATGAGTATATCTCAAGCCACTTGTATAGCTCTTATACTCGCTCCTATTGTGGGACCTCAGGATACCAATAGACCTTTACCATTCAAGACATATCTGCCATACTCGATAACCGGTTTATATCCGTATTTGGCTACGTATCTTCAGCACGTAGGTGCCATATTTTACGGGGTCCTACTCAACGTTTCGTTCGATTCGCTCGTCTACGGCTTCACTCTTCATGTTTGCGGGCAAATCGAGTTACTGTGCTATCGTCTGTCGGAAATCTTCAAGGATCATCCTGATATGGTGCAATGTCAATTCGGTTCAGATAAAGGCGCGATCATTAGCGAATGTGTGAGACATCACTTACGCGTACACGAGATCGTACGCAGAATACAATCACTATTTGTATGGACCGTGATGATTTTGTTCATTTTCAGTATGGTCACCCTATGCACCAGTATTTTCCAAATGTCCAAGGTTACGTAAATTTAAATTCTTATACAATCGACTGTTATTTCTTACAATTTAATCATTGTAAAAATGTTTGTAACAATATTTGAAATATTTGTTTTAATGGCAGACAGCAAAGTCGTCATTAAAAAAGCATCATTACTACTTATTGTCTAATTCGCGATATCGCGCGAATATTATACTGACAATGAATGAATTAAATTTGCTTCGCAGAAGAGGCTTCTCAGCGTTGGATTTCTCTCACTAATTTTATATCTCGGGAGCATGTTGTGTCAAGTATTCTTTTACTGCTGGTACGGAAACGAGTTACAATTGAAGGTGTGATGATAATAATAATAATAATGTATTTTAATTACTTTAATCGATATATAATTCGCGACGAAACATTTGGAACATAAAATCGTTCTAGTTATATTATAATATTTATTTATATTTTTGTGCAAATTGTAGAAGTCATCTCAAGAAAAGGACTCAAAAAACTTACCGAATGAATGATGAGGAATTCTTTTGTCGCGTGTGCAGAGTAAAAACATCGGCGAAGCTATTTATTCGAGCAATTGGACGATTGCCACGACACAAGACCGCAGAAGTTTGCTGTTCATGATGATCATCAGTCAAAAGGGATTGAAACTCTCTTATTATGGCATTTTTAATTTGGCCCTTGACACTTTCACCTGGGTAAGTTTATGCCGATATCTTTAACAGTATAATGATAATATTACTTTAATGATAATAACAAAGCAATGTTAATAATCTTTTTTATGCAGATTTTGAAAACATCCTATTCTGCCTTTAATGTTCTGCAACAGACGTCAATATAGCTAGACCTAAATTATAGTAAGAACAGATTGTATATACAGAATTACATATTTCTCTTTTATGTTTATGTATTTCAAACATAAATATAAAAGTCTTTTTAAATAGAAATTTTTCTCGAAATTATTTATATTTTTATACACTATAAGTAGTATTTTATATTACCATTTTCTATACATTAAAATATTTGTGCTATTTATTTTCTCTCTACAATATTATCTCTCTCTATAATATTATTGAGCGTTTAGAAATTAACTTATTGTAGAGCGTAGAAATAAGAAAATTGGAAGATAAAATGTTCTGTCTAATATCATCAACATGCGTGGACTTTCCGCATTGATTCTGTATATGCGGATATATTTTATTTACTACAACTATATTTTTCACGAAGCAGACGTAATACTGCTTAATATTTTATCAGCGAAACTTGTCATCTAGATAAATTTTTTCCGTAATGACAACTTAGGGCCAAAATACAACCTTCATATTATTTTTTTCGATAAAAGCGATATGCATACACAGCATTGAAGGAAGCTTGCATAGCTGAGAATGTCATAAATCGACCGTCTTTAAAATTTAAATACGTTTGATCATATTATACGTTATTATTATATTACTAATGTAGCTTTCCTATTGATAAAATGTTATCGGAAATTTCTCCTTATTGTGATCGAACGAACATCAACTTGTCATGCATTATTGAGAGAGAGTTTCTGGGGACAGTCTTGAGATAGAAACATGTCAAATGACACAGAAATAACGTGCAGCTATGGACATTCTGCCGGTGAACTTTAAAGTTCTATGGTTTTGTGGTGCGTGGAAAGAACGAAAAGACGATAACATCGTTGTTGCTTGCCTACACTCCTGCTACAAGTATATAAGCGCATAAAACATATAAGTGTGTTTAGAATTAAAATAAAGATAAAAATACTTTTACATTCAATTGTTCAAGTTTAAAATAATTTTATATTAAAATGTAAACTCTATACTTGCAGATATGCAATTTTCTTTCTAATATATCAGTTCACGATATTTGAGGTAATAGAAGTTATTCGCACGCGTGATCAAATCAATGAGTTAACAGAAGGACTCTTTCTGGCATCGACTTATGTAACATTATGTCTGAAGTATGCAAATTTTTTGCTACGAAAGAACGATATATCGAAATTGTTGGATTGTTTGCGCGTAAAAATGTGTCAACCCAGAAATTTGACGGAGAAGATGATAATAGAGACGCACAGTCGAAAAGGTATTGGAATAACTAAATTAAAAGTAGGTTTTTTATTCAATTAAGCGGTATATACGAATAATTTAATTATCATATTTAAAACTTGATAAATTCATTTCAATGTACTAATTGCCTTTCACGTACGAATTCACTGGCGAACAAGTCTTTTAGTGAAATAAATCGAAATATTCGTGACAGCTAAATGGAGTTCTCTTATCTTCTTATTCATGTCGCAAGTCACTGCTATGGGTTTCATGATCATACCAATTCTGGGATTCGGCAAGGATGAATGGATCTTGCCCACGAAAGCGTACGTTCCTTATTCAGTTTCGGAAGTATTTCCATATGTGGCGACGTATCTACAACAAAGTGCAGCGCTGTTTTATGCAGTTATGCTGAACGTTTCATTTGACTCCCTTGTTTATGGTTTCACCATTCACGCCTGCGGACAGATCGAGCTGATTTGTCGTCGATTATCAGATAATATTAGGGCCTCGGTAAATTTTAAGAAAGGATCGGATACGAATACATCGATTGAAGAATGCGTCAGGCATCACGTACTTGTGCACACTTTTGTGAAGAAAGTAGGAGCGCTATTCATTTGGACAGTCATGGTTCTCTTTCTTTTTAGTCTGATTATTCTCTGCACCAGCATTTTTTTGATATCAAAGGTTGGAATTCATGCTTTTGTCGATTATTCATTTTAATTAATTTTATTTCTAAATAACTAATAAATTAATTTCAATTTGCTTGAGTTATAATTTTCTAAATTGCAATCTAAAATATAATTTAACAGGGAATTTCCTACTAAAAACTATAGCTTGAAAACTTTAGACATATGAGAGAAATTCATTTATATACGCATTTGTTTCGCAGTTATTTGTAATTTGTAAATTAAATAATTTTGCAGACAAAACTCTTCAGCATAGAGTTTCTTTCTTTGATATTATATTTTATCAGTATGATGCTGCAAGTATTTCTTTACTGTTGGTATGGGAACGAACTCGAGTTGAAGGTAAATAATTATGTAGTATTTAAATAAAATTTCTAGAATTTAAAATGCAAAATGCTAATGTTATTTCATAAAGAAAATATTAGATCTGATTATAAAGACATACACGTATAATCAACAACTTTATTTTACAGAGCAAAAGCATCGCAAATAGCATTTATTTTAGCAATTGGACATTAACCACGTTGCGAGAGCGCAGATCTTTGATACTTATTATGATAAATAGTCAGAGAGGATTGATGTTTTCCAATAATAGAATGTTTTCATTATCTCTAGATACTTTTACCTGGGTAAGTAAATTTAGAAATAAATACATGTACGCATAATGTAAAATTTATACTCAGAATTTACTTTCAATTAAAGCACATTTTAAAGTTATCATTGTTGCTGCAATGTTCTAAATGTTCAAGTTAGTTATACACATAAAAAAGCAAATTATAGACAATTTTTAATATTATCTATCTTATTCTGGTTTTCCAGATTTTTAAAACGTCGTACTCGGCTTTTAATCTTCTGCAGCAAGCATCAAATTAATTAACAAATACATTGTTAATTATAATGAAATGTATTTTTTACGTAGTTCTATATTTATATAAAACGCAAAGTAGACGATATAAAATATTTTCTGGAAAAATCCACTTTTATATGACATCAAATTTTTGTGATTAAAACTAGATAACACAAGCGCGTTTCGCGCACGCTAAACAAACTTTTATTCCGCGAGTGTATATGTCGTAGGCTAATGATTATTTTCAGCAAATAGCTTTTGACTCCGTGTGAAAAGTTTCAAATCAATGTGGAACCTCGCTTCGCGTGGAAAAGTATATGCTAAATACAATTTGCCTACAGTGGTTCAGTCAAATAATATTTGACTAGAAAAATAAGATTTGACTAAGAAAGTAGCATTTGAAAAGAGAGGAAAAACATTTGACATGGCAGATAGCATTTGACTAGTCAAAAGCTGCTTGCTGAAAGTAACCATTGGCCTACGACATATACATAATTTTAATTCGTCGAATTTCTGTTTTCCTTTCTAACTGAGAAACTGTAGTCGAAACCACTTAATCACAAAATTAATGAACACTTATTTATCAGATTTTAACAATATTGCTCTTATGACTGAAACTAATTAAAAAATTCAAGACCGGTCTTCAAAATATTGGAAAATGTAAATGGAATAATCTTGAGTTTGATACTAAAAAATTTTTGGAAAAGACGTGTCAATTATATTATGCATTTAATTTTTGTTTGATTGTTTGTTTAAAAATGGCTTCAATCGAGTCTCTGTGATAAGCCGAATATAGTATAAAATTATAACTATGATAATAAAATTTAAAATTAATTGTAGAATTTTATTTATAAAAATAATTTTATATAAAGAAGCTGAGATCTTGGTCAGAATAAGATATCGTAATTATGGTAATATTTTCTAAAATTTTAGGGTGGGCTAAAGTGTGGGCCACTGTATTTTTAAGTGGTCCAGGACCCACCCAGGCCTACTCTTTGTGCCGCTTATGTATCAGATATATATGTATAATTTATATATATATATATATATATATATATATATATATATATATCGAGTTTCATTTTTCAATTTATCTTCTTTGTATTGACGTTGAACTCTGAAATAAATGCTATTTTAAATCCAATTTTAATTTAATTGCAGTAATTTCGTAAAGTAGTTACGTAGAAAAGTAGATTTAATATACAGTTACAGTTGTTTGAATGCTTCCATCGGAAAACGTGTTTTGCTAACGGCAAACTTACTGACCTACTGTGTGACCACTGTCATACTATGCCAAACAAATTTACTGGAATGCGTTTGACCAACACCTTTATCTCATTGCATTATTTAATGCATTGGTTAATAGAAGAGAACTAGGTTTTATTAGTAAATAAATAATCTTTTCTTTATGCATATAATAATATTATTTAACGAATTTTTTATATAATAATCACAATATATTAAACATTGTCAAATAAATTAATTTGAATTGATAACATAGTTGTGCAAACACACATCACTTATATTTTATCAAATAAATATTTTATTAAATATTCAAATAAAACAACATTTGCATTTTGAAAATTAGTACTAAATAAAACATCAAAATACAATATATTATATTAATTACTATTAATTTTTAAAATTTTATTTTTTCTTATTTCTCTATCATTTCAAAATCTGTAACTGCATTTTCTCATGTTGAATAATTTATCATCGGTTCCAATCGATATATAATGATTATAGTCATGCATTTAATGTCTCTAATGATTTTAATATTCCTAATGCTATTAATCTCGAAGCCTCTGATCTGCTGCATGACTAAAGAATAAATGCCATGCTGAAGTTGAAATCCCGTAAGCCAGACTCGTGAGGCAGAACAGTGAAACCATCGTGTTTCACGTGAATCAGTGTTGAGCGACCTGTAGCCGTGATTCCGGCTACAGGTTCGCCAGTCAACGAGGAAACTTCGAGGCGAGCGTCCTGAAGCGATCGAAGTACGTCATGAGCACAGGCGTCGAATCGATCATCCTGTGCGTGATTGTCGTAGTTTCAGGAATATTCATACGACATTCGGTAAACGGTAATCCGTATCGCGATAATTACATGGTGACACATTCAAAATATAATTATTCGGAAGAGCGGATATTCCAGAAGGAAAGAGATCCTGATGAAAAAAATAGTGGGTTGGTGTCATTAATTGAACAAGAAATTGTGCGATAAACAATTTCATGAAATTGTGAATTGCGTTATATGTTCAATATTTTAATATCAAAATATTAATAAGATTCTCTACGCGGGAAAGGATTATTAAAAGAGTAATAAAGTTTTAAAAAATTAACATTATATATTTTAATTTTTATATAAACAATATATTATAATATACGTAAATTCTGTCATAAATATATAATATTTTAAAAATAAAAAATCTGAGAAAATTATAATTTTATTTTTATATATAAAAATATAATTCTTGATAAAAATATAATTCTTGATATAAAATATTCACTTTTAATTTAATCATCATTTAGTATGATTTGTATTCATTAATTCGTATATATAGTTTGGCTTTTACTTGGCAGTATTTAATCATATTAATTAAAACACATTCTTTTCGCTTGACGCGTTTTATTCGCGTTCTAGTTTTTTCTATAAAGAAGTGGATCATGTGTGTATTAAGCATAAAAAAAATGTTATAATTTTTTACTATTGTGTAGTTTATGTCAAACATACGCAAAAAATATATTTTTACGTAAGCGTAGGAATAACATTTTTGGCATTTAAAACATATAATACAATAAATGCTAATATTGTCAAATATATTTATAAATCTATATAATCAGAATATTTTTGCAAATATTTGCAATATTAATATTAATATAATATTTGCAAATTACTTGTAACAAGCAATACATCTATATTTAAAAATTAAAAACTATAATTTTTTATTTGCGAAAATGCACAATTGTTTGCTTTTTTTATAATCTTCAGAAAATATCATAAAATATTTCGAGAATTAATATAGAAAATATTATTTATACATTAATGTGACGAATAACCAACGTATAGTTTACAGGATGCTAATAATGATCACGAAGCGCAATCGATTTTGGATTCTAAAGATAAAAAAGAAGAAAGATTTGAAGTAACTAATTATTTTCAAGAGACACTCAGAGAGTCATTCCGAGATGATGATTATGACAGAGGTTTTTCTTTGTTTGACTTACTTGAATCCATGCTGTCAGTTGTAGCAAATGGATTTAGCACAGTCGTAAGCAGTATTGTTGGTACTGAAAAGAAAAATTTACGATCGAATGTCAGTAGAATAAATTATAGAAACTATCAATTAATCAGAGTGTTTCCTAATACGGTAAATCACATTACGGATCTGCACGACTTGAGAGACGCTGAGCCTGAAAACATCAAATTTTGGTCCTTTCCAAATTTAAACAGGTTTGTCTTTGTGATTTGATTTATTAAACAATAATCAATTACTTAACTTATTTTTCATACCAACATTTGCTTTTTAGGACTTCTGATCTTGTTATCGCGCCAGATCTTGTAGCTGATGTTAAGGACTATTTGAGAGATAATAAAATCAACTTCAAGGTGTTAATATCGGATATTCAGGTAAAAAGTAAATGCATGTTTCATATTCTTTATATCAATATTATATCATAAAACAATTTCAATATATTTTGAAATAAATATATACAATTTTTTGAAGAATAATTATTGTTTATATTGAAAAAAGGACTATAATCAGCTAACATTAAAATTGTCAGTAATCACAAAAACCAAGATTTTGAAATTATTTATGCATGTCATTACCCAGATAGTCACAGTAATTATTATGACATCAAAATAATGTCATAATAATTACTGTGGCAATCTGGGTATATGTACGATCTATATAGATGGAAATTTTAATGGCAACAGGTGTTTATGCATAATACTGACATACTTTACTTATAATATTTTCTATGATTTCTCAATGCGCAGAGATATAAAAGAAACGTTACAGTAATAAATAAATCATCATTTATTTTATAAAGTTAAATTGATACATATGTTATGAAAGAAATTGAAAAGAGAAATCTTGCCGTGAATATTGACATAAATAATTGAGATAATTAATTATATATATTAAATTGAGTGATAAATTATAAATCTTGAAAATAATTTTGATCTTTGATTAATAGAAAACAATTTCATATCAAAATCCTAAAATGACGAAAGAACAACGCGAAGACTTGGTGACCACTCAAGGTCATAGTATGACATGGAAACGTTATCATCGATACGGAGGTAAATTCTACTAAACTATTCTACAAAAAAAATATATATTGTACATATTTTACAAAATAATATATTTGATTTTATACATATATGTATATAATATGTAACATAATAAATTTATTATTTTGCATAAATTTATTTCTACAATCAATATATTAATTTTTACAGATATTATGCGCTATTTAGAATACCTAGCTTTCAGGTATCCCAAAATAATTGAGTTAATAACTATCGGCCATAGTTATGAAGGTCAACCAATAAAAATGGTAAAGGTTTCGACAGGATTAAAGAAAGACGGTGAAAGAAAACCTGCGATTTGGATCGATGCTGGTGAATTTTTTATCTAAAGCAAACATTAATTTTTTTTATATGAACAGAACTATGAATATATAAATTCAAGACAGTAGTTGAAAAATAATTGTAATTGAATAATACATTACATATATGGTATGGATATTGTGAGAAGAATTCCAAGAATTTTTGTCTCCAACTATTTGATCTCTTTTCTTAGTATTATAAGAAGCAATCGCCCTGTTTTTTACTGAATTAATGACTGGTTTTCGGCAACATTAAATTTGCATGTCTTGACCGTATCTCGTCCCGTTACCTCATCTTTTCAGTGAATTCGCGTTACATTTGTAGGCATGCACGGACGAGAATGGATCGGTAGTGCCGTGGCGACCTACATATTGAGCCAGTTAGTTGAGAGGAATTCGACCTACTCGAAATTGTTGGATAATTCAGACTGGATGATCTTGCCAGTTGTCAATCCCGATGGTTATGAATACAGTCATATTGGTGATCGCTTTTGGCGGAAAACTAGAAGTAACCACGTGGAAAGTGAAGAGGATAGTAGGTGAGAGAAAACAAATTTTATTCTATATCGCGATTGTGTATTTTAATAAAAATGAATAATGCTAGCAATATGTGAATATATATTTTTTTAGAGTTTAATGTACATTTGTATTTTTGGATATATATATATACCATATATATGTGTGTATAAAGAAAGGTATTATTCGTTAATAGGCTTTTAAAAGATTGATCTTTAGATCAGATTATACGATGAGATTTCAGATAAAGAAAGAAGTGCGGTTTAAATTAAAAACATTTTTATAATGCCTATTATGTAATTCAATAAAAACAATAATGAAAATTATGATGAGAAATTATTCATGCTATAGTAAAATAAAGTAATGTGTAATCTTTTTTTTCTAGGTACACGCCTTCCAACTTTTTACAGTTCGTAACGCATTATACTAGGTGGTTCTGGGCTAAATGCGAAGGAGTTGATCCGAATCGTAATTTTGCATACCACTGGGGCGAAGAGAAGGAAGGGGGGCCAGTTCAGATCCTTGTCATGAAACTTATTCAGGACCGTTCGCCTTCTCCGAACCAGAGACGAAGGCCATGGCAGATTATATTATGGCAAATAAACAACATATTCGGTATATAATTCTCTATATTTAATTAAATAGCAATTATAAATAAATATTAATTTAGTCTAATTTAATTTAATCTTATTTTATTTAATTTTTCTAAATTTTTTGGTTTATAAAAATATTTAATATAAATGATACATTTCCAGAATGTATTTGACTTTGCATTCTTATTCTCAAATGTGGCTTCTACCTTGGGGTCACACACGTTCGAAGCCGTCAGATTATTCCGATATGATAAACGTAGCGAAAAAGGCAATTAGCGCGATCGCAAAAGTTCATGGCAGTCATTATCAACTTGGACCGGTGACAGATCTGATGTATCCAATTTCTGGTAGATATAATTTTATCTAATAATATCAATTTTAATTTGCAGTTTATCTCGTAAGAGAATGATATAATAACATACATGCTAATATCTATATAATCAGATCTTAAAATGCAAACGAAAATGCATTTGAACAAATATGCGAATGATGGGAGATCATTGTTGCAAAAGTGTCGTCTATGTTTTCAGGGGCATCTGACGATTGGGCCAAAGGCGTCGCCGGTATAAAGTATGCGTATACGGTGCAATTACGTGATCGTGGAACGTACGGATTTCTGTTGCCGGCGACTCAGATAGTTCCGACCGCGCGTGAGATCTGGGCGGGAATTCGCGCAATCGTTCGCATGGTTACCTGTAACACGTGAAATCGTTCTGCTTATCAAATTAATTAACGCTTTCTTTACGATAGAGAGCGGATCAGCTGATTCATGAAGCGTATATGGATATAATAATTAGTATCACCTCTGCGATAGATATCGTACAGAGTACATAGGGCATTAGTATCGAGAAATCGACACTCCAATCGTTATCAGAATAAATAAATTAAGCTGCAATATATATATATATATATATATATATATAACGGCAAGAGATAGATCTGTATTTAATTGGAGACATATCGATTAATCGATATTCTCATATTAAATTAATGCGTAAGATATAATAAATTTTCGTGTTTCTATGTATATGCGATTTATGTTCCTAAATTAATTTTTAGAAAATTTGGTTTATAGTTGGATATCATTTTTGAAAATCATGTTATATACACAGAAATTATACTTTGATTTAATACATTAAAATTGTAAAATTTGTGTTAATTTTGATGTATTTACTCTGTACATTTTTATTTGTAAATTAGGTAAAGCATGTATTCCATATATTGGAATTATATTATTTATAGTTTAAGTGTAGACAAAAAAGAGAGAAGAGAGAGAAATAGAGAGAAATAGAGAGAAAAGAGAGAGAATGTGTGTATAATGTATATAATGTGAATATTTATTATTTATTTATTATACTGAATTCTTTTATACGAATAATAAAATAAATATTATTTTATTTATTTAAATTACGTATTGCACTATTTTAATATTTGTTATTTTAATTAGTACGTATATTATAAGACACATAATATAATATACTTGGTCTTTGAGACATCAATGATGCCGAGTGTATAACAAATATGATTCTACTATTCTACTATGATATAAACACGGAAATAAATTTTTATCTTACAATATAAATACGATGAAATAAATTAATGGTAATTTTTGTTCAAAGAAGATAAAAACGGTAATGTTTGTTTTTTATATATAAGAGATAGATTAATGGTGTAAAGCAATAGTCGGTGCGCCATGTTATCTATGCACTTAAGAAGGTATGTTATCAAGATGAATACGAATTTCTTGCGTATTTATCGCAAGATATTGCGTTATTTCGTAGTATATAAACCGTAAGCTTATTTGGCGTTTAGCCTGCATTCAACTGATATATCGCAATGTCATTGATTCAGTGTCTTCTAGCTGCCATTCTGGTGTTCCAGGGTAAGTACGCACTTTTTGCATTACAATATTTATATTTTCATAAATTAAAATTTAAATCAAATATACAAATTTACAGTTTCTAGTAGCATAAATATTGTAATGTATCTATCAAATGGCATAAATATCGTAAATATTTTTTTAAATTATCAAATACATATAAACTATAATTCACTTACAAATATTTAATGCAATATGTATAAAAATAATTTAAAAGTTTTATAAATAATTATGCGATAAAATAGATATTTAAAAAGAAAACTATATTTTTAAATGGAGAATTTACTCTAAAATAATATTATATTATTTGAAATATATTATTTTGAAATATACATTATATAAAATATACTATATATTTGAAATAAAACTAAAACAAAATGTACAAGTTTTTGCGAAAGTAATATTCTTTTTTATATATTATTATTAAAAGTTCTCTTTAAAATTGTCTACAGCATGTCTAGCCACCCCCTTCGGTCTAAAACCCAGAATTACCGACGGTGAAGATGCCACACCGGGTGAATTTCCTTATCAAGTGTCTATTCATTGGGGTATCGTCACATCTAAACATGCTTGCGGTGGTTCAATTTTGAATGAGCGTTATATTTTGACCGCCGGACACTGTGTTTTGAAGGTCGGCAAGCTTAAGGTTTTCGCTGGCAAGCATTATCTTTCTAAGAATGAAAACACTCAACAAGAAGTTGAAGTCGAAAAGACCATCGTCCATCCAAAATATCCGGGGTACGTTTCCATTATTTTTAGTCAAAAATAGATATATTCCATAATTTCTAATCATTGATTATATTTATTTTAATCAAAAGCCATCTTGTAATCAGAATTTATATTACTGTCACAATATATTTATTATAAAATATTAGTTATAATTTTGTGATATAAATATTACAAAATTATAATCTTATCTACAAATTCAGAGACTTCAAAGGCGCTTAAAAATACATTTTATCTAAATAAATAGAATAATTATATAATATTATATTAATAATGAATACATTTATATGATAAGATGTATGATAGCGCGCGCAAAGATAGATTATCGATATCGATATTTGTAAAAAATATTATCAAAACGAAGTTATAATTTTGCGTTATTTAATTATAAATTATAAATTAATTTGTTGCCTCAATATTAAATTATTTTAATAATATTGTTTATTGCAATATATTGCTTAATTACATCTAAAATATTATGTTTTATTTTATTTTAAGACAGTCTCAATATATAGAGAAATCAAGTTCTTTCAAAACATTAAATATTACTTATCGCAATTATTTGACAATCAGTAATCCATGTCTTGCGATAATCTCATCACATCTTTTTCATAAATTTCTCGCAATATGTATATCCGATATTCATGTTTTCTTAACTGATAATATAACAGACATGTCTGGTGAAGTCATGATACCATCACGATACTTTAGATTAAATCATATTGCGTTCTTTCAGAGGTGTTGCTCCATATGACATCGCTCTTCTGAAATTGAAAACTCCTCTTACCTTTAATGAGAGAGTGTCTCCTGTCATTCTACCTCGACAGGACGAGGTACGAACTGGAATTGCTGTGCTCTCTGGATGGGGCTCTACCTCGAAAAGCTTACTCCCAAAACTTCCTGATGTTCTTCAAAAGGTTTCTCTCCCATTGCTAGACTATCAATCTTGTCTGAAAAAATTCCCGGATAACTCCATTGGCAAACGTCCAGAACTCTATGATACACAAATCTGCACTGATGTTGTTGAAGAGATATCTGCTTGCTCTGTAAGTCAAATTAAAATTTTTTTATATATTTTTCTTTCTGTCTCTTTCTCTTTTCTTTTTCTATAATTAATTAAATTATCATATTAAAGAATTTTTTTGATTTTACAAAGCTATTTTTCGATTTTACATTATTAATATTATTGTTGATTTATTTAATTATTTCGTCAATTCATTCTATGTAGAAAGTAATATAAAGTAATTTCTAAATTAGTTTTATCTATAAAAGTTGCAAAATAAATGACCTTATAAATAAAATATAACTTATAATATGTTATCTATATAATTTTTATTTTCAAATATATATATTTAATATAATAATAAAGAGAGAATTAAAAAAATTAGATACTTAAAGAATCGTTTGTACAAAATCTCTTTTACTAACGTTTTCTGTAGGGTGACTCTGGTGGTCCATTAGTTCAATTCGATGACAACAATCCTGTCCAACTCGGTATCGTTTCATGGGGCATCTTACCGTGTGGTGTTAACCACGCTCCTTCCGTCTACACCCGCGTAGCTTCCTACGTTGACTGGATTAACGATATCATTAACCTCTGATTATTTATATTAAATAGATTTTATCCTTTTTCTTTGATCAATATGCTGAGAATTATATCACTTGAGACATTATTCTGTATACCATTTTTTCACATAAATTGAAATATAATCAAATTTTTTAATTATAAATCAAAGAAAAAAATAGTTAATAATTTAAATTTTCCAATAATGATGATAATGATGCTATATTCTACATATGTAATATAATATTAAGAAAACATTAAAAATAAAAAAATTTTATAATACCATTTTTATATATTTTTTATTTAAAACCTCTGTTAATAAATATGAAAGAATGACAGTAAAAATGAATAATTTTTTATTTTCTTGTATTTCTGACTTCAGTTTCTTCTGTATTGTTAGATGCAGAAGATACAGAACCGTTTTTGATACTTGCTATCAATTAGAATTCCAATTTTATGTAAGTAGCCGTTTAATTTTAAAAAATGCTATTCTACAAATATTTTTGTTTGAGTAATATTTATGTTTTATATTTTATCAAAACCGAGCTATATTATAAAATAACTTCGATCATCATGTACTTATCGACAAAAGATTTAAACACTTTAAATTGTGAAGACAGATTTGGTCACTCTACATTTAAAAAACTGACAGAGTACGTAATTTCTGTGATGACACTCTTTTAATATATAAACTCGAAAAGTGTTTATTAATTGCATAAAATTAATAAAATTACTTCTATATACTATTAAGTCATATTCAAACTGTCAAATTATAGAATCTTTGTTCAATAATAATTTCTTATCGAATTATCAGAACATCGAAATAAATAGAAAGAAACATAATAAATAAACTTTATTATTGTTCTTTAATAAAAAAGAATCAAATTAATTCATTAGATTTATATTATATTATACTATTATACAGAGTATAAATATGATGTTTTTTAATCGGCCTAAGAGCCATTGCACGATTAAAAAACATCATATTTATATTGTTTATATTGAGAGCCGATAGAAATATTTCTGAGTTTATTATACAGAGTATTTCAGGAGGAATATAAAGACATGTTTTCTTCTTTAGATGATGTGTACAATCAAGTTCTAAAACTTGCATTCCTCCTGAAGCATCTTGTATATAAATATTATTTTCTTATTTCGTTTAACTGAATATAATTACGTGCACGAATCGAAGTTATATTATTCTTTGATAATAAAATCTTAAAAATTGCAACGCATGCATAAAAATTATTATTGCAATGTACGCATAAAAAAATTTATTAATTATGTGATTTATAAAAATTCAACATATAAATTTTTAACAAAAGACAAAAAAATATAATTTTCTACAAGAATCTTTCAATCAAAATATCTGCGCTTACATTAGATTCGCGCGTTGTGCGCGTTCGCTATGCTACATGGCTCGCGCGAAACTGACCACGTGATCATCAGTCTCGCACTTGCGATATAAAATTTTCTACAAGAATTTTTTGTGATTAATTATTTATGCTTTCATTAGATTCACGCGAGACTCTATACCCTATACATCCATCACGCTGCGCGGCTCGCGCGAAACTGATTCTCGTGTAAGGTATCACGAGCGCGAAACCGAGGTCACGTGACCAGTGGATCCACTTGTCACGTGACCACTGGTCATGTGACCATTAGTCTCGCACTCGCGATATCTCGCACGAGAATCAGTGCCGCGTGAGACGCGCACCGTGACGGATGTATGGGGTGTACTAATCTAATTGGAAGGGTAGAAAGAGACTAACAGAAAAGTAGATATTTTGATCGAAAGATACTTGTAGAAAATTTTAATTATGTTCTCTGTTAAAGACTTAAATATTTGAATTTTTATACATTGCATAATTAATTATTATTTTTATGCATGCATTGCAACAATAATTTTTATGAATGCGTTGCAATTTTGAGAGATTTTATTATCAACGAATAACATAACTTCGCTTCGTGCACGTAATTATATTTGGTTAGATTAAATAAAATGAGAAAAAAAATATTTATATACAGATGAGTATTTTAGATGGAATAATTAGCATTCTAGGACAATGATTATATACAAAATATAAATCACTTATTTAAGCAAAAAAGTTTATTAAACATGTGTCCTATTTTTTATAAAGATACAGTTATTATAAAGATATACAACGTTCAAACTAAGAACAAATATATTTATTAACTTAAGTGTAAGATTTTATATTACATATTTTCATAATATTCTAGAACTGAAAATTCTACTCACACAGCACGAAAGTGACACGTTGAAAGCAAACGTTAAACTGACGATAAATAAATAACACAAAGATTTATCGGATTTTTATACATATCCTCTTCATAATTTTATTTTTAATCTTTATTAATGTGTATTTCATCGAAATTTAAAATCCATCAAAATCTCAATAAATAAATCAATTTACACTATCATAAACGAGATTATATTGTTTTTCCGCATACTTTCTACGTCTACTTCAATGAGGGCTAATGATTGATCGTAATCATATAACGATAATGCGAGGCATTGACTGGATGATCCATCATGATTAAACTGTAACAAAGCTAATCGGATCTTAAAGAATGCTTCATTGTTCTATAGCAGATCTGATATAGATTTGCATGACAGTGATTCGAACAAATTTGAAATAAATGATCAACAAAAACAAATTATAAATCTATTAATAATATTTTCTATAATAATTATTCTTTCTAGTTAGATTCAATGTGTTTTAAAATATTTAAATAAATCTAGTATATCTTATTAATTAATAAATTACGTTCCTGGACCTAATTATGGATTTTACTCGAGGATGATGGAGTTTTTTGTATGATCTCAAGAAGATTTGGTAACTGTTCGCATATCTTATTAATTAATTTTTTGTGCATAAACTTTTTTTGTTTTATTTAATAACAATTTTGTTTTTTCTAAAAAAGAGTTTATTCAATTACTGAATGAAAGAAACATTAACATAAAATATAAATAAATAATATACAGTATATTCTATAAAACTATGCTTCTGAGAACAATATATTAAGACTTGTGACATGACAAAAGTTATTCTTTTTATATTGCATACGCATGTTATGTTATTAAATTGAATCAAGAATAGCACATTTACTTTGTCTAAATTAATCCAGATAACATTTAATGATTATATCAACATCGATACATCAAATTATAGGGAAAGTTTTATTCGTAGCAAAATCTTTCTTATCTTAAACAGATCATACGGATTTGCGTGGATTATCAATGCAAAATCATTCATGATATGGCATAGAGATATTGAACGAAATGAGCATAAAATGCAGCCAATTCGCTAGACTGGCATCAATCGACAAGATGTCTTCCAAAGCAATCGTGTTCTTTGCTCTCCTAACGGTGGCTTTCGCTGGTCCTACAGGAATTCGTTAGTATTTTACATTATACATAATTATAATACGTATATATATATATATATATATATATATATATATATATATATAAATGTAATTATAGAAAGTTGGCAACAGAATAATATGTACTTTTGTTTCCCTTTTAATAACATTAGATTTTTTAAACAAATATCAATTAAATTATCTTATATAGTTCCACGAAGAAAGTACGAAAATTTAGTCTTGCATTGTATTGTTACAAATCATTTCCATTTTATTGCATAAGATTTTCTTTAACGTACCATATTTGATTTGATTTGCAAATCTTGTCTTAACTATGTTATATAATAATTCTAATTATCTTATTTTAATTCTAATTTCAGAAAAACCACATCTCGGTTTTCGATTGCCACAGTTCTCACAGTTCTCGCCACAAGTAGTCGGAGGCGATGAGGCTCCAGCAAATGAATATCCATTCATTGCCTCTCTTCAGGCATACGGTAGTCAGCACTATTGCGCCGGAATAATTTTACACGAGAACTGGATCATGACTGCAGCGCACTGCATCGACGCAAATTATCCCACTACTTGTAAAGTTGGAAAGCACAACATTCAAAAATCTGAGGATACCGAACAAGCAGTTGAAATTGAAAAAACTTTTATGCATGAACAATATGGAGGGTAAATAAAATTAATCAAGAAGTATTAATAAGTTATCTAACTTTTATTTGCACCAGTATTTGTTAAATATATATATATATATATATATATATATATATATATTTAATTGCGTGTTTATATATTTATAATTACATATACAGATTATCTAAAATATAACAGTTCTTGAAAAAAATCTATTCAACTCTTATCGCGCAGAATCAGATTAAATATAGCAATCGAAATTATTAAAAAAGATATAATTTAGGTATTGCAAGATATTACAATTATCGCTACAATCGCTCGAGGATTAGACAAATTATGTATCAGAGTTAAAAAACGATGCACATGATAAATCTTTAGATATTTTTTTATTGACATGCATAGGTATTGTTATCAATTGTGTCAAGTATTAATTTTTCATTAATACTGTATGTTATTTTGTTAAACACAATTGCTTATGAAATTTTCTATAGCGATTAATAAATAGAAAGTATATTAAATTTAAATTTTAAATATTTCCCTTAATTTTCAGTGGTGTTGGCCCATATGATATTGGTTTGATCAAACTTAAGACTCCATTGAAGTTCACAAATGAAGTACAACCTATCAAATTGCCAAAACCTGAAAGCGATCCGGTTGGAGATGCAATACTTGCCGGATGGGGCTATATCACGGGAGGCTCGATGCCAGATAAACTTCAACATGTTAATTTGAAATACGTCGATCGCGCTACTTGCCATAAAGCTGTCGAGGATCTGACAGGATCTTCTCCCGTTCATGAGACTAATGTCTGTACTGGACCAATGAGCGGTGGAATCTCTGCATGCAATGTAAGTTGCAAATTTATACTCTATGATCACTCTCTACTATAAATATATAAGTTTAATGTACAAACTCTCTCAATTACATTGTTTAGGGTGATTCTGGTGGTCCACTATTCGAGAAACAGGGCGATAACTACGTGATTACTGGAATAGTGTCTTGGGGCATTATTCCGTGTGGTACTGTCGGCGCGCCATCCGTGTACACTAGAGTATCATCCTTTAATGACTGGATTGAAAGTATAACGAATAATAACTAAGCACAATTATATCGGCGACTTTAATGAATACTGATAACGGATTGTTGTACCTTATATATTCAATGTAACCAAATAAACCAAATATCTTGCATAAATAAATAAATTTGCTTAATGCACCACGTGCAGTTATTATTTTAAACCTTATAAATTAAAAATTAATTAGATTGTATAAAAAGAAGATATACATATATATATAATGTATATTGTAAAATATATTAGTTAATACCTTGCACGCAAATAATATTTTTTAGATCCTATGCCCCAACTATGTAGAACACATATCGTTTCGGAGATATTGCCGTTTAATTCTTTTTTCATGTTTATCTCGAATAAGCAGCGTTCTCAGCAAAGATGCAAAAGGCAATCTTATAGAAATCGACAAGATCTACAAGTTCATCCTTTGACTATTCTGCGTAAAATTTCGAAGTTATTCAGTTTGTCAGTTGTCAAAATAAAATTAAATAAAATTATTGTACAATGATTAAAAAGTTAAATCATACACATATTACATAAAGTCGGATAATGTGTTGTCTAGTTTAATTAAAAATAAAATAATATTGATAACATACGTGTTACTACTGATGTATTTTTATTTTATATAATAGTAACAATCTATTAGCGCTTTAAGGGTATAAGTGACATTCGCTGATATATACTTTACAAAAAATGTATGGTAAAATTTTAAAGTTTATATTTGATATATAAATTTTATAAAACTAGAAGAACACAAGCGCGCCATTCTTCTCTTGTATATTAAAAAGATTAATATTTAAAAATTAATAAAAATTGAACTCCATTAATATTTTGACAGAAATCAGCTAATAGCTGTTAAAAATATGAATCTTTAAATAATATATTATTAATACAAATTAAATAGTAATACTAAAGTAAGGCCCTTTATATTGATAAATAACTTTAAAATTAGATAATTAAATGATTCATAAATTATATAATTATTAAAATGCTTTATTAATAATTAATTAATATGTTTAAGCAGGCTTCAAAATATAAACAAATGTCAACGCTTATTTATTCAAAAATTCGAGTTTTTTGAGTTCAATATATATTTAGTGACAGCCTAGGGTCGGAACTATGCTACAGAACTATAGAACTCGTCAAAAACTATTACAAAATTTCAATGTTCAAATTTGAAAAAATGTGAAATAATGTGCTAACTTGGATTGAAAGTTACGCCTTTTTTCAATATTTTTTATTATCTAACTGAGGATCATTTAAAAGACATATTTCTACATTTTGAAGCTTGCTCTTTTATTTTTTAATTAGTTTAAGTCAATTAAAGCGCTAATTAATTTTTCCAAATTTCAGGACCCAGTGTACGAATTATTATGATAGGTATGTATATTGACACGTTATTTTTCAATATTTTTTATTATCAAACTGAGGACTATTTAAAAGACGTATTCCCACATTTTGAAGCGTGCTCTTTCATTTTTTAATTAGTTTCAGTCATTTAAAGCGATAATTAATTTTTCCAAATTTTAGAACCCAGTGTACGAACCATTATGTTAAGTATTAACACGTCATTTTTCAATATTTTTTATTATCAAATTGAGGACCATTTAAAAGATGCATTCCCACATTTTAAAGCTTGCTCTTTCACTTTTTAATTAGTTTCAGTCATTTAAATTTAAAGCAATAATTAATTTTTCAAAATTTTAGAATCTAATGTACAAATCATATTATGTTAGGTATTGACACGTTATTTTTCAATATTTTTTATTATCAAATTGAGGACCATTTAAAGGATGCATTCCCACATTTTGAAGCTTGCTCTTTCACTTTTTAATTAGTTTCAGTCATTTAAAGCGATAATTAATTTTTCAAAATTTTAGGATCCAGTGTACGAATCATTATGATAGGTATATTGACACATTATTTTTCAATATTTTTTATTATCAAACTGAGGACCATTTAAAGGACGTATTCTCAAATTTTGCAGCTTGCTCTTCCATTTTTTAATTACTTTCAGTCATTTAAAGCGATAATTAGATGCTTAAAGAATCGTTTGTACAAAATCTCTTTTACTAAGGTTTTTTTGTAGGGTGACTCTGGTGGTCCATTAGTTCAATTCGATGACAACAATCCTGTCCAACTCGGTATCGTTTCATGGGGCATCTTTCCGTGTGATGTCAACTACGCTCCTTCCGTCTACATCCGCGTAGTTTCCTACTTTGACTGGATTAACGATATCATTAAACTTTGATTATTTATATTAAATAGATTTTATCCTTTTTCTTTGATTAATATGCTGAGAATTATATCACTTGAGACATTATTCTGTATACCATTTTTTTCATATAAATTGAAATATAATCAAATTTTTTAATTATTGTTTTTCCGCAAACCTTCTACGTCTATTTCATTGAGGGTTAATGATTGATCGTAATCAGATAACGATAATGCGAGGCATTGACTGGATGATCCATCATGATTATACTGCAACGAAGCTAATCGGATCTTAAAGAATGCTTCATTGTTCTATAGCAGATCTGATATAGATTTGCATGATAGACAATGATTCGAACAATTTTAAAATAAATGATCAACAAAAACAAATTATAAATCTATTAATAATATTTTCTATAATAATTATTCTTTCTAGTTAAATTCAATGTGTTTTAAAATATTTAAATAAATCTAGTATATCTTATTAATTAATAAATTACGTTCCTGGGCCTAATTATGGAGTTTACTCGAGGATGATGGAGTTTTTTGTATGATCTCAAGAAGATTTGGTAACTGTTCGCAAGTACATGTCTTATTAATTAATTCTTTATGCATAAATTTTTTTGTTTTATTATCTTTTATTTTATTTAATAACAATTTTGTTTTTCCTAAAACAGAATTTATTGGATTACTGAATAAAAGAAATCTATTAATATAAAATATAAATAAATAATATACAGTACCTTCGTAAAACTATGCTTCTGAGAACAATATATTAAGATCAGAAATAAATATTTTTATCGGCTCTCAATATAAACAATATAAATATGATGTTTTCTAAATCGGCCAACAGAGCCAAAGAACGAAAAATTGCGAAAATTAATTATTCGGAACTGTATCTCTTGGTACGAGATTACAAAGTTCCATATATAAATTAATCTCGAAACTTACATATGGAGAAATAGGCGAGAAAAATATAGGTCCGAAAAGTTGCTGAAGCGAGAATCGAACCCGCGTCTTTCACTTTCCGGGCGACTGCTCTTATCACTAACAAGGGGACACTACACCCAGTACATCAAGAATCAGGATGCCAATTTTTTTGGTGATTCTAGAGATCAAAAAAAGGTATACGTGTTTCGGCGTTTTGTCGAATGCTCCGTAGTTTTCGAGTAAAAAATTTTTAAAAAATCGAAAAGTGCAGCAGCGATTAAGAGCTAACTCGTAGGTCGCAAGTTCGAGTCCGTGTCTTGTTACTTTTTTTTTGTTTTATCTTACTAGTTTTGAAAAAGTGTTGTTGTTTAAATATATTTAAATATATATAATGTGTAATGACAAATATAATTTAAATAAAAATAAGATATAAAAACAAAATATTTGAAAAAAAATTTTTTTATTGTAATAATTTAATTAAATAAATAAATAAATATATTTAAACAACAACACTTTTTCAAAACTAGCAAGATAAAACAAAAAAATAGTAACAAGACACGGACTCGAACTTGCGACCTACGAGTTAGCTCTTAATCGCTGCTGCACTTTTCGATTTTTAAAAAATTTTTTACTCGAAAACTACGGAGCATTCGACAAAACGCCGAAACACGTATACCTTTTTTTGACCTCTAGAATCACCAAAAAAATTGGCATCCTGATTCTCGATGTACTGGGTGTAGTGTCCCCTTGTAAGCTATTCAGACCCTTTCGATCCTATATTTTTCATTTGCCTTTTTAGTAGATGTTAGTAAATAACGCCGTGATTAGGCCAAGGCGTGAATAAACTCAGAAATAAATATTTTTATCGGCTCTCAATATAAACAATATAAATATGATGTTTTCTAAATCGGCCAACAGAGCCAAAGAATATATTAAGACTTGTGATATTACGAAGATTATTCTTTTTATATTGCATACGCATGTTATGTTATTAAATTGAATCAAGAATAGCAGCATTTACTTTGTCTAAATTAATCCAGATAACATTTAATGATTATATCAACATCGATACATCAAATTATAGGGAAAGTTTTATTCGTAGCAAAATCTTTCTTATCTTAAACAGATCATACGGATTTGCGTGGATTATCAATGCAAAATCATTCATGATATGGCATAGAGATATTGAACGAAATGAGCATAAAATGCAGCCAATTCGCTAGACTGGCATCAATCGACAAGATGTCTTCCAAAGCAATCGTGTTCTTTGCTCTCCTAACGGTGGCTTTCGCTGGTCCTACAGGAATTCGTTAGTATTTTACATTATACATAATTATAATACGTATATATATATATATATATATATATATATATATATATATATATAAATGTAATTATAGAAAGTTGGCAACAGAATAATATGTACTTTTGTTTCCCTTTTAATAACATTAGATTTTTTAAACAAATATCAATTAAATTATCTTATATAGTTCCACGAAGAAAGTACGAAAATTTAGTCTTGCATTGTATTGTTACAAATCATTTCCATTTTATTGCATAAGATTTTCTTTAACGTACCATATTTGATTTGATTTGCAAATCTTGTCTTAACTATGTTATATAATAATTCTAATTATCTTATTTTAATTCTAATTTCAGAAAAACCACATCTCGGTTTTCGATTGCCACAGTTCTCACAGTTCTCGCCACAAGTAGTCGGAGGCGATGAGGCTCCAGCAAATGAATATCCATTCATTGCCTCTCTTCAGGCATACGGTAGTCAGCACTATTGCGCCGGAATAATTTTAGACGAGAACTGGATCATGACTGCAGCGCACTGCATCGACGCAAATTATCCCACTACTTGTAAAGTTGGAAAGCACAACATTCAAAAATCTGAGGATACCGAACAAGCAGTTGAAATTGAAAAAACTTTTATGCATGAACAATATGGAGGGTAAATAAAATTAATCAAGAAGTATTAATAAGTTATTTAACTTTTATTTGCACCAGTATTTGTTAAATATATATATATATATATATATATATATATATATATTTAATTGCGTGTTTATATATTTATAATTACATATACAGATTATCTAAAATATAACAGTTCTTGAAAAAAATCTATTCAACTCTTATCGCGCAGAATCAGATTAAATATAGCAATCGAAATTATTAAAAAAGATATAATTTAGGTATTGCAAGATATTACAATTTATCGCTACAATCGCTCGATGATTAGACAAATTATGTATCAGAGTTAAAAAACGATGCACATGATAAATCTTTAGATATTTTTTTATTGACATGCATAGGTATTGTTATCAATTGTGTCAAGTATTAATTTTTCATTAATACTGTATGTTATTTTGTTAAACACAATTGCTTATGAAATTTTCTATAGCGATTAATAAATAGAAAGTATATTAAATTTAAATTTTAAATATTTCCCTTAATTTTCAGTGGTGTTGGCCCATATGATATTGGTTTGATCAAACTTAAGACTCCATTGAAGTTCACAAATGAAGTACAACCTATCAAATTGCCAAAACCTGAAAGCGATCCGGTTGGAGATGCAATACTTGCCGGATGGGGCTATATCACGGGAGGCTCGATGCCAGATAAACTTCAACATGTTGATTTGGAATACGTCGATCGCGCTACTTGCCATAAAGCTGTCGAGGATCTGACAGGATCTTCTCCCGTTCATGAGACTAATGTCTGTACTGGACCAATGAGCGGTGGAATCTCTGCATGCAATGTAAGTTGCAAATTTATACTCTATGATCACTCTCTACTATAAATATATAAGTTTAATGTACAAACTCTCTCAATTACATTGTTTAGGGTGATTCTGGTGGTCCACTATTCGAGAAACAGGGCGATAACTACGTGATTACTGGAATAGTGTCTTGGGGCATTATTCCGTGTGGTACTGTCGGCGCGCCATCCGTGTACACTAGAGTATCATCCTTTAATGACTGGATTGAAAGTATAACGAATAATAACTAAGCACAATTATATCGGCGACTTTAATGAATACTGATAACGGATTGTTGTACCTTATATATTCAATGTAACCAAATAAACCAAATATCTTGCATAAATAAATAAATTTGCTTAATGTAACACGTGCAGTTATTATTTTAAACCTTATAAATTAAAAAATAATTAGATTGTATAAAAGAAGATATACATATATATATAATGTATATTGTAAAATATTTAAAATTAAATATGTTATTGTAATAAAAATAAGATATACATATATATATAGTATATTGTAAAATATATTAGTTAATACCTTGCAAAATAAAATATAAAATTATTTTTTAGATCCTATGTGTAGTTTAAACACATATCGTTTCGGTGATATTGCCGTTTAATTCTTTTTTCATGTTAATCTCGAATAAGCAGCGTTCTCAGCAAAGATGCAAAAGGCAATCTTATAGAAATCGACAAGATCTACAAGTTCATCCTTTGACTATTCTGCGTAAAATTTCGAAGTTATTCAGTTTGTCAATTGTCAAAATTAAAATATAAATTAATTGTACAATGATTAAAAAATTAAATCAAATATTACATAAAGTCGGATAATGTGTTGTCTAGTTTAATTAAAAATAAAATATTGATAACATACGTGTTACTACTGATGTATTTTTATTTTATATAATAGTAACAATCTATTAGCGCTTTAAGGGTATAAGTGACATTCGCTGATATATACTTTACAAAAAATGTATGGTAAAATTTTAAAGTTTATATTTGATGTATAAATTTTATAAAATACAGTGAAAATATACAAAATTGAAAATCCTATTTTTTATTTCATATAGCTGTAAATTAATTTTCTTGCAATTAGTGATTTATTTACAAAATATAATAAACAAAGTATAATAATATATAGTATAAAAATTTTATAAATCAGCAAAGTTTTATACATTTTAATAATACATTTTACAATTAAAATATATTAATACATTGTACAATTTAAAATTTAAAACAAAGGATTTTCGTTTTTATATAAGTTTTTATAAAATTATATAAAATGCAATAATATATGAGAATAGTTAATGAGAATTTTTCCAAATTTCTTTAATCAATTTTACGTCTATAAATCTTCAATTAATTTTACATCCTTAATTAATAATTCGATTATTAATTACGCCGCTTTGCAAGCTTCCGTAACTACTTCTACCACAGCAAGCGCCTCCTTTGCCGTAGGTATAATGTAACGCGCAGGGAGGATAAATCCGTATTTTCCAGTGTCTCTTAATTCAACTGTATATGTGTATTTTAGCTTTAGCAGTGCCTTTGCCCAGTCATCAGATCCTCCGCTAGCTGGATAAAGTGTTGTTGCGCTGTTTCCAACTGTATAGACACTGCCAGCACCTCCTGCCTTTTTCATAGCCGTTGCTGCTTGACGACCGACCTTATCAAGATCAACGTAATCGGGTGGAAGACGTGTATCATAGCCCCATGGATATAAAATATATTGGCCATAAGAATGAAAAGTCAAATACGCCTGAGAAAAATAATTGAGAGTTAATTAATTTATATATATATATATATATAAATATAATTTATATATATATATATATATATATATATATATATATATACATATATTTATAACTATTCATACATTTCGAACTTTAATATGAAATTAACACTAAGGTGTAAGATTGAAAAATTGAATTGTCTACATTGAACGTAGACGGTTAGAAGTTTGTAATAATTTTATTATTTCTTCAAGTATTATTTTTAATTAAAAATTGGTGAAATGTGATTATATTTTTTTAGGAATAATGTTTAATAGCATTTTTATGTTATCAATTAGTGTATATTTTAAAAGCAATAAATAGAACAATGTAAGCAAAATAAATAAAAACTTGTGCAAATTAAATGTGAAATATATTAACCGACCTTGAAATTTGCTGAGCTGATTTCAAAAAAGTTTCGAATGGCACTTGTTTCTGGTTCGGAGAAAGGTTTAGTACCAGAATATGTTTCACGGCAAATATCTTTGCTCGTACCCTTGCCGCCCCATCGATATCCAAAGTTGCGATTTAAGTCAACACCAGAGCACCCTACGCCGTAGCCCGCTTTCCTTCTATTTTTCCTCCATAAACGATCAACCGTCTGACTATATACATATCCGTCTGGATTAACAACAGGAAGAATATAATATTCAGTTTCCATGGTTTGACTCCAGTTTTCCACCAAATAATCGATAATATATGTCACAGATGCCGGTGATATCCATTCACGGGCGTGAATGCCACCATCGATCCAGATTGCTGGCGCATTCGGGTTACCGTTGCTAATTCTTAGGACCTAGAGCATTAATAAATCTTTATAAATTTTCTATGAATATCGGGATAAATGTCCAAAATGTCTAAATTAGACGCAAGTATAATACCTTAAGGGGCCGACCTTCGATTGAATTTCCAATCGTCTGAACGGAGCAAAATTCAGGATAAGTTTGAGCGAGAAAATCCAAATAACCATATATATCAATCAATGGATGATACGTCGTCCACTCCATTCGATGACCTGGTGCATATAGCTTCAAGATTATTCAGAGATTGTACGTTCTGTCCCTTTGTACGCTTACTTTACAACCGCTTCGTAAATTCAGCTCGATATAGTATGTAGATTTATAAGGCGAAAGCATTTTTTCATTTGTTATTATGAATATTTCAATATACTCGTACACACTACATATAAAGCACCGTTCTGAATCGACGAAGCGGATTATTTGCGCTTGAGAAGCTCACCCCTAAAATGCCAAGGAACACCTCCACCGTGTACAATAGCTACGGGATAACGAAGAGGACGAGGATATTTACTTCTGACTTCCTGCCACCAAGCATAACGAGCTAAAAAATGACTGAAAGCCTCACTTTGGTGAACGGAATTAACGATTCAGTGTTTGCTGTTATTTAAATAAAATTATAGAGATGATCAGATGATGAAACTTTGGCGTCATCTTATCTTTATATAGATAATAAAAATATGTATGATCTACAATATATCTGTATCTTAGATGAAAAAAATATTATTTTTACTAAATTATCTAGAATAATTTTTAGATCATTTTGATTTAGAATCATAGCACATAAAAATACTTAAATAGTAGAATTTAAGCAGTAAGCAATAAAAATTTATAAATAAAAATATGAATGCATATATATTTTTATAGCCTCCTTTTATAATTTACATTTTTTATAACTGTGCTTACATAAGCAGTCTTCAAAATTATTATCTAGAAAATTATCTAGATGAATCGCCATATAATTTTATCTCTTTTATCCAGATATATTAAAAACAAAATCATCTTCATCTTATTATCTAAGATGAATTTACATATTTTGATCTCATCTTTATCTAGCTAATTTAAAAATCATCTAATTGTAAGCACAACACTGATTCTAATATAGCTTAAGTCGCAACGTGATTTAGTGATCCTCCTTAAGGAAATAACGTTGTGTTGTAAATGTTGAAACGGTTTCTTACGGAGCACGATTTAATCGAATCTCGTCGTATCCTTACTGGATAACGGATATTCGAGACCGGGTCGATCGAGTATGCAAACGATCGCGAGAAAACGTCGAAATGCCACAAAACGCATGTACGTGCGAAGACTACGTTCGTGCTTTACGTACACCTTGCATGCACGTGAAGTATAACTGTTAATGTTAATCAGCATTGAAGCGGAACCGGGTTACCGGATGGTATTCGTTCGAGGTCGATTACCTCGATTCGTATTCGATCATTTCCTCTCGTGGAAAAAAAACTTCGAAATTTGATAATGTTATTTATAATCGCTTATCAATGTTATCATGTTCTTGAGACACGTATGCATCAGACATAAGAAATGCCTCAATGATGATATATCTCAACGTAAAAATAATAAAATTTTTTAAAAATTATCTTCTTATAATAAATCTATTAGAGAATAATTATTTAATTGTTATTACATTACAATCATTGACTAAGATTTCGTCAACAACGAATTTATATGTAAATATATATATATATATAGTTTAATCTACAAGTATTTACAACATTCTACACATGTCTCGATTATTATAAATACTAAAGATACTACGTGTGTAATTTATTATAATTAAAAAATAATTAAAAATTTGAATAAAATAGAATATTGTCAATAGTATCACAATTCTCACAATCAGAAAAAACTCATCACAATACAATTATTCGATTTGTAACTTTACATAAATAACTTAATCCACAATTAACAATTAATAAATTGCTACTTATATATAATATATCGTTTTTAAAATAAGAACTTTTTGATGTTTTGATGTTTTTATGCGATTTACAAACTGAAGCAATGACTAAACTAACCAAATAATATAGCTTTCTTCATAAGTTTTATTAATATCTGTAGAATAAATTCAATTACAACATAGTAATTGCTTTTATTTATTATTAATAAAATTATCAAAGGGTGAAGAAAAATGGTAAAAAGCGATATATAAATAGTGAAGCATAAGAAATAAAAGCAGTCATAATTGATTGCGTAAGCTATTAATAGAAATGCTACTTAAAATATTAAGCAACGTATATATGATAAATTAATATGTAATTTTTTGTGTCTAAATAATCTCTCATCATTGTTTGAGAAATCATCCATCAGTTTTAAAAAGTCATTACTCTCATTGACAAGATTGTATTCCGTCCCCTCGCTCGCAGCATAATTACAATAAAAATTTCCATTATGTTAAGGATAAAACTATAAATTACAATTATAATACAAAATGTAAAAAAAGATTCAAACCTTTGCGTCCTTCGAGTTCCTCTTGAGCTTCTTGCGAAAGAGGAGGGTTTTCTTCCTTTATTGCTCTCTCTACATCGTCGATCAAAATTTCATATTTCACATTGTAGCTTTTGAATAATGAGCCTATATTATCAACCATATTTCTTTGCACAAAAATATCAGAGGCCGATACATTATTAGACCATATAGAATATGCTGTTAAAATAAATAATTGTATTTAACTATTGTTTTTTCCATTAGCCTGACAATTCTTTTAAATTGGCAATAAAAGATTCTGTTGAAACATAAAGTTTTATTACGTACAACCATATTCGTCGTAACGTTGCACCAATTCGTCCACAGAACTATTTTCTTTGTGGATCCTCCATACTTGATCCCCTTCATAGGTGATTCGTTTATCAAGATCCTTTGATTCCTTTTTGCCTTCACTGAGTGTGTATGTGATATTACTATCCACATATTCTCTGATTCCATGTTCGAGAATAGACGCGTCGACGACGACGACGATGATTGTCATCATTGTCAGTGTCATCCATTTTGCACACTTTATTCGCAGCAGTCCGTCGTTGTTCATCTTCACCAAAACTGTCTTTAAGAGAAGGGCATACATAGCTTTTATAATACGGTCGATGATCGGGGATAACGGGACTCCTCGATCGAAGATCCGAAGACTCTCGAACCCGCTATTATCGCGCCTCGCAGATCTTTGACCTCCGAATGAAAGATTTTGTTTAATGTTCTCTAACGCAACAGATCAATAAATCTACAGTATCGATAAGTAAAAGTAAAATTTTGATAGATATTAATTTTTCATTAATCATGCTTGTTATTCTTCTTAATTATATTTTTTTTTTCATCTTTATCTCTTCATAAAATCATGAAACAATTTATGACAAAATAAAAAACAATAGTTTCTAAAAGACACATAGACACAGTTTATAAAAACATTGTAACATATATAATATATATTTAATTTTATATCCATATGTACATATATATTATTAGTTTCTTTAAAAAATTTTTCTGATTTTTCTGATGATTCTATATAAATCTAAAACAAAATAATTTTGAAAAGAGTGGTGAACGTGATTTTTTATGTTATTTTGTTTGCATATTTTCGTCGTGCAACCATCTGTAGATTCTAGACGCTATCGCACAGTGCAAGAATTCGTCGTCGTAATCGATCCATTGATACACACATTGGTCACTTTATTCAATTTAGGGCGTCGACGTAGCTGCCGACGACGGCGCAAAACGCGGGCAGAACCGCCTCTGCATCTTGTTCTCGCGCATCTCAACCGTGATTGCAACTTATAACACGACTGCACCGCGATTAATAAAAAAAAACCGTGTCGCTTTACGTTCATATCATTATAGAACATTGCATAATTGAGACGAAACCATAAAACCATGAAGTGCCTGTTGACGATCATTATTCTTGTGACTGCTGCCTCGACCATTGAGGTACCGTTTTTACTGTGTGTGCTCTTAAAACCTTTATTACATTTTTATTATACCTTTTCCAATCGCGTAACTGCATTTTTCGGATACCGTTAATACATGACCTTAACCATCCGACAATACAAAGTAGAAACTAGTCATTTATCACATTAATTTTTTATATCGATATACTTTGTATCAAATTGCAACTAAGGACGTTTGACAATTGACACTTCTTTGTATCGTGCATGTTTTATAAAATAAAAAACTCACAATCAATGCAATAAAAAAAATCCAATTAATTGTGGATTTTGTTTGATTGTATGGAATTTTAAATTGCACAGATTAAGCATTAATTTTAAAAAGATATTTTATGATTCCAATAATAAAAAAAAAATTCGATTTAACATCAATTAATTAAATAATATTGGCATATAAATGATGAAACTTGGATACTATTTTATGATAAGCTCCATTTGTTTAATATAATGCCTGAGAAATACATGTACATATAAATTGCACAGTAGAAATGAATAGATAGGTGAAATGTAATAGGTCAAACGTGTTGCCTTTATATATTATAAGGTTTCCCTGATCGTTACGCTTTGGTAAACGAGCGTATGCATGTACGCATATATAAAAATAAAAATATAATATAAAAATTTGCACGCAAGCAATTTTTTTACGAATACCAATTTAAACTGTATCACGGATCCTGTGAATGTATTAAATTGATGAGTCTATTCTGTATCACTTCTGTTAGTGTCAGCTATACTTACGATTATCTTATCATCTTTCATATCATCTTGCCGCTCCTTGAATTATTCAATATGCCAATTTATTTTTTTACGTTTATCATTGCTTTTTTCCCTAGCAAGGTAACTTATTAATTATTGACATGTGTTGCATATCATTTGCATGAGAGAAACATGTAAATACTAAAAAAAAAAAAAAAAAAAAAAAAAAAAAGTTTATTCGGTTTCAGGCGGAAACATTCCAAGTCACCGATCAAGTATATTTTGATATCATGATTGATAATAATCCAGTTGGAAGAATTATTATCGGCTTGTTTGGCGATATCGCACCGAAAACGGTAAAAAATTTTATGACTTTTGCTACCACCGGTGTAGCTGGAAAAAAGTATGTAGGGACCAAATTTCATCGCGTGATAAAGAAGTTCATGATACAAGGTCACACTGCTATATGCCTGTGAATATAAAAAATCCTAAATACTGCGTATAAATTATCATTGTGCTTGTATTCATATATATTATAGGTGGCGATGTTGAAAAAGGCGACGGTACTGGCTCCATCAGTATTTACGGTAAATATTTCGATGATGAGACCTTTGAGGTGAAGCACAGCGGACCGTTGTTTGTCAGCATGGCAAATTCTGGGGAGAATACCAACGGTTGCCAATTTTTCATTACTACCGTAGCAACACCTTGGCTAGATGATCATCACACAGTATTTGGAAAAGTAATACAATTGGTTTTAATGGTTTTAAGAATGATTATTTTACAATATATATATATATATATAAAATTAATAATTTATTATTACCTTATTATTATTTAAAAATATATTTTGTTTCTTGCTTAAACATATTCTTGTTGACATTTTAAATAATTTTTGTCGTAGGTGGTCAATGGTGAGGATGTGGTCTTCAAAATCGAGCAGACAAAAACAGATAGCGATGATGTTCCACTAAAACCTGTAATAATCTATGACAGTGGATCTCTCCCAACAGAACGTTACACAATCTCAAATAATCCTTACGAGTAATCTAATGTTTTTTTCCATGCGCGTAATTAATTCATTTACTCTTTCCCCACCCTTCCGTAGATTTATGAAATTATTATGTTCCTTTGTTAATTACATAAGCTACATTACATATTAGTAATGTTTGAATTATAAAAAATTTGTAAATTGTAATTATCATGACAATGATGAATTAATTGAGTCATGTAGAAAATCGACTGTATTTTTATACGCTTGTTTTGCTGACATTTATATATTCCGTGATGTTTAACAATAATTAAAAATATATTTTTGACATTTAAAAATATATTTTTAATTGTTCTATGCATCTGCGTACAAAAGAAAAAAACTGCCAAGTAGATACAAATATAAAAGTAGATATTAAAATTGCAATATATGCTTATGCGCTATAGATGTATGTTTAAAAATATATTTTTCACGCATTATTCAAGCATTTTAAACTGTATTTCACGTTCGCATTTAACTATAGACAGTAATAATATTTTAGTGATACAGTGTTTTAAATTAAGAAATCATTAATGCGATTAAAATGGATACTTGCAGTGCATGGGCATGGATTAAAGCGACTTGCATACCATTGGGATTCAGCTTCTCGATACTCGCAGTTTTTCATTACATGATGAAACAGTTAGATATTTAAACAATAATATCTTTATATATGAAAGACTGATTTAAAATCTGAAATAACAAATTTACATGGCCTTGTATTCATGCAGATCTTACATTTGTTTTTTATAAATAAATTATGTACAACTGTACACATTGTATGTAATTATACATAATTTTCATACAATTACATATGCATATTATGCATAATATATACGGTAGCTCAATTCCTTCTCTTCAGTTCAACATAAAATAAGGTGCGTTAGACGCCATCTCTGTGAAGATTACAACATCATAGTAGGCATTGGACTGCTTCAATTATCTTGTAAGAAATTTTATAATAAATTGATAATAAATTGATAATAAATTGATAATATCAAGAAGAAAATATGTAATGTTATATTTTTTAATCTCATGTCTATTATATTTCGTAATAGATATTTCAACTATACATAGACATTTCACAGAACATATAAGGAACGAATCACGTGACGGTTTATTTAATCTATATAATACTATATATTAAAAATAAATTAAAAATATATTAAAACTAACGCAAGAAAATATTTTTTAATTGAATTATGATTAACAAAAATGCTGGATAAGAGGAAAAAGAATCGCATTAGTGTACGAGATTGTCGATGACGCATAAGATTCCGCGCATGCACGTTAGGCCCCGGTACCTCGTTGTACGCCAGCAAATGCGGGTATCAGGCTTAGCCTTGGCTAAGCGTCTGGATGGTCAGTTAGTCGATGGCAAACCAGACGTTGCCAGACATCGGTGAACGGCTAAAATCAGATGCGACCGCTGGTCGATGCTCCGACGAGTAGTAGAGTAGTAATAGACGAGCACGTGGGTGTGCACGAGAGTTGTCATTCATGAAACCATAACGGAGTAGCAGCAATTAAGTTTGTGCATATAAGATGTATCAGTGAGGCAGTGATTGACAGTGTGTTGCTTCTACGAAAAGTGTGCCGGGAAGCGTATGTTGCTCCCTTTGAAATTCGATCGACCTAAGGACAGCTGGGAGAGAGCCCTTGAAAGGGGATGCTCTGAAAAGGTGCATTTGTGTGCTCGCATAAGGTACGCATCGCATTTCCCACTACAACGGTTTGCTTCGTCGCTATACAAAATGCTGACGTTGAAAATCTGTCCACAGACAAAAATCTCTTTAGGACACATGCTCGTGTTATTTTCAAACAGTCTTCTTCCTACTTTATAACGTCAAAAGTCAACAAATACTGGTAATCCAAACATTGGAATGTTTGAAGAAGACTGTTTGAAAATAACACGAGCATGTGTCCTAAAGAGATTTTTGTTCAAACAATGGATTAATAATATACCACAGAAGATAACTTGATAGATTGCATAATAAATTTGTCATTGTACTATTTAAAATAATTTGTATTTGTTTTCTTATATATATATTTATACTCAAGACTTTTCTAATGGTTACAAACTGATTTTAGAGTAATAAATAGAATGTAATAAACGAATGTATAAGAAAGTAAAAGTGTGTAGAGATAAATAACTGTACAAGAGATTGCGAGATTTGTTTTGTAATTCAAAAAGATCAATAAAAATCAGTAAAAAACAGTGAAAATAGTAAAATAACAATGCAGATGCAAATTATCGCACCTTACCGGCATTGTTGATGATAATGGTAAACGGAAATATGAGCCATCGTAAATATATGTCATTGCCAAGATCATTTGCAATGCTGATTCAACCGTTCGTATACCTAGTAAAAATAGCTTTGTGAAAACAATTTCTATTAAATTCCTCTCTCAAAACAATATTTTTAATCTTGATGTAGATTTGTATATTTTATATATTTACACTCGTTTCTTATATATTAAGAATAAACCTCAAAACTTCTAGATAAATCATAAATCATAAAATGTAAAAACAATTTTCTCAATTTTAAATATTAACAATTATTATCAGTAAAAAGATAAGCAGAATTCAAGATTGCATTGAACTATCTACATTATCAAATTTTATTATTTTTATAGAAAATGTGTTACTGTAATTTGAAACTTGAAATGTTATTTGTAATTTTAATTAAAACTAACACAATGTTTAAAATATATATACACTTTTGCATTTGGTGATATCTGCGAATTATATCGCACAACTGAATACACAAGGACTCCCACGCGTAAGTGAGATTATTACTGCGTGTAAGATAAGAAGCTCATAAAAAATTAAGTAATTTAATCGCACACACAAGTCCGTTATTACCAAATAATTTTTTCACACAGTGATAGAAACGAATCAAACATTTTACTTTGCTTTAAATTAATTATTAATAAATAAAATAATTATTATAAAGGATCTTGTGTGTGTGTGTGTGTTACTTAAAAAATTAAATGGTTATTGCATTTTGTAATTTATTAGTTATATATACTTTTATTTAATGATTGCAACATGATATATGTATGCTGTAACTATATTACGATAATGAATATCAATCATTATTAGTTCTCTTATATATTTTATTAATAGTCCATAATTAATGAATAAATGTCTGTTTTATAAAAAAACAACCATATTTTTTAACATAATAGATCTTTGTCATTTTGTAGTATATTTTTAACTTAATATATTTTATTAAATTATTCGAAATAATTATGTAGAAACTAGCCTAAACAATTTAAAATTATTAAATAATTTTGTCAATTACAGAATATTTTTGAACATTAAAACGATTTATCTTGATAATTAATCAAAACATGTAAAAATCTAGTTTAATGTGTGTGTTTTACAGTGCAATTTAGTTCTTAAGGTTGTGCATTCTCTTGATTAACTCCTCGTGACATGCAACACGTTGATGTGCATACAAAATACATTAACTTGATATACAAATGTATTTTTTGCTTATTGTTACTACACAATTAAATCTAAACATAATATTCCATATTAGGCATATACTTAACAAGAGAATAATAAACGCCAAGAAAATTAACATAAAATATTAAAAATAAAAAAACATGTGAAATAATATCACAAAGAGCTGTTTACATCTTTTTACGTAATATAACATACATTTGAATGAATATTTATTCCTCAGCCTTGATTAAAAATAATTCTGATTCAAATACATTATCGCATTATAGCTTGGCCAATAGCCAGACAAAATCAATTATTCGTAATGCATAATCAATTACGACAAATGCCGGCGATTCTCCTTCAGCAACATTATAATTTACCATCTGCTTATTATTTTAGATTAGAATATATTTCTTTATATTTATATAATAATTTTTAAGCCATTATAATCACATTAATTAAATTTAAATAATGATAAGTTCAATAATTCTTATTGTACAATATATAGCGATTATATGTGACATTGATTATATTATATAATTATATAAATTTTTTAAAACTTTTTTTATAAGTAAAAAGCATATTTTTTATTCATAGAATTCTAACATCTCTGCGTATTTGAATAGAATTTGAAAAGAATACTTTGAATCTTAACAATAAGCAAACAATCAAGTTAAATAGCTAATTAAAATACGACACGTGTATGACGTGTAACACATACGTGATTAAGGTATATGCATTTATGTTACATTTGTTATTATTTGCAATTGATTTTGAATTACGTACATAAATTCTGAAAAGTTACTTGAAAAATGTAGAAAGAAATAACGTTATCAATAATTTAACTTCAATGTCTTGATAAAAGAAATAATGATATCTATAGATGAATCATACTAGGTATATATGCTGTTGTCAATCTAGATATTATTTATCACAAGGGGGACGTTGTGCTGCACCCATTCTGTCTTCCACAGGCAGTTCAATAAGTAAAGCCATTAGACGCGCCTTATCTGACATTCGATATGTATTTTCTCGTCTTTACCAAAAAATTACTCTTAAATCTTACAATAAATTCATTGTAATATTTCTTATTAATTTTATATTATTCTTGCAAAGAATACACATTGCGTGCAAAGAAATCAGATCGGACATTGTAATTAAAGAAAATGATTAACGTTTTTCTCAATTATCGCATTCATCCTTCATCTCATCATATTATTATACTTTTTTTCTTCTTTATGCATACATAACACTCTGAAAGAACAGCTGTCGAGTCTCATAAAATTATACAACGAAATTGATTGATATCGCTCATAGTGGAACTAATATCGTCACGCAACGTCATATTTTTCTCCCTTTCTGTCACGTACTACAACATTTATGCTCACATCTTTATACGATAAAAGCGTAACCGGCGCACCTCTCAGCAATGTCGTCCCTATGTAATTGGCTCGTAATTAATGTGGGCGCGCCTCTTTTTGCTGAATCCTCTCACAACCAAAAACATACTTGTTTCTTTTCCTAGAATTGCTTAGAAGGCAAATCATTTCGGGAATTTCCAGCCGCTACTCGTTCCTATAGCTTAATAACAAAATTATGCACGCAGCTGTCAAATAACACATGTGTAATTGTTACCAATAATAGAGCAATCTAAAATTATAATAGTTATCGTAAAATTATAGGCAAAACTTAATGATTACTGTCACATAAAATTATAAGATTATTTTGTGTTGCGCATAAATAATTGTGAATAACTTTGGATCTTTATTGTATCAATTCAGTTCTCGTACCATGGCTATACAATAGAATTATACAAGAGCAGCTAGCAATGCGATGCGACAGCCTGAGGAACATGTCAACGAACGTGAAAACGTAACGATGAAAACCGGTTTATGAAAAAGATTTCAGATCTGAAAGAGACAGAACGATCATAAAGCGAAGAGCGTAGTGCGGAATGTCGGCATTGCGTATCTTGGCAAAATCAAGTTAAAGATGTTCAACTGCGGCAGAGTTTTATCGATTCGAATGAGTTTGTGTCATAAAATTTCCAGAAATGCTTTTTAAAAGTGTTCCCGTAAAAATTTATTTTACTCAGCCACTCATCCTTTCTTGCTTCTTTGTTTCAGAGTGAAAGGCCATCCAGACAGTTCGAGGCATGGCGAAATACTGGCTGAACGTGGCCCTTCTCAGGGTCGTTCTACCAGTTATTTTGGCCGGATGTAAGTCTCATTTACATAACTCTTTTTTTCTAGTTTGTTTTCCTCTCTCTCTCTCTATCTCTCTCTCTCTCTCTTATCTTGCAAACGATAAATGGCTTGCTGGAACTTGTGATTAGGAAGCAATACAAGTAGATAAAAATAAAGTATCAAATATTGTTACACGTTTGCACTACTTTTTATAGTTATTATATTTTTTGCATATTTATTGCTATCTCAGAAAAATGTTATTACTTTTCTTTGTAATTAAATATGTTTTTAGACATTCTTAGAAGAAACTACAATATGATGAAATTACAATGCAATCATTGATATTATATAATATAACAATCATCATTTCTGATAAATTAGTTTAATGATAATTTTTTTATTAATAAACATATTTAATAGAAACCAGTAAAACGAAAAACATAAAATGCCAGTTGATATATTGCGCAATAAAATAAAAAATAGACAAGAAGCAAAGAATTTGACTTGGATTGATATTTATATTTTGCATAATCATATTGCTTTTATGCTAATTAAGTTATATAGCTATATGACAGCAGATAAATAATTGTACATTCCACGATATAAAACTTCTTTTGATGATTACGTGTATGCTATATATATCCTTTACGTATTTTATTATTTTTTATTTTTTCTTTTTAAATTTTAATATCTATATAAATATTTATCAATTTTTAAGAAATGTTTATACTTCGAAATATTTTCTTTTATCTTTATTAGATTTATTAACTTTTTCGGTTTATTTTTTTAATAAATTAAAAAGTATAACTAAAAGATATATACAAAAAATAGATTTATCAGAAATGAGTACCTATATGTATATTTAAACTGACAAAAACAAATTCTAATTTTAATTATATATTTTAACTCACTTTTATCTTACTATAAATATGTAAATATATATAATATGCTTCAAAAAATAAATAGATAAAGAAAAACGAGATATTTTCGTTCTACATTGTTTCACATTGGCATCCTGAACATATGTGTCTAAGCGGCTTGAAGAGTATTCTATAATTAGAGATAAGCGCTTGAACTCGTCTACCCATATCATACCAAAGTAAGATTTTCTAATTTTGTTAAAACAAACATTTAATGACATATCAAAGTACAAATATACGAAAAAAGCTCTAAGTATGTTTTCTTATTAAAAATAGGATATTATTCGATAATTTAAGTTTATTAAAACAAATTTATTGTTTAATAAAAACACGATAGCATTTATTGTAATATTGAATACCTAATATATTTTTAATTATTTCATAAAAATATAAGAGAAAATAAGAATGCCAAAGATCCAAATAATATGATAATTTATATTAAATTACAAAGAGATAATGTGCTATAATTTATCTATTTTTTAAGATTAGATTTTAATTTTTGCGTAAAAATAAAAAATGTTTAACAATGTTATCGAAATAATACAAAAAAAAATTATTTTTATTTCTTCATTTGTGTGCAAAGTAAACATTACACGGACTAATTAAATATAATGTAAAGAAGCACGCAACATCAGATTTTAATAACACTTAACCATGACTTTGTGTTTCATAAGAATATTCAAAAAGATTATTAACATAACGTAGCCTTATTTCCGAAGTGGGTTTTGTGCTGTGAAAGAAATTAGTCTTATAAACCTTTGACTTCGTTCACTAAATATATAAATTATATGTATACATATGACAGAAGTAGCCTACAACGATTTTAATATCTTTTCTGCGATTATTATCCATGATGTACGTACGAACTGCTGAAAGTAAAAATTAATATCTTATATTTCTTGATAATCGGGAATTAAACTATATTTGTTAGTTTAATATATCATTGTTGTAAGCTAAAAAAATTAATAATTAGTATATTTTTTATATTAGCAATTCTATATATGTGTTAACTCCTTAAAAAGTAGATAATAATAAATATTTAAATCGATGGAGTAATAAAAATTTTTTTCTTAAAAATGTCGCATAATATTAAAAATATAAGAATAATTATTATAGATTATAAAAAGAGAAAAAGACTGGAATTTTCTACGTCATAAAAATATTGATTTAAAAAAAATCACAGTGAAGTTGTTGCAATAATTAGCCGAATTTTGTGCACAAGTTGAAAAATTTCGCTTGGCAACTACACAATGTAGTTATTTAGGTGTGTCGGGCAAATTTAACATGTGCCACGAATAGAACGAGTAAGTTTCTAGAGAGCTGCTGACGAAAATGATATGGTATTCGTACAAATATTTGGAAGAATTCAGATAACACAAATGCCAGGAAGTTATATTATAATATATAACACATTTGAATGAACAAATAACTCGCACTCATTTGTGAAACATTTGTAACACTCCATGATGCAAAAGTAATTATCGTCGGCAGACTAAACTCCCTACAATGATTCGCATTAATTATCGCATATATGTTTGCTATACTGATATATACCGGGTGCTCATTAAATCAATTATAGATTATAAATACAATATGTATGCTAGAAAAATATAATACATTTATATCTAGAAAAACTGATTCGTTTAGCTCATCAACTTAATGTAATACATATCTATAATAAAATATTTAATATTTTCTTAAACATATAAATTTCTTAAATCAAATATCGTTTAAAAAAATACGAAATTTGATTTAAATACGAATAAATAAAAATGAAAAAATCATGTGAAAATACTCGGAGGGGTTGAAATGTCACTTTCTAGCTCATTGTTATTGCTTGTGTGACGAATAATTCCTATCTCATCATAAATGACCTTTTCGTAAATGTGGAACAATCATATCAACAGCTGCACGTGTTTTTATATATGTGCTGTTATATATCTCATCCGTCGAAGGAAGGTCTCTCTTATAAAGTTATGAAAGCGAAACAATGTAAAATAAATTATGCTATAATTGAAATAAGATAGTATAAGTTTCAACAAAAGATTTGTCAATATTTTTATTATTTTGAGATTAAATTTAAAAAAATATTTAATTTTCTTTCTCTCTTCTTTTTATATAACAAAACTTAAAGCTGGCATTTATTTTAAAATCCTTATTTTTAAATTTAATATCTCCTTTAGATTTTGTTTCAACTCTAGAAACTCTTAGTTTAAATTACATGTTTGTGTATATGTATCATAGCATCAAATATTCTATTAATTATATCGCAATTAAAAATGCAAATTTGATAGAAATAAGTTTGAATTTTATAGGTACGATATGGAGACCAGTGGGACTGTCGATCATCTATCTGGGATTGATGCTATATTCTCCTATGGTCCCAATACCGACACACAGAACTATGGCAGGTCACACGGGAATATATCTGAAGAGTTGCATCTGCTTAGCTTTTATTATAGCCATAGCTCAGATCACCTTTCACATTGTTCTCCTGTCATTACCGCCCTACGGACACTTCCTGCAAAACTGTAAGCTACACTCTGATGCAAAAATATATTATCTCTCTCTTTACATATATTCAGAAAATAAATCTATAAATTTCCTAAATGAACAAATAAATCTATACATCATTTCACTCAAGAAATCGAATTACATGAGATTTAAAAATACGCACGCGTCTTAAATTCCAAACACTATAAATAAATTCTCACTTTCAGGCGAATTTCTAGAGAAGATTTTCAGACACATAGGCTTTGTCAGATTAGATAGCGCATCTGTATGGGAAGTATTTTACTGGCTGACGCCGGAATTTATAGTCTTACCGACTGTACTCATCATATATTTTATATGTCGTTTTCTTACGCAAAAACGTGTTAGCGAGGAGGAAGATGATCCTTCTCTTCGCCAGGAAAATAAGCAGAAAAAAACGGAAGATAGCACCACGAAGGTAATTATATTCCCGTGACGGGAAGAAAAATTATATATTTAATCTAAAGAGAATTTCTTAATTAATATAATTAATATATTTAAAGTGTTATATTGTATTTGCGTTATGCAAATTTTTCAATCAAAATTACTCTAAATCCTTTAGTCTAAATTGTATTTCCGACATTGAACTCGGCGAAAAAGAAATCAATATCTGACCGAAGATAACTTACGCCTACGCACATCCATGATTTAGATAATCAACTTCCTGGGAGGTATCGGAACCTACGTCGTCCTGGCGTCCTTGTGCTGTGTCGCGGCCTTGAGACCATCAATAGAAGCGGCTTTCTACTTCCTGGTGTTTCTCGGCGCCGCCACATGCTGGGCTTGCAATAAAGAATTGCAAAAAAAATTTGCCGTGATTTGTAGAATTATCATGGTTATCGTAATCATTCATATCGTCGCGTTACTCGCCTATCAAAACGAGTGGCCTCAGGAAATTATTCCCGTATCAAGCGCTTGGTCACGTTACTTGGCCCTTGTTGCAGTTTATCACACAAACTGCACTACCGATCCGAGGGATGTGAAATATACAGATGATGCTGATTGGTTAATTTATGGATACGCTTTGAGACTCTTCTGGCTGTATTACGTCCTCGCATTGCAATCGCAGTTTCTCAATAGGAAACCGGTGAGTTCAAATATTTTTTCAATTTAATTAGATAATTATCATATTGTAAAGAATGATTATTTCTTTTAAATTATTAATACTGCTAATCAGAGAAAAGATTAGAATATAGTGTATATAAAGATCATAATATTGCTATTATATCATATTACTAGATCGATAATATTATAGATTGCAATATTTTTAATGTATTTTTTGTTACTTAGAGCTTTGGTTATTTAGTGCGAAATAGTTGTATTTTTAATGCAAATTACATTAGAACTATTTAAATTAATGTATTATTAACAAATTTTTTTATTTTAATATTAAAAAGAATATAATAAATACAAGTTATACATATATTTAGATTCAAATTTATAACTTCTATAGAAAAAGCTATAATGTTAGTCTAGATCAATAAAAATTTCGTATTGTGATTAATGATATTTAATTAGAAAAATAGCAATGTGATTAAATATCTCTCTATACAATATATTAAATCTTTTATTAGAAGTATTACGTCAAGTGGTGTTTCCTCTTTATATCAAAATTTTTTCTGCAACTTGGGTATATTTTAAATTTAAAGCCCTTTACTGTTCCAAACTATACGTTATCTCTCTGTTGCGTGTATACATAATTAACCTGTTTGTGGAAAAGGAATAATTAACATTAGCATTAACATTAGCAAATAACAGCTGATCATCTAACAAAACTTTAAACTAACTTATGTCTATGTAACTGAGAATTTACTAATTATAAATAATTTACTAATTATAATAATTCGCCAAATATGAAATCGTTTATATTTTCTTTGCAAAATATGAATTTTTTACAAAGTTAATGTCTTTACAATAACTATTTAATTTAAATATTACAATCAGGATAAATATAACATCAAAATTATTATTATAATTATGGTTAATTTTAATTCGATACAATGTTTCTGTAAATAAGAAAAGAAAGGTATGACTCATTCATAGAGCAGATATAATTCAATATTTAAAAAAAATGCAAGTTTCCAAATTTATAATTATAATTTTGGCGATTTTGCCGATTGTGATTTGTGGAAAACTTTGTTGAAAGTATCTTGCTTCTACTAACGAGGCATTACAGGCGAAGAAAACGAACCAATTAAGTGGCAGTCTGGAAAATCTGGACACTGCATTGTCCAGACACGTGTCCATCAGACGCAGAACACCTTCCCAAAGATGGCAATCAGCGCGACGTAAGGCTCGCGTAAGGATTCGTCTCACATGAATCGATTTAATATACAATTGGTGCTTCTATGTATCTGTGATTATGCAACTTTTTCTTTTTGTCAGCTATATTTTATTTCAGATTTGTTCTCGCTGATATGACATTGAATGTCAAAATTGTATAGTTTTCTATTGTAAATCTATTTTTCCAAATCTTGCCTATTTCTGTAAGGACGTCACTAACTTCTCGAAATTATCACTGCCAAATTTTTAAATATATCTTTCAAGTATGTTTGGTATATTTGAATTCTTTTTTTAATTATTTCATTCATTTTTGATACCATTTTTATATGTATAATTATTCAATCTTTTCTTGATAATATCTTCATTTATATTTCATGATTCTATAATACTTCTGTTATGCATTTTTATTTAATTCCTACTAATTATATATAACATATCTTTTAATGCATTTTTTATATTGTATTGAACATATATCCAACAATGTTGCACTTATATAAATAATTTCGATTCGGGAAGGTACTGACAGGTTCACGTAGCTTCAAAAATCTCTGCCTAAGTTTTTGCTAAAAACTATTCTATGTAAAAAAATGTTTCGCCTATATTTTTAAATACTTTTTGTGTTCTTATTTGCTATCGCCTTCCAGATGTGCGGTTGTTATTTAATGCTGAGCAAAATTCTTTTCCGTTTGGATGCTGCTATGTTTAGTTTGCCATTGTTTTAGAAGCCGGTCGTAGATTCGTCGTTACCAACAATCGATGAGCGAACACCTGTACGTATATCAATTGAATATGCATGCTTAATTATTTACTAACAATTCACTTTTCTGGTGCATGTGACACAAATAAACTCGGTTAAACAATTCAAGATTTTATTCGTGCAAATAATCGTGAAATCCAGCGTACATTTGCGCGAATTAATCTTTTGAGATTAATTTTTACACACGCGATCATCATTATTAATAATTTAATAAACTGGTAAAGGTAAATGCATATATTGTTACACTTTGTATGAGCCTGCATTTATTCGCACGATAACTTATTAAAAATATGTTAGTTTAGTGTAAGAAGTAAGAAAGAGAGAATATACATGGTAATATAAAATATATGATATAGAAATATAAAATAGTATTTTGGTTATATTGAAAAATATTCAAAAAAGAAATAAAATGATTTTATCTATTCAGTTGATGCGGTTTGGATCTGGAAGAACGGGTCTTCTTCAAGATTCTACTACTGGAAGTATCATTGTCCAGGACGGTCATCAGGACGACAGCATACAAATGCAAAGTCTCAGTGAAGGTAATGATATAAATATTAAAATATACGATAAAATGCATAAACAATTAAAAATTATTAATTAATGATTTCATAAATTAGGAGTGCCTGATGAGATGCCAGGTATCGTCGAACAAATAATTATGGCAGTATATTCCATCTTTCAATTAATAGTCAATTCATCATATTTAGCTACAAACATAATAATGATGGTGAGCATTTTTGAATAATCAAAAAATCAAGATTACGAACAAAAATAAATTGAAGAATTGTCTTGTCATTTTTGTCGTCTTTCAGACATGGAGTATAATGTATCACAGCTGGGCGACATTCGTTCTACTTCTATGGGCATTAATTTTATGGATGGTTCCTGATAAACGTGCTTCCATGATGAAGTGCTCTCCCTTCATTGTGTTTTATGCAACTCTTCTACTCCTCGGACAATATGTGTATAGTATGGATTTAAACGACGAAGAATTGCCAAGAGTCGTAAGTGGTGTAGAAATTTCTGAAATTGGCTTCAGCAAAGCCGATGAGCAAAGTCGTTGGCATCTAATAGTTAAGGTATATCTTCCACAAATAAAAATTCGTTTAATTAATAATTTGCAATTATTTAAAAATTTTACATCTTATAAAATATAGATTAAAATTCTTATAAATTTACATTTTACATATTTTATAAGTCGTATATTATACGTATAAAAATGTAAAATATATAAGGCAGAATTTTATTTATTCATTTATAGTGTCTATTTATATCCATGTTTTGGATTACTATGAGACAATATATGGCAGAACGAAAACGGCAACAGAGATCTTCCACTCTGAGGGATATGGTAGCGCCGTTACACGTGTCTGTTTCGACAGCCACAACTGCCATGAGTCACGATGAGCCAGAAATCAAGAGCAAATTTATGAAAAATGTTGGAAAATTATTGAAAAATCTCTTGACAAAATTCTGGATTGCCGTGGTAGCAATTATGTTATTTATTTGCGGCATAACGGGCGAACGTATGACGGTCTTTAGAATTGTTTACATGTCGCTGTTCCTCATCTTTGTCATCACATTCCAGGTGTCTCATTTGATTCCTATGCTTATAAATATACATTTAAAATTTATTAAGATATATTATAAATAAATGATGCGTAAAATTTCAGATATCGTGGATAGCGTGGAGAAGAATGATGTATGTATTCTGGTTAACTGTCATTGGATATTCGATTGCCATGCTGATTCTCGTTTATACTTATCAGTTCCAAAATTTTCCGAAATATTGGGATTATCTCGGTATAGATCAAGATTTGTGAGTAATTATTATCCCATTTATTACTCATTTAGATCTTCTTCTCAATGAACGCATTTATTCGGTTATTATTTTAGACAAATGGATATTGGATTGGAGATCTACGAGACCAAAGACTTATTCGTGAGATTGCTGACGCCAACGTTTTTCGTCATCATCACAGTACTTCAGATTCATTATTTCCATAAGGATTTCCTCAATGTCACCAATATTGACAGATTACAGTACGCGTAAAAAACAATAAAATTATATAATATTATATCATTATATCATAATGTATTTGTGATTATATATAATGACAACATCTACAAATATATTTTTCATCATAGGCCTGAAAGTTCATTTAGGCGTTCCAGTCTAGGACACTCGCCTAGCTTAAATATTCCAATAACTTCACCGTCTGATGTTACGCTTACTGAAAACGAAAATCATACGATATATACATTGAAGCAGTTGAAACGTATATATGCTTATCATTTATTTTCTTTACCGATTATTATCATCTTTTTAACATTATGAAATTTTATCAAATGCGTTCAAAATTTCTTACAGATATGTCAAAACTAGAAAGAATTGAGCTATTTCGAAGAATAGCGGAACATATAGAAAATTTTTACAATTACACTTGGCTCTTTCTGGAAATTCACATGCAGAAAATTATTTTTATTTCATTCGTACTCTTGTGTATCAATGATGTAAGTAAAATTTTCTATAATTTATTACGATATTGTAAGATTAAATTATATATTAATTTATAAGTAAATAATAAATTTATTGCATAAATAAATTTGTATGCGTGTGTTCCAGGTATGCGCAATAAATTTTTTCTTCATCGTCGCCGTAGTTGTGATGATCAATTTCAAAAGAAACATCCAAATAAATGCAATTAATGTTATGTCTGTGATAATATCACTATTAGTGGTCACCAAAATGTTATATCAAATCAAATACATCAATCATGATAACTGGAACGTTAACTGCACTGTAAAAATTAAAACTATTACATATACTTTATTACAACAAAAGATATTTTTTTTCTTTTAGTTTAATTTTACATATTATTTTGAATAATTTTAGAGATACGGAGAAGAGAGCAATCAGCAATATGCAAACAATAATACTACTGTCTACAACATAGCCGAATGGTTCGGGATGAAAAAAGCGGGGCCGGGTAGACTTCCAGATCTATTAAAAGGCTATATTGGCATCGTTACTGTGACAACTTTCAGAAAAATTATTAGAATTCGTCAATGGTTTTATCGTCATAGTAAGGGAGAATCATTGGAAACTCCTCAAGTAATGTTTCCGACAATTACTAGAGCGGATGCTGATAAGGGGGTGCCAGAGTGCTTAAAGTTCCTTTTCAACTACGGTTTTTATAAATTCGGTCTTGAGATGTGTCTCATCGGGATTGTTACGCTAATCGGCACGAGACTAGACTTTTATTCTGTTTTATATAGCGTGTGGCTGTTACTATTTTTCCCATTAAAGAGAAAAACAGTCGCGCGTATCTGGCCTTGTTTTAGAATGTTTGCCATTATTCTTCTACCTATTCAATATGCTATTGTTGTGGCTCCACCTTCATGGCTTTGTATAGGTAATATATGATGATAAATATAAATTCTTCGAATTAAATAAAATAAGTAAATATTTTATTTTTTTATTTGTCTTAGAATATCCGTGGAGCGAGTCTGACGTAATGAGAAGGTTGCAGGAATGGATGTATCTTCCTGATCCAGATTATCCACCGAATTCCAAAAAATTAATTTGTAAGTTTTATTAATTTTATTCTTCAAATTGATCGAAAAGGCAACATTGTTACATATGTGTCTCTCTTTATTTTGCACTCAGGTGATTTTATCTTATTAATGATGATCGTACGGCAAAGTCTAGTCTTTTATATCGAACAACAAAGCTTACAATCTGGCAGAGATTTCGTAGCTGGTCACAATTACTCAGTCTTCCAAGATATGGAAAAACCAAATTTTGTCAATCCTATCAAGGATTATGTGTCGCATATTCAATCATGGCTGGACATAATTAAACGCGGTTGCATGATGAGTCTCATGTGGGTGACGTTGTCGATCATGTTTCTGGCTGGAACGAAAAGAACGAATCTTTTCTCGCTCGGTTATCTCATAGGAGCATTCATATTTCTTTGGCAAGGAAGCGATTTTTATTTGAGACCGATGAGAACTATCTTAAAATGGTGGAATCTACTGATCGGATACAACGTCATTGTTATTTTTTTGAAAGCTTTACTTCAAGGTGTGGGTTGCGTCCTCATCAAAGAGGTAAATTTTTTGTATAAATTTTAATTGTATTTTTGTAAAAGTAGCATGTTTCTTTATATCAAAGAAAATTTTGAAATCAATTAAGATAATAATTAAAATCGTTGAAAATATAATTTACAAAAATTAAAAATACATAAAAAGAGTGTATAAAAATTATTAAATTATTTTATGATTAGCTCGAAACCTCAGTCTGTTGGCTGGTGCAGTTGCTTGGTATCGCGTGTCTGAAAAAGTTCAAGAGCTCCAGCGAACTGCTGGATCCAGCAGAGTGTACCGTTGCTGGAGAAGATATTGGCATGGTCTGGGATGGACTATGTCTTTGTTTTCTTTTAATACAGAAACGACTCTTTAAAAGCTACTATTTTTTCCATATAGTCGATGAGACAAAAGCCATGAGCATTCTAGCGTCTCGTGGCGCTGAACTTCTCGAAGAGCTTCATCAGAAGCGTATACATATTCAAGAGAATGTGGAGAAAACAGTTTTAGAAAAACTGAAATTTAAAATGGACAAGATTAAGGCTAATCAGCAAAGAATACAGAGACCAGCTTACAGAGAACTTCAGGCTCACAAAGTCGGTAAGGCAATTCTTTCTTAATAATAATTTTAAATAACATTTATATAGAAAATATATTTTATCAAGAAGTAATTCTAATTTTAAAAAGCTCCTAAACTCCATATTCTATTTTAATAATTACAAATGTTCTAACTTTTAAACTAGATAAGTTATAAACAATTTTTCAAGAATCAACATTCTCTACATAAATATCAATTATCTTCAGTTCTACGCTAACAAATAATTCCTTAATATCAAATTTATAACTTTCCGCAATGTCATGATCTCCCTTTCGTTGCTGCAACGTATTCATTACATATGCGGCAGAAATATAATATCCAATGTATCTGTATCTTTGATGCGTGAAAAAGAGGGACAGGCGCCGCTGGCGAGATCTTCCAGCGTGAGCTCTTGCGTATCGGATCATACGCCTCCGCAAGGATATCAGACGCCTCTGGACGAGGATGACGAAGAGCCACCTCCGCTGACGCCACGAGCGGCGTCTCTATTGCAGGCTCCCACGCCAAATTCCGCCGTTATGACGGTCAGCCTCGAGGGCTATCTCGAACCGACCCGTATCTCGTTCGGTTCACCACCCAGTAGCGAGTTGAATCCTCGGGGACCGTCGCCAGACGAGACGTTTCCGGTCTTCTCGCCCCCGCCTTACGATCGAGCTCCGACCGATCGATCGCTAACGTCTTCCATACGGCATCGGCGTCAATCCAGCTTCCCGAGCGGTCCACCGTGGATGAACGAGCTGCAGACTCCGCGTCAATCGATCATCTCGACGGTCTCTCGTTCCCCGCACTCGCATCATACCTGTAATCGCTCATCTGCAACAATCTCTTCGTCGCCAGTGTGCTACGATGTCTTATACATACGCTTCTTCACGCCTGCACTAGATCTTTCACGAAACACTTTACATTGTCTGATGTTGGTCTCGTCTTGTTAGGAGCGGTAGGAGTATTTCCTTCTTTTTTTTTTACGTAGTTCAAACATACTATTTGATGAGACGTACGATATGACTCAACAGAATTAATATTAATGTATATAAATTTTTATATTTGCAGGTTTTATGCATATTTGTTTTTTTTTTTATCATTCTCTCTATTATTTCTTATTTCTTTTATCATAGTTATCCATCGTATCTGTTATCATTTATATAATGATAAATCTTATAATAAAATTTAATAAATTTCTTAGCATACATGTATAATTTATGATTTATTGTGTATTCTTATTAATATATTTTTTCTTAGCTTTTATATATATGTATAAATCTTTATTTTATTAATAAATTACAATTTTTTATACAGCAATCTCATCAACAGCAGAATCGAAGAATTCAATTACTTGATATACATATTGTAATATATTATGTGTTCTATACTGATATTGCTAACTTTTTGTAGCTTTTCTATCTTTATTTTATTTTTTGTGTCTTTTTATTAGATGAACTCTATCCAGGAACACGGCCATTATACAAATATCGTACGCCGAAGACTAACAGAGAGGGTAAATGTATATTACAGCTATCTGTGCATTGCTCTACTAACCGATCCCAATGATTCTAGATTTATTCCATATAGAGAGTCTAACTTGTATATAAAATGTACAGTCTATAAACATAAAAGCTTGTGTATAATTTAAAGTGGCTATTGTATCCATAAATTCTGTAATTATCTATTCACATCTTTACGTGTACATTTTTGTATTCTTAGCATTGAAATGTATAATGACTATACTAAAATTACAATCTAATAGTCAATTGCCTCAAATGTTTTTGCACTTTCTTTTAATTATATTGTCACCATCCATATGCATGGCTTTTGTTAAAACTTCGTATAACAAATAACTGATTAAAAATCGATAATTTCTTTTTTACAATTAGCTATCAGATCGGGTGACTATTACATGTTTGACGATCTCGATGACGATGATGTTACCGATTTGATTCCTGACAGTGAAGCTGAGAACAAGGAAAAGAAACGCTTTCAAGAGCACGAAAAAGAACGACGAAGAAGGAGAATGACTGTTTCGGAGGTATGTAAATAAGAAAATTTATATATGTATCAGATTATTTTGTTTTTTCAAGAATTTTGGAATGAAAGCAATTGAGTGCAATTACGCTGTGAAATTTTGATTCACAATTAAGGTTTTTATGCTACATTTCACTAATCTCCCAATAAAATTATATTAGTTATGTATAGTTATTGTATATAGTTTATCAAAGCCTGAAAAAGTCCAAATATTTAATAATATTGTTATCTTATTATTTACATATTTACATACATATGGAATCTTTTATTATATATATAAAAATATATAATATTTTGAAATTTTTTTGAAAAATATTGTAAAAGAGAGCATTTCGATTTGACAGATTACTTTATAGCCAAGCAGCAAATTTTTTTCTCATACAAAGATTGCAATCAAAATCTTCTCATGTATGCCATCATTACTACTCTTTTTTCGCTCTGTAAGTCCACCGATCGCACTGTCAACTTCCACTCTTCCTTTCGCTCTTTCTCTCTCCTCCTCGAGGATGAAAGACCACGCAATACGTCCGGGCCAAAAACGACGCACGAAATCGAATGTAAATATAGGGAATCGTGAGAACTGACGCGTAAGTCTCCTTGCAGTTGATGAACACGCTGATTAAGACAGACATTGAAATCGCGACGCACGTCGCCATGTATGGAGGGACCGAAAAGGACGCGCTGAGACTCCGACGTAGAAGCGTACCCTTGACTCGGAAGAAATCATCCATGTCTTATCTGAGCGCACGCTCCGAGACCGACACTGCCATGGCTACCGATGTGAGACATCCCTTTTCCCTTTAAAAGGCTGCATGATCGCTGCAGGCACTCATTTGGCTATAATCGTCAATTTTTATCCTTGTATAATATTGTCTCCAAAGGCCTGCTAAGCAGACGAGATAGATCTCACTATTGGATCTCATTGTGCAGTTGACTTTTTCTTCAGGAAGATTGAATCTTATATTTTATACAGAGAAATATACATTAATATTCTAAAGTATATTATTAGATTTATTATTACAAATGCTAAATTTTTTTTCTTTTAAAATCTTCTTGTTTTAGAAAAATCAACTGCAGATCACTTTATCAATAAGATTCAATTACTGCCTATTGCTTTCCATGAAAAGTCCTATTGCACATTTCTGTGCTAATACATTCTTCTGTATCACTGCTTCTTCGTTTGTCGATAAAGCAATCTATTCTACTCTGCCTTTGTGCATTTTTATTTTATTGATGTTTTATTTTTACGAAAAATTATTAATTTATCGTATTAACATTATTATTATATTTTCTCTTCTATATAATTTTCTTTTTCTTTCCAATATGTTTAATAAAATATTCTGTAGTTTAATTTATATTATATGCACTGTAATATTTTTATTTATATGCTATATTTTTTACTAAATATAATTTAACACACAATAATATGAAGTAATCGGTGCGCAGCGTATTCTTCTACAAAATAATGACTAAATCTATGTATATATATATTCTAAATAGCGTTTGTACAACGCTTTTACTTGTCGATATTTCTTTCTTCTTTCCTGAGCTCTCGGCTTCGTAGCGGAAAATTATAGAAAGCAAAATCTTGCTGTGGTCTTTATTGTCTTCACATCGTCTAACATCGTATTTAAGTTTAATTAATTTGTATGTTGTAATCACACACAATTTTGACGAAATATTTCATCGTTTATGTATACAAGTTTTGTATAAAAATCAGCTTATACTTTGTATTTTGAAATCTATTGTCCACTCGTGTAATTATATACTGATTGTATTCTTATTATGTACAATATGAATACATTTATATAAAAAATATTAAATATAATTAACTGTAAAAATTAGAATCTTGATTATGATTAAAAACTGTCGATATTAAAAGTATATAATTATACAAATATTTAAATTGAAAATTATAGAATAAAAAGTGTTACAGCTCACAAAAATTAACAAATAAAATTGTTAATACATTTTTATAAGAATGTAATAATTATTCAATTAATACATCGTTCAATATATTTTATAGGCACTTTTGCATTTTTCTCGACAGATTTAATTATTTTCAAGTTTACAATTAATTTAAGCACTGTAATATTTTTTGATATATAAAATTTATTGTTAAAATTAATTAGGGTCCCGATCGAACTAGTCTCACTTCGGTAGAAATGAAAACAGACAAAGAAGCTACAGACTCGGATAAAACACCGGAATCTTCGGACGAAGAAGAAGATAAATCAGAAGACGAAACAGATGACAAAGAAAAGGAAGATCAGAAGAAAACTTCGTTCTTCACATATTTCAAGTTTCTTATAGTGATGATCAACAGTACTCTAACATCGATGACGAAATATCTAAATCGATTCTCCTACGATTACAGATATATCCGCAAAGTTTTAGCAAGAGAGAAAAAAACTCTAAAGGTATGAAATTATTATTAAAAGAAAAATATATTAATTTGCACAAATAAAATAGCAGCTAGCAGGAATTAGTATTTTTAATAATTGATGATTATATTATGTATTTAGGCGAAACCAGATTTTAGAATGGGAACACGATTAGGAATCAATCAAATGTGGCAGCCAATACCTCTAATACAAGAACGGTAAGTTTCATATATATTATATCAAATAGTATCAAATTATAGAATTAAGTTGCATTTATAGTCGTTTATTATATAATTAAGAAACTGTAAATATATATATCCATTATCATTAACTCCATAAAAATTTTAGTGTCCACTAAAAAATTATCCTTCTGCTACTTAGGAAAATTGATATATTACTTATTGTTTATAATTATGAAATTCTGGTTTCATAAATAGAGACTATTAATTAATCTCACACTGTGCTCTTCCGGCTTTTCAAACGCCAGCTTGTAAATAGTTGCGTAAATTATTTATAATTTATATAGCTGCTGTTTGCATATGTTTGTTTAAATAGATACAAGTATATTTTTATAAGACGCTAATTTCCTGTAAATATATTATGCAATATAACACTTTGATTTTCTTATATTTATTTTATATATCTTTTTAATACTTTACCGCATATATATTTATAATCTAAATTAAGTAATTAAGAATATTTTTATTTATAATTATAACAATAAATTGTTTTAGTAAATAATAAAAAACTGCGGTAAAGAATTAACTTGTAGCTCTTTAATGTTGCAACGCATACTTTAAAATATTAGTTGGCGTTAAAATTTGTAGTTAATTCATGCTTCCCTGATGTCCCATTAGAGCATAAATTAATAAAAAGTCTTAAACCCGGTATTTAAAGAAGTTGTAAGTATACAAAGTAGTTTTAGCGATTTCAGAATTTTAAAAAAAGTAGATGCTAGTAGTAAGTGTGCTCGCTGTAACAGATTGACTACAAATGGGAATACGGAGGAATCATTTGATCCTGGCGAAGGTCCCAGTCAACCGCGCTCACAAGATAAAAAGTAAGGGTTTTTATGTTGCTGTAAAATGCTTTAAATTAAATTATAGTTTATAATGCCTATGACTAATTGTAAGCTGATCTTTTTGGCTAAAGTAATACTAACTCCATTTAAAGTTTTATCTTTATAGTAATTTCAAATAGAGTAACTAACTTTTGACAACTACAATTAATTTGCATTTTAATCTTATCTGTGCATGCTTGGTTATGCAAAAATATGATCATGCATATTATGAAAATATGATGAATCGTCTATTCCTCGCATGATTATGTATGTACATTTGCATTTTTGCTTTCTAAATTTTGTTTGAATTTTACTAAAAAGTTCAAAAAATCTTATATATTATATTCTCTTATATATATTAAATTATTTCGTGAATTATTATTTTATTTTTAAAGAATGGTTTATAAACCGATATTAAACAAAATTAAAAAAAAATATACGAATTTAAAAAATAGTATGTATGTTATGAATTTGATTATCAAATTCGAATATTAATATATGATCTATATTAATCCGCGACTAAAAGATTCGTGCTCTATTGAAAATTATAAAAAATCACAAAATTCGAGATCGATAATGTTTCTTCTAACTTGACAGCATATAATATATAGCTATTATGCAATATCAAAAATATAAGAAGCGATTTATAGATGATGAATCGAATTAGTCGCTATAAGAATCTTGTTCTTATATTCCAATAACAAAACGAATAACATAACAAATGCAAATCAAATTCTTTGATTAAATATTCTGATGTTATATTTATATATTGATTTATTTTAATCTGTTCTTTTATTATTAGAATTTCTTTATCATCATTTTTTCTCTATCATTGTGTATGATTGATAATGTAGTAATTTTTGGATCTTAATTAGAATTTTTTGTGTTCGAAATACACACGTACGAAGTAAACGTAGAAAGAGCATGGTGTTGTTTGTGTCAGGAAGGAGAGCTCGCTAGCAGTGCCACATATCCGAATTCTGGCGCCGAGTTTGGAGCGAGGATTGGACATGTCCTCCTCCAGGTACCGAAAGTGTGTCGTGAAATCCAGGCACCTCGATATGTGCTCGGCCTTTTTATTATTTTAAACGCACTATTTGCACGCCTGTCCTTGCATGCGATACATCAGTGAAAATCCTTTTATCTATTTGCCTATCACCTATTTTGCGTGCCTATTTTCGTGACAAATTCTTAAAAAAGATAAAATAAAATAAAATAAAATCACTGTGCAATGAGAATAATGTAATGAGCAAGAAAACTGTCTTAAGATAAATGATCTATGTATTCCTTTAACTATTATGCACAGTGACAGAAACAAATAATGTTCACTGCGGGTGAACGCCTTAATATTTCTGATGTCTTTAACTCTATTTCCACAGGGATAGTTTCTGAGCTTTAAATGTGCTTTTGATATCGAGTTCTCACAGAAGAAAGATGCGAATATTTTAGTTTATATATTGTTTAATTTTAACATTTGAAAATATGTTTATGTATTATATAAAATACAAAAAAAAATACTTCCCTAAATTTCGTTTTATATGTATAACATGTTTTAATTTAAATTAAAATTTTATATTTATATTTTTTATCTTTTATTAAAGGTTTCTATATTTTAAATAATTTATTTGTATGTTACGCCCTTATAGAAATATAGTAAGTCCAATTAATCACTTATTTCGAGAACTTAAATTACTGATATATAGTAATTTAAGTGATAAATTTCTATAAGGGCGCAAGATCCATACTTCATATAACATCATCTTTCTTCTATGGATTCTTTATGTTAAATAAATTATTTAGTATTACAAAATATAACTGACTGAACAATTTTATGTATGCAGCACACTTTTCGCGCAAGATTTAGCAGCCCAACAAGACGAAGAAATTAAAGAACTCTCAGAAGTGGATCAACCTCCCATCGTACAACTGGCAGCATCTATCTGGTTTGGAATCCTGGCTCATTCTAGTTTACTCTGTTACTTCATGGTATTTCTTCATCAAATTAAGAACGCATCTGTACTGTCGACACCACTCCCGCTTATGGTGTTTTTGTGGGGTTCTTTAACAATTCCGCGACCCTCTAAGACTTTCTGGGTAACATTGATTGCATACGTCGAGGTGAGAAATACATTTGATAATTTATTTCTAAATAATAAACTTATTTTTAATATAATCAAAAATATAAAAATTTTCAGGCTATTGTCATAATAAAATGTATTTTTCAATTGGAATTGATTTCTTCACCACGAGTCCCACCAAGTAATCCATTATACGTGCCGAGAATTATGGGAATTTTAAAGAGACCTAATTATGCTCTTTGGGATTTATTACTGCTTCTTATGTTATTCTTTCATAGGTATATATGTAAAAAGATATGCTTAACAACTTATATAAAAATATTTCATAAAATATAATGTCATGTAATTGATTTATAGATTTATGTTAAAATCTTTGGGCCAATGGACTTCATCTTTAAAACAACGGAAAGTTATACCTTCTCAATTAACTGTAACGTCAAACTTACCTTCTTCAGACAAAGAACCAGAAGAATCTGGCTCAAAGAAAGAAACCGAGTACGTATAACAATTAGTACTAAAAATATTTTAATTTCACGATATGTGAATTTTTAATTATTATATACTTACCTTAATGTGTTGTAGTTCTCATGCAGAGACACTTCAAGAGCAATCTTCGAACTATGCAACGGACACACACGATAGTCCACCGACAACAGACGATAACCAGAGGATCATGGTGCAAGAAGAAGTGCATCCTCACGGTGAATCTTTTTCTAAAACAATGGATGTAACGTAAGTAATAATTAATATATAATCTTATATAAGCACACATATTATATGTATATATATATATATATATATATATATATAAATTTGTGAAAATTTATATATATTTACTTCTGACATCTTATATTTACGCAATAGATTAAATAGAAATAATATTTTAAGAAACTTTATCTTCAGGTTGTTCTTTGTCTCATTAAATTAAATTATCTCTTTTAATTTGACAGCGTTACTAAATATGCCGGACCAATAAAAATTTCTTCGAGATAATTATCAATCCGGCAGGCAAAGAGAAAACAAATGTTTACGCTTATATGTTTCTTTGCGATTTTTTCAATTTCCTTTTACTCATCTTCGGATTCTCTGCATTTGGAGTAAGTATATTGAGTTGCAAAATTTGTAGTTATTTATATTTATAATAATATTTGTAAAAGCTATTTATATAAATAATAATAGGTATTATATGTATAAGATTATGTTCTCCAATTTTAGACTCAACAAGGCGATGGTGGAGTGACGGCTTATTTTCAGGAAAATCGAGTTCCTATGCCTTTTCTATTAATGTTGCTATTGCAATTTGCCCTAATTGTCATCGATAGAGCCCTTTTTCTCAGAAAATATATTGTAGGAAAATTAATTTTCCAATATTGCTTAGTATTTGGTGTTCATCTCTGGATGTTTTTCATTTTACCGAGCGTAACAGAAAGGTGAAATTATAATTTTATATTAATATATAATATCTTCTCTAAATATATTTATATTATGTATAACATATTATAATAATTGCAGACAATTCAATGATAATGTTGCACCGCAAATTTGGTACATGGTAAAATGCTTCTATCTTTTATTAGCAGCGTATCAATTACGACAAGGTTACCCAACTCGAATACTGGGTAACTTTCTATGCAAAAAATACAGCATTATAAATTACGTCTTATTCAAAGGGTCGGTAAAATATTTATTACAAAAATGTATATAAAAATTATTTTTATATTGACCTAGAATTATCCTGCAGATTTATGTTGGTTCCATTTCTTTTTGAACTTCGCGCAGTCATGGATTGGATCTGGACTGATACATCTATGACCATAATGGATTGGTTTAAGATGGAAGATATTTTTGCTAGTATTTATCAAATCAAAGTAAGTTCTATATAAGAATGTTATTATAATATATAATATTAGATATTTGTATAAAAAGTACTACTTCTTCAATCTTAATTTAAATATTTAATTATATTAAAATTTTTGTATATTTTTATGTAAAAAGTACGTAATTAATTAATATTTTTTCTCAGCATATGGAAAAAGACTAAATTATGTCAATATTTTGCAAATATGTATAAAAATTGTATCTAATATTTTCTATAAAATATATAGTGCATGCGAGGAGTCGAGTCAGATTTTCCTCAGCCACGTGGAGAAAAGAAAAAGCAAATGAGCAAGTATTTAGTAGGCGGAAGTGCTCTTTTCCTCATAATCGGATTAATTTGGTTCCCACTACTCTTATTTGCGCTTGGTAGTACAGTTGGCATGTCGAATTTACCTTACGATGTGTCTATGAAAATACGTATCGGTCCATATGAGCCCATCTATTCCATGTCGGCGCAAGGCAGCTCTATCATCGAATACACAGAAGAACAATATAAAACTCTTACAAATATAAATTCGACGGACAGATCGGCAGTCACTTTCTTCGAAAATTATATTTATTCTGATGTAGCTGCAGTGAGATTCAGCACTTTCTCGAAAAAACTGTGGAGTATCTCTCCACCCGACAAAGACAGGTTTGTTCTATTGAGAAAAAGATCATAAATGTTTAAAATCTATAAAATAATTAATTAAAAATTTAGAAATATTGTTAAAAACGTCAAATTGAGCAATGGAAAATTAGAAATATTTATATATACTTTTCTTGAAAAAATTATAATGTTAAATAATGTTGAGAGATAAAATCTCACGTGTTATTACTTTTCGATGTAAAAACATTTAAAATATATTTAGCATATATATCATTGTAATTTTTTTCTCAGATTGAAAACAGAATTAGCTTCTAATACTACGACAGTGATTGTACATGTGGAATGGACAGTTTCAAGAAAAACGGACGCCAAGGATGCTACTGGAGTCACTACGACAATTCGTAATGTAAAACTGCAGCCTTTAGATCCTGCAAGACAAACATTGGTGGATATACTAAATGAAGATCCTAATGCAATAAATGCAACAATATTATTCCAAAGCGCTTTTCCAAAATTTCTCAAAGTCACCGCTAGAAGCACTAACGTTGTTTCACAATTAATGCGTTTACGTAAGCATAATTGGGTGTTTAATTAGACGATCATATAACATTAAAAGTTACTTGAAGATTAATATTAAGAAAAATAAAATTATTAATTATTTATATGCTTCTAGCGCAAAGAGATGAAAATGATGATGATGACAGCTATCTCTATAGAAATATTAGTCTTCAATTATCGACAGACAAAGATTGTTGCGCTCATCAACAATGGTGGATGATTCATGAGACATGCACCGACTATCTATACAATGTTACTTTGAACCAGGTGCCACTAAACGATTGTAATAAATACATAATGATGTTTCTATTCAACGACAAGGCTTTCCCCAAGGAATTAAGCTTTATAAGCGGCTTTGGGTAAGTTTAATAGTAAAAATAAAAATAGCCTTATATGTACATGCATATACATATATGTATATATAATATATGTATGTGTAATCTTAGGAAAATAATGAAAAAATAGGCTTATTATAATTAGTCATTATAATTTGTCATTGTCATTATTTAATAACATTTTGTATAATTGCAATCTAATAAATGTATAACACACAGGATCCTCGGATTATACACTACAGCAGTAATAGTCATAAGCCAAATGATGCGGAAAATCGTCAGTGATATGGCACCCAAGATCATGTTCGACGATTTACCCTATGTCGACAGAATCCTTCGTCTCTGTTTAGATATTTATTTGGTTCGCGAAAGTGGCGACTTATGCCTCGAAGAAGATCTGTTTGCCAAATTAATCTTCCTCTATAGATCGCCAGAAACACTCATCAGGTAAAATCATGATCTTATGTTTATTAATTTTAAATTTTACTGTAATATTAAATTTTGTGTATTATTATAATATTATTGCACTTTTTTATTTGTAAAAGTTATTTGTCAATTGTAAGATACGCATATATGTATAAAGCAATGACTCGACATAACTAATAATTGATTAATTTGATGATCGATTAATCGACTTACTAAACACTTTATTTTTAACTATAACTAAGAATACAATTGCAAAAAATAAATTTATTAGATGGACAAGACCACCTGAAGAAGGGGAGCGAACTGATAATGAAGATCAAGAGGAAGAAGAAGAGGGACAAGAAGTAGAAAGAAGACAAGCAGCACCATCCCATCGCAATTGAATTGTCAGAAAAACAGATTCTTAAATAATTAATCTTTCGCAAATAGATCTTTCTGCAAAATGGATTTTTTTGTAAAATAATTATAAGCAAGACAACAAAAAGTTATCGTGAGGGCTATTTCCAGAAATTGCATTATTAAAAAATACAAACAAATAGACGCACACTTTCTGTTTAAGATTGCCAAAAAATTAGATATTAAAAGATACATAAATTTGCATTATTTTATAATAAATTTGTTGTTCGCGCATGCTAGCATTTTGTTTTTCATATAGCTTTCAATTTTGTTTCATGAATATTCTTTGTTAGAAAATCACTAACAATAAGTCTCTCGGAAATGAAATTTGAAAAAAGCTCAATTACTAGATGTTGCTAGAAAATCAACTATATTCGACCAAAGTTTTGTGAGCCTGACATTCTGCAAAAATGTCGCATTATCTGTTAAAAAAATATATAAAGAATTAATACATCTAGAAAAAAGAGAGAAAGGGAGAAAGATATCTCATTGTAATAATTTAGAGTACCTTCTAATTATAAATAATGTTATAGAACATATTTTCAAGTAACATATATTACGCACATATTTTCAAACTTGAAAAAAAAACAAACAATTTTATCTAAAAAAGAATTCAGGAATTTAATTATATAGAGCCTATTTGTTATAAAACAAAAAGTAATAAAGTGATTATTCTTATTTCACAAAAGTATATATCAAAATAATTATATATTGGATGTAGCTACATGTATGAAAAAAATGCATAAAAATATAATTATTTAGCATTTAAGTAATTTAAGTGCTTAAAATATATCCGATCGGAAATAAGTATAACTTAGTTATAAAGATTAAAGAAAAAAATATATATTTGATCATTAATAAATAAGTATAAAAATAATTCATTAATTATAAAAGTCAATTTCTATTATGCATAAAAATTTTCTTTTTTGAAAAGTTTATGCAAAATGTTAACACTGATATCATTGATACAGAAAATGATATCAATGATATAGAGAAATAAATAAATTCTTAAAAATAAATGTAATTGAAAAAACAGAGAGTGCAATTGTCTTAAAATGCTTACGTCGCCAAAGTTTAATATGTATCATGTTTTTAGATTATAATTTAAAGGTATTAAAAAAAAGTTATGATGAGATAATCACAAATTAATGATATTAATGGCATTTCAGTTTTTTATACATTTTTTTCATTATAAATGCATATCGTCATGCAGTTTGGATAATTTTGAAATTTACATTTTAAATATTTAAATGAGAAATGTATTGCAAAAAATGTTTGTACATATATACATATATATGAAAATATATTTATTGTGATGTAAAAAAAATCCTCTAAGACATTATTTTCAACTATTTACTTGTATATACATAGATAAATATTTTTTAAAGATCAGAAACTATTAGTTTTTAATATATCAAATATCTTTAGCTGTTCTATAATTAGTAAATTTAAAATATATCGATTAATTATTTCATCAACAATTAATATAAAAATAAAAGTATTACAAATTAAATAATTTATTATAGAAAACATGAAAATTAAAGATATCAAAAATGCAAATTTTTATAAGCAAATATATAAATTTATTTATTACATTGTTTCATTATAAAAGGCACATCAGAGTCTTGTATTTTTCTTAAAATAATACGGATATATGTAATATCTAACATTATATAATAATTAATATCTAACATTATATCTTATATCTATTTTTTTAATAAAAAATAAGTTATTTTAACGATGATTTAATCAAAATTATGTTTTAATAAGAGTGTAAAGATTCTATTATATTTTACCACATTATGTAGTGTATTAATACTTAAATGGCAGAATGCTATTATTTTTATGCATTATTTTGTATTAGAGAGACATGGAAATATCATAGTTATAAATATTAGATTAAAATCTTTTTTTTAGTAGATCTTACAAATACTTTTCTTAGCTGACAATACAAAAGCTTATCAATACAAAATATGATTTTTAAAATAATAAGCAATTAAAATGCAATTGGCACTTTGTGCATAATAAAAAAAATGAATATTTTATTTTCTTGCAACCATTTGATGTTATGATTGTGTTAATTCATGGCACTTCAATTTTAAGACAGTGTTTTCTTGTTTTAAAAATTCAAATTCTTCTAATTTATTCTGCAGACTTTCATTTTGCACCCGCAAAGCAATCAATTCTTGCTGTAACCGCTCATTCTCCTCAATCAAGGCTTTCATTCTAGCAGAATCTTTACTGGGATGCATTTCTTTGACCAGATCATCTGTCTGATTCAAGAGATTTTTTATCAAGGCAGCTTGGGTGTTTATATGTAGGTCCTGCATAGCACGTAGAATCTTTGTACTTTCTTGCTTAGTATACGTACTTATTAATTCTTTAATAGCTGTAAGCAAACCAACTGGATCTTGATCTTGTATTTTAAAAGTCGATTTCTTCGATTTATCAAGCAACTTTCCTTTCTCTTTAATCAAATGAAAACCAACCTCTCTGGAAGAAGGATCTGAAGGACGATTATTCTCTTTACTGGAAGTATCACAAGAATTGGAAGAATCAGAAGAACGTCTATTCTCCTTACTAGAAGTATTTAAGGAATGAATAGTTTCCTTGTGTGATCCGGAACGCCGAACACGATCTTTATTCGCAATTTTATTTTCAGGTACCTTATGATATCTTGTATCTTGCAATTTTATTTTGTGTTCTCCGCTAATGCTCTGGCTAGGTTCAATTTTTATTTTTATATCTGCAGATTTCCCTTTATTATCTACAATCTTCTCAATTTTCTCTTCTTTTATATTCACAGAAAGCTTTTTTATATTTTGATCAGCTTGTTTTTTAGAGATTTTTGAAGAATCTTTACTGATTATAGTCTTCATATTAGATGTAGTTGAACCTGTTATAGAATATTTCTTCTCTGGTTGCGTAATATTATCTTTCTCATCTTGCTCTGAGAATTCAAGTAACGGAGATGAAGTAGCATGCCTGGTAGTTACATGACGATCCACTTGTTCCTCAGTTGTCTTCTTTGATTGTTTTAGTGTAGAGCCATTCCAGATCTCTAGCTCTTCCAAGAAAGAATCATTCATTTTGAATATTTATATGGCTGTGTGCAAATACTTGATTTGATATAGAATAAATGTACCACAGCAACTGTAAAAATATACACATAAAATATTAATAATGCATTTTTTGACGCCTAACAGATAGAAAATTTTCTTTTTTTTTTTTACATAATTTAACATATTAATACTTAAAAAAAAATATCTTGCTATTATAAAAACAATATGAGTAAAACATATTTAAAAAAAAAACTTAATAAATTGTTAGTGTTACAAACCTAAATAAATATTTATAAATTTATAAATGCCGTAAATAATTAAAAAAAATAAATATGTACAGCAATTCTCGTACTAACTTTGTTTTAATTCTTAACACGTCCTTGGAGCGTGAAAGTGAAAGAAAGCATGAAATAAGTTCATAAGAAAACGTTGCGGTTAGGTTGTTTGATCAGCTGATCGATATAGTCAGATGTCAAATACAGCGGAGAGAGTGGTAAACAAAACAAAGAGCCTACGATTATTGGCTCGATTGAACATACACACGCCTAAAGCGAATAAAAAAAATAAATGGTCATGCTGAATACGCATGATATAAAGCTTGATATAAATAAATCATTGGCGATAAAATCAGAATTCGGCGCATTTACCGATCTCGCAGTTCGCAACGCGAGGAAGTGAAATTAATCGCGATTCAGCCAGCAACATGAACGGTGTCTTCGTTCTGAGCTTATTGTGCCTCGTATTACCGTACGAAAGTACAGGATTTTTGAACGTATATCCAAAACTGAAGGAATTTAGCCTCACTGATGGAGAGGATGCAGGCACACCGCTTTTCCTGACTCCTTTGATAGAAAATGGAAAAATCGAAGAAGCACGAACAATGGCTAACGTCCAACATAAAGAGATGGGTGATGTTAGCAGTTACTCTGGTTATTTCACAGTTAATAAAAAGTACAATTCCAATCTTTTCTTCTGGTTCTTCCCAGCTACGGTGAGCATTTTAAAGTAATCGTTCTATATAAATAGTTTAGCTGTTGTAAAAGATTTTTGAAACAGCTGGTTGCACATAATAAATGCCTCTTGCCATGCAAATTTTATACATTTGATACAATCTTTATAAGCATTTTCTGCAATTATCCTACTACAGTCTTATTATCTAATTATGTGTAAAATAATTTTTAAAATTTTACAAATTATAATATATGTATATGTATATTGTTTTATGATATAAATTAAAATGATTTATAAATTAAGATTAAAATTACTTAGAAATAATTTTGATATATTACAGCATAATCCAAAGACTGCACCAGTAATATTATGGCTACAAGGTGGACCAGGTGCAACTTCAATGTTCGGTCTTTTTATGGAAAATGGCCCATTCAGTGTAACTGCTAATAAAACTTTACAAATGCGGAAATACTCATGGACCTTGGCACATAATGTAATATACATTGATAATCCAGTTGGTACAGGCTACAGTTTTACTGATAATGAGAAGGGATATGCCAGGAATGAAACAGACGTAGGAAGAGATCTTCATACTGCCCTGGTACAATTTTTCCTGTTATTCCCAGAATTACAAAATAATGATTTCTTTGTCACCGGTGAATCATATGGTGGGAAGTATGTGCCAGCAGTGTCTCATGCTATTAAAGATTATAATATCAAAGCAGAAACAAAAATAAATTTGAAAGGTCTAGCCATTGGTAATGGATTATGTGATCCAGAAAATCAATTGCTATATAGTGATTATTTGTATCAAATTGGGTTAATAGATCTAAATGGAAAGGCCATAATGCAAAAATATGAACAAAAAGCTCGCGAATTTATTAAAGAGAAACAATTTGTCAAGGCTTATGAGATTTTTGATTTACTCCTTAATGGTGATTTAACTAATGCTCCATCTTTATTTCACAATTTAACTGGTTTTGATTATTATTACAACTATTTAACTACTAAAGACAACAATGATTCTAATTGGATGTCCGAGTGGATTCAGAGAGTCGATGTAAGATATGCTATACATGTAGGTAACAATACTTTTAACTACGAAGCCTCCAATGTTGAAGAGTATCTAAAAGAAGACGTTATGCAATCTATAATAGTTCTTTTAAAGGATCTTCTGAAACACTATAGAGTGCTTATCTATAATGGACAATTGGATATTATTGTGGCATATCCACTCACAGAGAACTATATACAAAAGATGGAATGGTCTGGAGCAGATAAATATGCGAAAGCACAGAGAAAATTCTGGATGGTCGGTAAAGAATTAGCAGGTTACACAAAAATGTTGACAATTTAACAGAGGTTCTGGTACGAAATGCAGGCCACATGGTTCCTTATGATCAACCAAAATGGGCATTAGACCTAATTACCCGTTTCACTCATAATAAAAAATTTTAAATAATTACTTATAACATAAGAGATATGTGATATAGGTTGCAAATGTATATTTTATATATATATATATATATCTAGACATTTAATATATAAATATAAGACAATGTATCACAATAATATGTAAAATGCTCTAAAAAGCTTAAGTCACAGTAAAAAATGAACACAATAGATTTATAATAGAAATTAATAAATTTATTTAAAAAATTATGTGTAAAGAATTTTCTTATCATACAGATTATATATATAACTTAAAATATTTTATATACAGAGATCCATAATATAGATTCTATTTCTTGAAATAATTTGATTCCTTATAGCACAGTTTACAATTCCTGATAAAAATTTACATTCTTGTTATATACAATTAAAATTATCTATATATAAGATATAAAATAATCTCAGTATTATAGATATGCATGTTCATGTTTTGTGTCCTTTCTTTTTTAATTTATATGAATGTATTAATATAAAATGTGAGAAAAAAATAGTCATGATAAAAATAAAGTTATAATTTCTTATTATGTAATAATATACATATAAATTCTTTGGATTTTCTATTATAATATATTTGGCAAATTTCAATTCTATTTCATCTACATTGAATTAAATTTAATCTAAATATGGTAATAAATAATGATCTACTATTGAGATATTTTTATGCCATTCAGCATGGGGAATTCCTGGCACAGTAATGAGTTCTAATTTTTTCTGTTTATCTAATGTTTTCAAACCAATTGTATCATTTTTATAAATAGATCTCTCACGCATTTCTATCACAGTGCTGTTATTATCATAGTATCCAAAATGGCTACTTTGCCAAGGAGTGATAACTCCATCATCTGGTCCTCCAATAAGTATCATACGTTTTAATTTAATTAGACCTGTTTTGTAATCAGAATTATTGTAAGTATTTATTTCGTCATTCACATATGGCAAGAACCTGCTATATTTAAGATATAGTTTCTGAAAAACAAAAAATCGATTATAACATATTACAATATATGAAATATAGATAAGTTATATTCATACATTATATTAAGATATATTATATTAAGATAAGTAATATTTACTTGATGGTGAGGATCATTCCAGTAATTTCCAACACTAGTATGTTGCCCAATTCGTGAATAAAAAAGTTCATAAGCAGTTTCACAAACTAGATCTGGAAAAATCAAACGCAGGAAACGTGCTGGAAATAAGATTTCATAATTGTAGTAAAATTTCTGTTTTCTCCTCTTTTAGGACATCATAATTTTACATACTTCCATATTGCCCTGCCTGTGGCGAACTTAGAGAAATAAAATTTCTCACATTATGCATGGGAAATCTTTGTAATATTGCTCTAGCTAGTAAACCACCCTGACTGTAACCTATTAAATTGATTCCTTCAGGAAATGCAGCACCGATAGAAAGCACATCCATACCAATCTCGTCTACCTGTTGCCACATTGGTTCCAGGCTGCTCCAGCCTGCAAACCTGGGAGTATTATAAACTGGAGTCCCAGGGTGCATCTGTAAAAATATATTGTTATAATCATACAAAATCATTGTGTTATATTTATGCACTAAAATAATATATTGAGATGTCCGCTTTTATTCTATTATTAGTTAGCTTACCTCTTGAATTCTATTACTGATTAGATCCATGGTATCACTTCCCGTAAGGACTCCATGAATGATGACTACGGCGTGATATGATTGTGCTTCATTGTACGATAATAAAGAGATTAAAAATAAGTAAATATGTATCACAGAATTTGTACTTGTCATTATTTCTTGCACTACTTTTGACACTGACTCCTAATCTGAGATCAGCTGTTTACAACTGCACAATATATATCCGAGCTGAACACTTTGTGTATCCAAAATGAGACAGATACATAATTAAATGCTTGAGATAAAAAGAGAGGGAAAGCGAAATGCAAAGTCTAAAGAAAGGAATAACATATTTCACAATACATTTCGTGAAGCGCTACATTGCGAAAATAAAATAAGATATATCTTCAAATCACACCGATAAGAATGTAATTCAGCATTATCGACAAATGGTTCAAATTTCTCTGTTAAATTTATATTTTTCTTCTGTAAACATTCTCTGTGAGCTAATATATATATATATATACATATATGTTTTAAATCTACAAAAACATGTAACAGAGAGAGAAGCCTAAGAATAATTGGTGTTTTTCGTAAAAAATATATGTGTAGGAAATTTATCAAACTTTGTTAGGTATCACCATCTGCATCCATTTCAGAAACTATTTAGAATTACATGGCTAAATCAATTTTTTTGATTCTGCCGATAAAATTATACTCTGTTTCGGTGCATATCCATACTATACATTCGTAATTTATAAGAATCACGAAAATATACGTTCTTCCCGTGATTTAATTTTATATTAGTCGTGATTTTTTAAATTTTAATCATGGATATTAATATATTATTTTTGGAATAGACTTTTATGAGAGAAAATAGAAAGAAGTTAAATATTTTTATCCATGGGATAAAAAAACATTAAGTTTATCGAATACGATATATTCGCGGTCAATAGGCCAATATTTATATAGGCGTATATTTTTCTATCGATCACTTTTCATTAATAAATTCGACTCACATTTCGAATATTCTTCTCCAGATTCCTCGCCGGTTATTTTTCCTGTAGGATCCTTATTGTGTCGGGAACGGTCCTCGTAGCAGCTTCGAAACACATACTTGCACTCGCGTTGTTTTCTTTCGTTCGCGACGCGATTTTTACGAGAATTACTAACCTGGTTTGTCGCGTAACGACACAAAGTACGAGCGAAAACGCGCAATCGCCTACTTCGAATACGATCGACAACGTCGAAAAACTCCGGAGATTTTCGCGTCGAAGGCGCTCCGTAATTTTCGCGATTCGCCCTCGTAAATTCGCGCGCGCAAACTTTCGGCGGCTCGAGCCGGAGCTGTGACGTCATGCGGTTTCGAGGGAACGAACGAGATTCGCGCCGACGAGATCGATTTCGCGCGCGCGATTGCGATTACGATATATATCGATAGCAGTCGATAAACGCGCGACGCGATTAGATTCATACGATAATTAACGACGTAAAGACACTAATTAATATTTACGTACGTGTACTTTCGCGAATATTTCACTGAATATTTAACAACGAAGAAATTACGGAGAGAGCGTGCAAATGTTGATTCTAAACAACTTGAAAATGCACTAAATAGCAGCATTCTAGATTGTATTCGAAAATATATTCACTTAAGGTGAAACGCTCGATTGACCAATCAGGGCAGAGAGATTCTCGGTCTCCGATTGGTCGATCAAATTTTGCATTTTGGTGAATATATTTTCGTACACAATCTATAACAGAATGCTGCTATCTAGTATACTTTCGAGTTATTGTTTGTATTAACATTCGCGCGCTTTTCGCGAGTTCTTCATCGTTGAATATTCAGTGCAAAATAAAACGTAGTGAAATGTAGTGTCTAAATCCAAAAACGCGAGTGCAAGTGTTCCAAAGCTTCTTCTAATATACGAGGACAGTTCCTGGTGCAGAGGTTGGCTTCCTGGAGGAAAAACAGCGTGTCGGCCAGGAATCTGGAGTACACCGAGAAGAATAAGAATAGTCGAAATTGTGAGTCGAATTATTTTGTTTCATTTTTTAATAAAACGACAGGAAAGTATACATCTAAGTATTGACCGAAAATCGTGTCAAGATAAACTCATCAATATAATATGTTTACAATATTGTGCAATTTCGTGCATTGAATACGAATATGTAAATTAAAATCTAGCCTCTCTACGAGATGAGGAGAGGGAACCTATCGTAATATTTTTCCTATTTAACCTTCAGTATTACCTAAATTAGATATATAAAATGCAAGAAATTATTTATTTGTTTAAATCTACTTTAAATATTTACGAAAATATTAAATACAAACAGCAGTCACATTTAAATTTATATGTTAAATATATATAATTTAACAATATAATAAACTAATTTATAAAATAATGTATAATATATACATGTGTATACATTATTTGTGGCATTTTTGTAATTAATTTTAATTTTCTGATTTTTAATTTTAATTTTTTTACAAATAAATTTTATTTAAAAATTTTTAATATTTTAATTTCAATTTTTATAATTTATGAAATAAAAATCCAAAGATTTAATTGTCTATATGTATAATTAAATTTATAATTAGTTGGCTCTTTTTAAAAATAGTTTTCAACAAAAGAAAAAATTATAATTAAAACAAAATTATTTCTTGCGTTTCAATATCTTAATAGTAATTCAAGTAATTTTACAATTAGCTGTTCTATTTGCTACCTCAACCAGGCAACATGCAATTACTTAAATACTTGTAATGTACCCTAATTGTGATTTACAGCATCCCAATTACATATTATTATACATGCATAAAATAAAAAATGCGAAAAATATCTCTCGAAGGTATGTATATCTTAATTTTGATATCTAATATTGTCAGTATATTGGTTACATATAAGTTTATTCTATTTTTCGGGTCAATATTAGATCTATTCCTTTATTGTTCTTAACTATATTTTGACTCGATTTTAAGACAAAGATCAAAAAAGGAAAAACTTCTTATACTGCTGGCTGATTATTGTCACTAGCAGATAAACACAAAGATTTTAATTGTGCACGTTACAATGAAATTGACAAATTTGTTCGATGTGCGCATTGTTTATATTACGAAAAATACACGCCATTGTTTATTCAAATATCAATTAAAAAATTTTTGTGTGTTTTTTTGATCAAAATATACTGAAAATGTAGAAAAATTTATCAAAAATTTTTGCATCAAAAATTATTGTTCATCTAATAAAAAAAAAGCTTCGATTATTAATGTCTTGTAAATATTCAGAATTATAAATATATAAACTATACAGAGAGAGAATTTTCTCTTAGAGTTTATGCTGAAAATCATGGTAATTGTGAGTCAATATGGTATTGGAAAAATTTTATAAGTTTTTCTAATTAATATTTACCACGATAAAAATATTAATATTCTAATAATAATCACAATAAGATATAAAATAAATGTGATTAATTGTACTATGTACATAGTAAATGTTACTATGTACATATATATTAATATTTTTTATTGTGATAAATATTAATTAAAAAAACTCTTATAAAATACTTTCAATACTATTTTGTCCCATGATTACCCTGATTTTCAAGGTAAAATCTAAGAGAAAATTCTCTTCGTGTATAATATAAATATAAAATTATAATATTTGAAAAACACGGTAAATTTATGACATTCTGTGGAATATCGATAATCAAAATAAAAGTATCATAATTAATTAAGCATCGGCGCAGCGTAATCGCGCGCCTCATGCAAATGCATTATAATAAATAAAAAATAGCTACCTATTTTTCACTCCTCGCACTTTTGCATGCGACAATTCATTTATAAATTTTAAACATAGATAATAACTTTATATTTATAATTTAGGTGGTATAATAAAATTTCACAGAAATACAACATAAAAACGACATCAAAAATCGACATCAAAAATCGAGTAATATACGAGATCGAATCTTCAATTCATTCTCTCGTGCATACGATGATTCGTGCATCTCGATTTTATTTATTAAAATAAAGAATCCAAATATCATCATATACATATGACATGTATATGATATGTATATGTGATTAAAATCTCTTTGATTATAAGATTAATTTTATCTTTAATTGATTAATTTGGAACTGATTGTCGAGCAATTTAATAAAAAAAAATATTAATTCTTGAAAGAAAATTACTTTCACGTTATAACTTAATGTTTTAATATTAAATACCTACGCGAAGTAAAATATTCTTTTTATCTCGATTTGTGCAATTCATTATTACTCAGGAAAAAATATGCTATTTTATTTATATTCGAATAATTAATTCCGTCACGAAAAATAAATTTCGTCACAAGAAATGTATATATATATATATATAATGTAAACAGAAAAATTCAATGTTGTAACTGCAGCATGGAGAAGGGTAAGTACAAGAAAAAATTAAATAAAAGTTACGTAAAACGAAGTCTGAGTAGGACCTTTCTTCTCGTCTCGAAATTGTAATATCCACTTGCGTAGCTTTCTTGTTTTGGCTTTAATACGAGAGTTAGAAAAACATTTAAATATGTATTACTCTAAAACGCAAACAATCGCGATTTGTACAATTATCATTACTCCCCATTAGAGTTTTTTTTAGCAAAACTCATAATTAAAAAAAATTATGAAGTCAATAAAATATATATTGTATACAATTATAAGTTCAGAGATAGAACGTTTTGTTCATTCATAATTTATGAATGTATCGACATGCATCAAATAGCAATTTATGAAAATGTCGAAAAATAAATTTACTTACATTAATTCTATGAAATATTTAAAATTTAAAAAAATGGCGATTCTTAATGAGACTTAAGTGTCGCATAAGTTTGTTTCTAACTTCCCTGCAAACGTGCTACTCTGCATGCATAAATTTTATTACATTATAATTGCTACAATAATTGTTAAATATAATCTGCTTAAAAATTATTTAAATATTAAGAATTGCAATTGTTAAACTTGGTATATTATGCGTTAATATCCGATTAAATCATTATATCGTAAAAGCTATATATTGCATTGACTCCTCAAATTAATGAGATCTTTCCATAGAAAGCACATATAAATAGAAATAGAAAAATTCCATAAATATGAGATCAATGATCCTGTAGTTAAAGCGATGGTCGGTGACGATGGATTTTGGGGATGCGTGAAAGGAAGGGTGCTGACTGCCTAAGGAATCCAATTGCATCACGAAATGCTGCGTTGCAGAATATAGTAGGTCGCCACCCTAATCCTTACGGGGCTGTTGTATGCTAGGTGGCGGGGCACGTGGTATTTCCCGAGCTCGCTTTAGCCATACATCACCGTACTCTGACATCGCCTCCACTCTTCACCCCCAACCGGTTA